AGAATCTCTTTTAAAAAAAAGCAGATCATATATATTGCAAACATAAATAACATACACCATTAACAGCTTTTAAAAAAATTATATAAGCTTTTCACAACAAGATTCTTTTACATAGTTTTATTAATCAAAAATTAAAATTATGTGAAACTCCACAAAAAGTGGTCATGGAATCTATTTTTATCAATAGAAAATGCTACTTTACCTTTTTTGGGTTTAAAAATAATTAAACAATTGTTAAATAAAAAATTATCTCAAAATATAGAGGTTAAAAGTAGTTTAAACAGTATTCATGATGTATGAACAAATCATTTGCATAAAGGCAGAAAAAAAATAATTTCAATTAATTTTTTGAAAATATAAAAAGGAATGTTCATATATTAAAAAAAATACAGGAAATAGGTAGAAATATTACAAATGTTTAACCATATCAAACCATATTGTAATTCAAACAAAGTGGGTGTAAAAAAAAATATATAACTTAACAATTTAAAAAAGTTAAATATTTTCTGAACTGGAAAATAAAACAAATTTTAAAAATAGTAATTAAAAAGTAAAAATAAATACAGTAAAAAAAACACATATAAATGAAATTAATAAAAAATATGTTGACAAAAACAGATTATACAAATTATCACATAGAATTTGTAAATAAAAAAAAACAGCAATTAAATTTAATTTCTACATAATAGAAATATTTATTGCAAGTTCATGTTATATATATTTATAAAAAAACGTAAAATGCAAGAGACAATAGTAAATGGAAACCTATCTAATAATGACACTGTAATATTACAACATAGTAAAACATTTTAACTGAGTGAAGACTATGTCAAAAATTAAAAGATAGTGAAGAGATTCCAGATTTATGTTTAGTTAAAAAAATTTTTTTCCAGTTTCTGAATCTTCAAAAAATGCATTTTAATAAAGTACTATCTTTTCTACCATTAAAACCTTTCTAAACATAATTTATTATTTGGTTTATTACAATTATCTATTAGTATAATTATATTATGACAGAAAAATGGTATGAAAGAAGTAGGTTATAGTAATGCTCTAAAAAGAAAGAAAAGATCATAGACAATAGTTAGTTGTTTTAGTCAGCTCTCTTTCAACAGTTGATTTAATTTCTTATAGGCAAAAATGTAATAAAAAAAATTATATCACAATAACTAAAAATTATAAGATTAGAAGTAGTATATCATAGAAAAAAAAAAAAACGCTAGAAAAAAATGGAGATTCATTGCATTGATTGAGAGACATCACTTATTGTTATATTTTATAAAAATAACTATTAATATACATCATTATCAAGCAGTTTTTAGTAGAACATAATGTAAAATAAACTAGAAACCGGATTTTAGCTAAGCCTATAAAGTAAAATTTCAAGTTTATACACAATATGAAGCAAAGAACTAGTAGTCACTTAGTATAAAACAGAAAAAAAAATTTATTTTGATGTATTTCTATTATTCTATTCTAGGAACAGAAAAACCAGGAGCTTCATCAAAAAAGGAAAAACTTAAAATATAATTTAATACAAAAATGATGGTGGCTTAGTAAAAGAAGTTTCATCAAAAAAATTGTCTGCTATAAAAGACAGATTTAGGATAAATTATAGAAGTTACTCTGGGTATTCCTTAATTACTGTAGATCTTTAGAATCTTTGCCAAATGTATTGTAAAAAAAATTAGAAATCGCAATTTAAAATTTACCATACAATCATGGCAATTAGTTAAGGTAAAGGAGAAGTTCTTTTAATAATAATAATAAAAAAAACAATACTAGCTACAATTATTGAAAATATAGTTTTAAGATTGGTTTTTGATGATTTTAATCACACCTCAATAATCTGATAATGATTCGTTAAGTTGATTAAAAGATTTACTAAAATTTTATTAAAGTCTTTTCGTTTTACACTTAATTTGAAACCCAAAAATGCATTTTTTTCCCTCTTCTATCTTGGCAAGAATTTTGAAAAATATATTTAAGCATTTTACCAAAAGAATGATCTGTAGATATTACATATATGACATAAATATCTTTAACTATCCTAATATCTAAACCTCTAAAATGTAAAGGAATAACAAGAATGTTAAAGAATTGTCAAAATAAATAAAAAGATCGTAAAATATGTCAAAGGACATAAAATCTGCCTATGAATAGATCTTTTCTTATTGTTCATTGGAATCATTTCTGAACATGAATGTTAATTTCATTCTATTAGATTATCATGATGCTTATGATATTATCATCATGACGCTAATTCATGAAAATCTTTATATAGTAATGAATGATTGTTAATTATAACAAGAAATAATATATACATGATGAGAATAGTTTTCAGAATTAAAAAAAAAAAATTCGTTAATTAACTAGTCAACAAATTTAGTTCATATACAGTTTAGCTGCAGAAAACAAGCTATAGTAAGGAAATTAGCTATTAATATACATTTTAATAAATAGTGATTGCTTTTCTTCTAAAGCATTTAAAAAAATTCTAAGTAATATTTTGAGGTGAAATTAGACTCTTTTTTGTAGATGGTAAAGAATGTGCATATCAGTAATAAAAATTGTTAAATGATTTAGAAAATCTCAATAAGTAATGCATTATATATTTTGTACAAGAATTATGTTAAAACTAAATTACAGAGATTAGTCTTTATGAATCTACCCAACTATAGTACCCTAAATACCACCAGAAATAGTAGTGTTAGTACCTCTCGAGAAAATAATAGAATTCCAATAATAATTAGAACACAAGGTAACAATGAAAAACAAAAAACTAAAAGCTTTCATTAATTTTTAAAAAAGAAATAAAAGTTTTATAAATTCCTTGAAAATCTGTATAAAAATTAAGTTTTAAATTATTCATTTGAACTTGGAATGTCTGATTTTTGAAGAAAAAACAATCTTAATTCAAAAATTAATGTACTAAAAATAAAGGGTATTTAATAAAAATAAAAGACAACAATTTTGAAGAACATATTAACTACAATTTCTGCCTTAAATGATTCAGTGTTGGACCTTATTTTCAAAAATGAACTAAAAGTCTTCAATCGGCTTAAGAAGATCAATAATTTTAAGCAACAGTTATTATTCTTTATAGACTATAACTGAACCTATTTCAACACTTTTGATCTAGCTTATGAGTAAAGAAATCTCTAATTGTGGTGCTTTTGCACCAATCTATGTGACTGGACATGATCTATTCATAATGCTGTATTCGTTAAGATATAACTTACTCTTTAGAGCTTTATCTTCTTAAGATCATAATCATTTATGTTTTTTAACAAGACTTGTTTAAAAAAAACATCACTAAAATATACATCTGGACTTTTCAAAAAATTCTAAAAAAATGTTCAAATTTATGCGGCATTGCAGAATTTAGGCATCCTTAAATCGAACTATTTATTTATTATTATTTTTTTTGCTAAAAATTATAATTTTTGGAAGGTCTCTAAAATCTTACCCTCCATAGATTTAAATTTTATAATCCATAGAAAAATTATAAAATGAGTACCACTCATTTAATAATTTTTCAACATTACTAACAGAAGCATAATTAAAATTGTAGGGACTTAAAATATTTACAACAGAGGTTAGTTAAAATCATGCAAATCTTTAACTTAGATTTATTAATAATAACATTCTGCTACAGTTTAAAAAAATTTACTTTTTTATGACTACATCCAAAATTTGAATGAAATTTGTTGAATAATACTTCAGCAATACAATTTCAAAAAGTTATTTTTCAAATTTTATTTCTTAAACTATTGACCAATTTCATTCAAGTTTAAAACTTCGCCATTAAAAATTGCATTGTTTGATAATCTAAAAATTTTTACTCTTCGCAATTTACTCTTTTCAATTTATTTATTCATTATTAAAATTTTCAACAAATTTTTGGAAACTATTGTAACCTTTCTAAATTACAGCTTCTTTTACTATTTTGAGAATAAAAAATCTACATTTGTCAGGAAAAAAGTTACGTTTATTAAAAAGAGATTGTTTTTGAGTTTAATTTAAAGATAATCTATATACAGTACTATTTAGTTAGCTTATTTCAAAAGTGCCCTTTAAACTATAAAGACTTTATTTTAGTACATTAGATAAAATTTTTATACATCAAATTGATATATATATATATTAGCTAAAATATTTTATCAAATATGAAAAAACACAGACATAAATTTTAAAATATAACTTTTTTCCTCAAAGAAACTTTCGAAAATGTTTTCCAAAATGGATGCATATTAAATATACATGCATAATAATCATACAAAATAAGATGTGGAGAGGTTTTTTTGATTCACTTCAAAAATTGTTACAATCATGCTTTTCTCTCTATTTAAAAAAAAAAATCTTACATTTTCTATGCTACTAGGCTAAAAAACAATTTTAAGTTAATTATACAAACATATATAATTTAATTAATGAATATATATTGTCATGTTCATAATATATAGAACAAGTATTTAAATTTACTTCAAAAATAAAAATACTCGTAAAAAATATTCATGTACAATTTATTAGAGACATACTTAAGTTATAAATCATACAGAATATTACTCAATTAAAAACTTCATTCACCTTAAAAATATACACATTGGAAATAATTGGAATTATTTCCAAAGTGTATATTTTTGAAGATGAAGTCTTTAATCAAGTAATATTTTACCGCTTCTGTTTCTTGGGATTATTAATGTCACATACGATTGCTCATCGATTTTTTTTTTTTACTTCCAATTATTTCAAACTTTTCTTAAGAATTTGAATTGCTCCCGTCAATAATTACATTGAAGATTTTCTATGATACACATATCTTACAATTAATGAAATAGATAGTGGAAAAGCCTTACAAATTCTGCACCCAAACTTAATTAAGAGCTCAAACATTTTCATATCATTTCAATGGAAATCTAACATAACGTTAGTTATTGAAATATTCAGTTTTTATAGTTTCAGTTTTCTGTAGTTTACTTTTAGAAAGATTTGTTTACCAACTAAAAATGCTGCAGAAACCTTCTCACAAGTAGAACTGTGTGTTCTACTAGACAGACACAAAATATTTTTAATTTCAAAATGAACACATTACAGCAAAATATATGTTTAAAATAAGAGCATAAATGAGATTCAATAAATAAATATAAGAGATAGAAAACCATTAAGCAGTACATTAGATTACCCTTAAATAAATAAAAAAAAATTACTTAAAGTTAAGATTTTACATTACCATACATTAAAATATTTAAGTAGTAAAACACCAATAATTGGTACAGCACAAACACACAATCTCAATGATCACACAATAAAAAATGTCTACACTTTATGATTGATATACATGAACATCAAAACTATGTAGTCAATTAAAAAACTGAGAACTCTAACTTCAAATTAGGAATCAAGCTGCAAACAATTTATTGAAATTTATAATCACACAACAAAACTGTTAAAAAATTACAATGATTTATCTTTATCATTGTGCCACATTTGTGCTTATACTCCTTGTCACATAACTTTATTTAAGTAACATTTTGTACTTACAAACTGAAAGAAAATTACCATCAAGCTATTAAAATTCAAAACAACCATATAAATCATATATTTCCAACATCAATCTTTATAAAATTGTGATAACATAACGCATTGCTATTAATTCTAAATATGATAAAAGCACAGATAGAGTGAACAGAGTACATAATGAAGATTAACTTGGAACATTATTGCAAATTTTTTCTCTCTCAATTTTCTTAATGTTTTGGCATAAAATTCAGCAGCAAAATAAACTTTAAGTAAAATAACATTCCAGTGAACACATTTTATAATCTGTTTTTAAAGTGAATCAAGCATATATTGTATAAATATTATTATAGCATATTCTGCAATTACAAATATTTAATTTTATTATTTTATTAGCAAGAATTATAACGATAAAAAAACAAATACTGCATAAATTTACTATAGATTCCATAATTGTTTAGATTTTAAATATTATGTTGTATTTGGCGTATTCTTATAAATTTTATGTCTTTTTCTATACTTTTTTTTAAAATTTAACAGCAAAATAAATCTTACTTTAATGTAAAACTATCTGACAGTCATGATGTAATTCATAATTATTTATTAAGCGAATGGAGCACATAACATAACTTTGTTATAGTAAAATTATTAAACTCAAATATTTAATTATACTGCAATAGTTGGCAACAAATATAAAAATTTAAAAAAAAAGACTGTCTAGGTTTACTTTAGATTTCATTCTTTGTTGTACAGATATTAAATATTTCATCATATGCCATAATGAGAAAAATATCAGCTTTGTGAATATTTGATAACCTAATATATATATTTAACTTTCCGTGCTCTATATGACTTATTAATAAAAGGCAACAGTTTAAATATTTTGTTGAAATATAATACACAATAAACATTATAAAGTTGTAACATCTGACCTAAAGTATACACTATGGAACATTTCATAATTTTAATTTCTATAGTTATATATTTATTATAAGCAACATATTATTTAACTTTTTAAAGGTTCTTCAAACAATCAAATTTAATTTTAAACTATTTAGAAGAGTAATATTTTTGTTCGAATCAGAATTTAGCAGTTCAAAAACATCACAGTATGCAGGACAGAGAGCTTGATGATGCTATCTTCCTCTTTCAGACAAATTACAGAATTCCAATTATCCTAAAAATCTGAAATAAAAAAAAGACTTAATTATGTGAAAATGATAACAGATGTTAAAACAAGCTATGTCATTAAAGTAAAAACAGATATTTTAACATGATGTTGCAATATTATGAGTGTGCAGAAAGATCATAATATTTACTTATGCCTGAAAAAAGCTAGGTTAATTTTCGTAAAACTATGCTTAAGTTTTAAAAAAAAGGATAAGAAAATTAATGGAATTATTCAAAATAATTCAACATGATTTTTAATTTTAATATGTTTGTAAAAGTTTATTGAAGATACCATTAAAAAAGAAAAAGGAATTAAAAAATATTATGCTGGTAATGAACAGCCATTTTCAATAATATATTCAGTAATTTGAAAAGTTTAGGTATAAACCAAAACCAAAATTTTGAATGTCACATATTTTTTTAACTTGACTAAAATACCTATAAAATAATCTACATGTATGGAGCAGTTTTTATATCATCATTCATTACACAAATTTATATATGTGAATAAAACTAACAGAGTTATAACATAATAAATATACAGGTAGAAGTTGCACTTAAATGATTAATCAGTTTATTACTTTCATTAATATTATTTCTTACTGTAAGAGCAAAAATACAAAAAAATTCCTACGTTTAAGTATTAAAGTTTTCGTTATGTTTTGGCATGTTCAGCATCTTCTTCCCAGCCATCACTATCATATTCACTCCCAGATTGTGAGTCAGAATCAGAAAACTCCATCGCTACTCTTCGGGCGAGAATGGAAGCAACATCATGCAATGGAGCTGCTTTCTCTACTTCTTTTTGTTTATGATCTTCAACCCTCCGTAGTTTTATACCTAATTGTAAATGTATTATTTAAAAGACATATTTAAAAAAAAAGGGCAAAACAAATATTTAGTTAAACTTTATTAATACATCAAACATTATTATCAAACATAAACATTATCAACATCATACTTTTTTAGAGAAATCCTTACAAAAGAAAAATTTAGAAAAATCTACATTATAGTATTTTCAGAATCATATTTTAAAAGAAATGAATAAATAGAGGATATATCTGAAGGACATAGTAAGCTATGTGTGCATTGGTTCCAATATATAGATATATATTTAAAAAAACTTAATACAATGGCAGAAAAAAACTGAAGTATTTTACACTAAGTTATTATTATTCTTTTCTTTTCAAGAGTTTCATACACTCGCAGTATAATAACATGGCATAATGGTTTAAATTCCCACATAAATAAAATTTAAGAATTTAAATCATGAGAATTAATTAAAATGAACTGATTTAAGTGGGGTTTGCAAAACTATTTTTAATTTGATTGAGAGTAGTGCACTTACATTGTGATGACACTATTTTTATCAAATCTAATTTAATCTAGTTTTTGCTTACATCCATATCCCAGATTTTAGTTCCAACATAAAAAAATTATCCATCTTCCCATAAAATAAGGAACAAAATAATTCATATTCAGAAACAAGATTTTGAAATATATTTCACATAAAGAAATCATTTTTGCTTATATTCTTACTTTTAAATTTAAAAATAGAAAATTTTCAAAAAATGAAAATCGTTTGTATACTAAAAAGAGACAAATTTTGATAGGAATAGACTCCTACTAATGTAGCAACATATTAGGAAATACCATTAATATATAAGTAAAATCCGACACACACAAAGTTCTAGTTATATGTGAAAATCTAGACGCTCAATATTTCTTATGTAGCATTAAATTCAGCCACTAAAATTAAGCCATTTTCTTAATGTTTGACAAAATTTTTTAAATTTTATTAGGAATTTTAAAATTTGCCAGCCTAAATACACCATACTAAACAGTTGTTTTTTGAGAAATTGTTCATAATCCGGACTAAGCAAAAAGGTGTGTGGTCTGTAGAATATTAAGAAGTAAAGGCAATATGAAAGAAGAATAAAAAGTGGTTTAATTGCAATTTAGTTAGATAATAAATAAATTATCCAGCTAAGATAATCAAAACATCATCATTATTTTTTATACATTTCAAATTATTAAATTTAGCTATAAAAAAATATATAAATCTGTAATTTCATAAACATTTGCTTTCAATAATAAATAAAGTGCAGTAATAATTTTAAAGGCAACACTCGAGGAAAACTACTTTAAAAAAAATTTATAAATTATATATAATAAATATAAAACCAGAAACAATTTATGAATATAAAACATATAATTTAATCTTGCTAGCCAAATAGTAATTTTGCACCTAATGCATTCTAAATAATAATAATAATAAAAGCAGACACCAGAAAGTAGTATCGGCAAAATAAATTTGAGTAAATCGGGTGACAACACTTTCTCTGCTGACATTTTCTACAAAAAATGCGCACAATTTCTACAAAAGAGACACATCTTAGTTGGTATTCTTTGGTATTTACACTCGTTATTCTTCTGCTTTACGTTAGCTAAATAATGAAATTTAAAATTTATTTGTTCTACAATAACTTGATGAAATCATTTTAATATTTAATAGCAATGACATCCTCACCTGGAAATTTGAAGTCAATAGAAATGAATTCTTGCTAAACATTCTATGAGTTAAAAAACTATTTTGTTCGATTTCTCAACAACATTAAACGATTAAAATTATATTTTTCTTTTCCTCAATAATAAGCAATTGAAATTTAAAATTTTTGATTTAAACTATGTTGGATTCTTAACTAGTAATAAAAAGTTAGAAAGGGAGAATGATATAAAAATCTTTTTCATTATTCATTTATACATAAAGTCAGTATATAAAAATCCTTGATTTTTTTTTCATAGCAAATATTTCATTAAATAATAAATATTTCTATGACTTTAACCCTAATGCATGAAATTAGCAGATGATTAAATAAATACCTTCTCTTATAGCTTGCAAAAGATCACTTCTTCCATCATTTTGACCAGAGAATTTTGATTTGGAGTTAAAATGTTCACTAAATTTACTAACACTTGATGTTTCACTAGCTGATTCAGATGTAATTGACACAACCTCCATATTTTGATTTTCAGAAATACTACCATTTTCAGCTATGTCCAAGACAAGATCTTCCAAGGGTGGCAATGGAGGAGGAGGCGGTGGTGGAGGATGCGATACAGGCTCTTCTCGCGGTAATGATTCAGATTTTGGAGATGTAGATGCTTTTTCTTTCGGCTCCTCGTTTGGAATACTTGGAGGTAGTGGAGGTGGCGGTGGCAAATCTACCTCCTCATTAGATTTTTCTTCCATAGTTTTATCTAGACTTGATTTACTTCCACTTCCACTATTATTACTACCAGGTGAGAGGTTTTTTGGACTATTATTTTTCTTCTCCATGTTTCCATTACCTTGTGGCTTTTCCTCATGACTGTGCAAAGGAGACATGATTAAATCAGAGGAGGTTTGAGATTCTTTCCTTTTTACAGAATTATGCAAAGGAGATTCGGTAGTGGTTGAAACAGGAGGTGGTGGTGGGGGTGGTAAGTTATCTCTTTGAGAATTATTGCGATATCGGCCAGTTCCACTTGACGGTGTGCCGACTGAAACAGTGGGTGTAGACGATCCACTAGAGCTTGCAGAACTAAGTGCTGGAGGAGCAGGCGGAGGCTGAGATGGCCGCAATGAATTGATACGATAAATATTTCGGGTAGGAGTTCCAGACGGAGAAGAAACTTGTCTCTCAGGAGTAGAAGCAGCATATGGGGGTGGTGGATAATGTTGTTGTGGCGATATAGGGTGCTCTGTATAGGCAGGCGGAGGTGGAGGATATTGTGGTTTTGAGCTGTCCGAATAAGGAGCTTGTTGTTGATTAAAGTAAGGAGAATGAAGCTCTAAACTGTTGGGTCTAATTGGTTGAGCATCCGGTTGAATTTGATTGTTGCCTATAGGAACGCCACTATAATAGTAATTATAGTTAGAAGGTTTAGTTTCCTTGGCCGATGATATATTTTGTTTGTACTTCTCTTTAGATGTATGAGGTTGTCTGTTCTTCCTATGTTTTTTACACTCAGGTTTGACTCTTTGGTTCGGATTCTACAAACAAAATTTGAATACATTATTTTTAGTAAAAAAGTTATAAATTCATCATACATTAATAAAACTCGTAAAAAGAAAACTCACAACAAATTTTTAGAATAAATACTTATTTATTAATTAATTATATATATACAGTGGAACATCGTTTATACGACGATCACTTATACGACGTTTACATTTATACGACGTTTTAGTGTGGTCCCAAATCATTCCTATTCATTTTATTGTAAAAATATATCGTTTATACGACACACAGAATCGGTTATACGTCGATTTTTAGATTTTGTTCACGTTTAATTTCTTCTTTATTCTTCATTCTTTATTTTTCCCGCGTATTTTAAAAAAGGGCGGAATTTGCCAATATGAATGATACAGAAAAGGGTGCCAACAAGAATGCTTGGATGACGAACGTAATTTTTACTAGATGACTGAAAAAACTAGACCATGTCATGAAGAGGCAAAAACGAAAAATTTTGCTATTCATCGACCAATGTCCAGCGCACCCATCGATACTAATTATTTTGGAAAATGTAAAAGCTCTCTTTTTTCCTGCAAAATGCACAAGCGCGCTTCAGCCATTAGATTTGGTCGTGATTAGAAATCTAAAATTGCATCATAGAAAGCAGTAAGTTCAACTCGCTATTCAAAGCATTGTAGAGACTAATAGCAAGAAAATATAATTAAAGGTAACATACATTCAAATTGCTCACTGCAATTTTTCTTCTTTGGTTATTTGTTTGTTTTGCATTGTCTAATTTAGAAATTTATGTAAATCAACACGTTAAACATTAAAATTAACTGAAAACAGAGTTAGTTTCAGTTTTAGAAGTAAGAATCGATTATACGACGTTATCGTTTATACGACGTTTTTCGGTGGTTCCTTCAGCGTCGTATAAACGATGCTCCACTGTATATAATATATAGTAAATATATATAGTAATGAAATATACAGCAGTTTAGCCTTATTTGAAAAATGTTGGCAATTTAGATGGGGAAAAACTATTTATTGCTGAAGAAATAGCTTACAATACAGAATTTATAGAATTTGATGATCAAATAAATGAAAAATTTTTGTCAAGTCAATTCTTGTCAATATCATATCCAAGTATTAGTTTCAATCAAAATATAGACAAAAATATATATTGCTTCAGTATTAGTGTGATTTTTAAACATAAAAACAGGGGCCTGTATAGGACAAATTTACTACCGTTTAGCGGTACCTTCACAAATTCAACTTTAGGAAAAACGGTAGTTTCGCAAAATACTTTTCCTAAAATTTTAATTTTGTATCCCGTAAGAAACGATAAATCCATATTTTTGTGTTGATTTTTTAATGTAAATCAACTTTAGGAAAAACGGTAGTTTCGCAAAATACTTTTCCGAAAATTTTAATTTTGTATCCCGTAAGAAACGATAAATCCATATTTTTGTGTTGATTTTTTAATGTAATTTTTAATTTTCACAAAATAGGTACCTCTCAGAAAAACCTAGACAGACCACTGCTAAATAAAATGATAACTTTTTAGATCAAATGCTTATTTTTACACAGTACTTTAAAAGGAATAATATTTGCATACCGTGTGTTAAATGAAACAAAGATTGATTTTTAAGCTAAACAATTTATAATTAAACAATTGTGTTTGATTCTAAAGATGTAGAGTTTATGAATAAAAATTTGACTTTTTAGGAATGATCATATTTTTTAATGATCTACTTTTTAAGCTGATTGGCTAAAAAACTTAAAACTGAAAATGATAACACCAATACCTTAACTTTAATTAATAACCTTAATGATTAAATTGCTTCAAAACCAATTAAAAAATGTGTTCAAAGTTTTAATTGGCAATTTTAATGGTAACTAAACTACTATCAAGAAAATGAATGCAATATTTACCTTTCTCATAGACAAATATATCTTTCACAGAGATATTAAAATAATTTTCTCCTTTTTATTATTAGGCATTAAAGTTCAAAGTATGTCATTTTTGTAAAAAAATATTGAGGAAACAACTAAAATGTTTAATGTTTTCCAACATCTGAACTTAAAACTGATTTTAAAAATAATTCACAATAGCATATTATATCAGCTCTATTTAGCCCAAGTTAAGTTTGGGCAACAATAGCGAGTTTTTAAAAAGGGGAAACAAATAATAATAAAACAGTAATTAGAATAGTAATAAATAGATTAATACCTCAGCCCCTTCCTTTGAATGAGAGACCTGTGAACAAAAATAACTGCATACAGTATATGTAAGCAATATTTAAAAAAAAATTTAAATATTTGAAGAAAAAAAAGGCTAATTGTCTTACAATACTCACAGTAACCATAATCAATAACTTAATTGACCAACAGATACAAAAAAAATTGCATCCAAACATTGAAAAATAAATTTATTTGAAGAAATATGATAACAGAAACTTCAAACAAGACAGTAGAAAAATTTATTTTTACTAAGTTAAAATTTACCTTTTTTCCACGATCATGTATAATTTTCTCAGTATCTTTCAGCATTTCTTGTTTCCAAAGATCAAAAAAGTAATTTGGATCAGTGTAAAATTTCAATCCATCTTTTCCATCCTCTCTGGAAAATACATGTGTGATAATTAATTTGCAAGAATTGAAAAAATTACAACAGAAATAAGTATTTGTTTTTAAGAATGTGTATTAACTTTATTTAATGTTAAAATAACAAACAAAAATTTTAACAGGTTGCTTTCTCGTTTTATAAAAATTCTCTTTCATATTATTAATTTGAGAAATTATTTGTAAGGAAAAGCTATTTCAGTACATTCAAGGTTTGGCAGTTTTTAAATGAAAATTATGAGCACAGCATTCAAGCACAGAAAACTTAACTACTTGGATGATTAATAAAAAAAAATTGTGCATGATATGAATATAATTTATTTCAAGATATTAGGGCACTTCGTATTCCATCTTCTTGTGCTGGTTGTAGGAGGACATGGAATAGTGCAGGAAAAGAGGTTGCACAAAGAATGGGGGCAGACTTAAATATTGCTCACTCAAAAAATGAGGTATAGTCTCCTGTATATATTTTTATGCTTAATTGAATAAAAACTTAATGTCTTTATCAAAGTGTACGATTGTTATGCATTTTTATTTTAGGTGCTCTACTAAACCTAGTTTCCATTTATATGCGTCTAGTACTTATATTATAGCAGGATTAAAATATTTTGGGTCTTTTGATAATCTAAATAAATTATCAAACTATAAACAATCTAATTGTCCATTACAAAACAATTCTTGAATCGATTACATAATTACCGCAGAAATTTATTACTTACAAAACTGAAAAACCGAGTAATATATTCATTCAGGATGAATGAAAGCAATGACATTTAAAAATTATGATACATTTTTGATTGCAAGCAAAAAAATTAATTGATTTAAAACTTTCTCCTAAATTTAAAAATCTACCGAATAGTATAGATGAAAACTAGAAAAAATAAATTAAAGAATAATAACTGTGTAAAGGAGTAGAAACTTATCAAGAATAAAATTAGTACTTTGTTATGTAAATATCAGGCACGCAATACAATATGCAGTTACAATACAATACTCTCAAAATTTCTCATTAAAAAAATTAAAAAAAAAAAAACAATTTGAGACAAATTTCTTTTTTTTTTCAGAAAAAAATCTAAGAAATAATTCTTAAAAAAAAAACTTTTCAGCTTGCTTAGTAACTTGATTAAATTTTAACTGAAAAGGATTTTTTTAGTTTGTCTAAACCATTAGAGGATGAGACACTTTTTAAGATTTCTTATTAAAAAGGAGGGCATATGCACACTGTCACCTGCACTAACAACGCACTTTTACTTTGATGAAATGCTGAAATTCAATTTTACCTATAAGGATTGAGTTTATCCAATGGAGGTGGTTTGTCACACATAAAGTATTTTTCTCTCATAGCTGCTGGCATAGATTCTCTAGACACCACTTGCTGCTCATACACGATGTAACTCTTAAATGCTTTTCTCATGTGTATATCATGCAAAGAAACTGTAGGTAAAACAAAACATCTATTATTGATAAAAATTACTTCCAAACTTATTATATTATTTTTTAAACGAGTTTTATGATAAAAAAATGCTTCATTATAGATTAGGTGTTTGCATGTTCTTTTAATACAGAAAATATTGGGACATATTGGTGCAATACTATATTAGCTGCACTGTTTGATTGTTCCAAATAAGAGATGGCACTATGCTTTGTAAGAAAAATTTCATTACCATCTACACAATATTAACTACAATTGTGTCCAACAACACATCCATTTACAATTCACTATTATCAAATTAAATTAAAAATCCATTTTTTACTTATCAAACATAAATTTTTTTACTACATTTTTAATTTATTACTTTCAAAGTGATGTTTCACAAGAACCTTGATTATCCAAATCTCTTTTATCTGAATACTTTTGTGAACCAAAATTTCTTTTTGAAAGTTTTAATTAATGTTATTCATTCTCTTCCTTTTGCCATTAGTTAAGTGCTTAAAGAGAAAAAAAAACTTCTTCACTTTAGTTATTTTAAATAATTTTTTAGGTATTGCACTCCAAATAATATGGTATACTAACTAAAAAATAGCAAAAAAGACTTTGCTCTTGAATAAATATACAAATGTTATAAACAATAAACTAATAACTTTCAGTGAACAGAAAAAATAAGAATGAAATTTGAGTCAGGGTTCACACTTAATGTCATCTCTTTTTCTTGAATATTTTGAGTCATAATTCTAAAGAATAATACATAGAATCATGCAATGCATCAGTTAAAATATGATAATAGTATTTGTAGATAAAAAAAGAACACCAATAAAACTTTAAAAGCATAAAAAATTACATGCATTATTATAAATACAGCATTATCAGTCCTACATATTATCTAGTCATATAATATTGTGATAAACTCATATTTATTCCTACAAATCAAATTCTCAAGTTTAAATAATCCTAAACAGTTTAAAGAATTTTAAACAAAAGATTATTTATCATTAACCAGCAACAAACTTTAAAAAAAACACTTATACCTTTAGTTCAGAAAATAAATCAGAATTTTCATTAAAGTAATGATAGCATCCTAAAAAATTATTCAAACATTATTATATTTCTATAAAGTATGAATTCATGATTTTTTCAAACCATAATGGCCTGCAACAGCAGAAGTGACCTTATCACACATTTGCGTTGGAGAATTAAAAATTTTGGTAGAAAAAATAAAAAAATTTAAAATTTTAATAGTATAAAATGTTTTAATAGTATAAAAGACAAAGAAATTTTAAGTTTCCAAGGCTTTTAACAAAAATTTTAAATTTCTCAAATTGTTTTTAAAGCTAATTTTAAATATCTTGAGTTTTTTTTAGTCATATGAATTTTGCTAGATTGGTCCGATGGAACTAATAATTAAATTCACGAAACAGAACAAGAGAATAAAGTCAATGAAAAATTAAAAACAATATTATAATTCGTATTCAACGAAGAAAGCAAAATATTAAATAAAAAAAAAACTAATAAAGAAAAAAAAGGTAAAACCTTCTTCAACAGTCGAATCTAACTGGGTGACTTTGACAGCCAAACGATCTATGCGTCCTTGTAAAGATGTTGCTCTTGCTACAATAGATGAAGATTCCCTGAACAAACTGCTAAATAAATCTTCAGCATGTTTAGATAAAGATGACAACTGCCGAATAATGTTAGCTAATGTTCCATTAGTAACACATTCCAACTCATTTGGCACATCCACTGCAAGAGTACCTTGTTCATCAAGAGGTAGAGTATTTCTGCACACATGAACAGGCTCTATTACTCTTTGTAAGAATGGCATCACTCATAACAGAAACTTCCTATAAAGTAGATTTCAAAAATTTAGTATAATGTGATAATTTTATCAAACTTAATTTGAAAACATCTTAAAATGAAGTAAGTATCTATCTTTTTTCAATTTCCAGTTTTTAGACTTATTTACAAAATTAAAATATTTAAATAGTGAAAATTCATCAACAGAGATTAATTTAAAACAAAATTTCATTCCTTTTTTATTAGCTGAACTTAATATCCATTAGATTCATTATTAAAAAATTAGATTAAGATAATTAAGTTAGGCAAAATAAAATTTAAATCAATTATATTCATTATTTAAAAATTGTAAAACAAATATTCAGTATAGTTAGAAAAATTATGAATGAGTTAAAAAAATTTAGATTAAGATAATTAATTTAGGTTAGATAAAATTTAGTTTAAGTTTAAACAACTAACATTTACACTAATCTCTCATATGTCACCAACACATTTGTAAATAGACAGGAACGAAGCATTTTAATAAATGTAAAGTAAATGCAAACTAATCAAAAAGTTATAATTTTCCAAAGTTATATAATTAATCAAAAGCTATAGTTACTGCAAAAGTTAAGTATTTATCATAATTTGAAAATATTGAAACTTAAATACATTTTATTTAAAATAAAATATATATTTATTTAAAATAAAATAAAATAAAATTTTATTTAAAATAAAATAAAATGTATGTATAAAATGCATAAAGAAAATAGCTCAACATTTAAACTAACATGTCATATGATATCAGAAACACTTTTGTAAATAGATAGAAAAGAAGCATTTCATAGAATATATAGTAATTTACAAACTAATAAAAAGCTATAATTAGCCAAAGTCATAATATTTGAAATAATTAAGGAAAAGATTATTATAAACTTTTTATCTTCATACAATGCATCAATGTATCCAAACAAAGACGTTTATGGCAATAGGAAATGTTTAAATGCCTCATAAGACAGGAAAGAACAATTTGACACCTAGATTAAAACTGTTCAACCATTAGATATGCTTCATTTAATATCAGCAATTCAGATACTTCAACTTTTTCTAGTTGAGTAAGCTTTCCATATAAAAAAAACTGAAGATATTAATTAAATATTGATAAAATCAGAGAGAATACGGCAAAAAATAGTGAAAATAAAGTCGGAAAGACAGATTGTGTTTTCCTGTTGAAGAAATGCTACTATTTATTATTTTACTCAGTCAATAAAATTAATACTTAAAACTTGGAATTTCCATACAATGATTCAAACAATTTAAATTAAGTTCATTTAACTAAGGTTTAAACTCTTCAGTTCTGAGGTGATTTTAAATCTCATGCTAGGATCACATTTTAAACTGATCAAAATTTGAAACAAAATTACATTTGCGTTCAAAACAAATTGAAGAAAAATGAAGATGATTACTTAAGCTAATCAAATCATAACCGAAAAACATAAATTAATACTCAATGACCTAATATGTATTGGAATGTTTAGATAAAATAAATTAGTTGAGTTATCTAAGGTGTCCCATATAATCGATAGATTATATAGCTGAATGTTTAAAGTTAGCTATTTTTGTATGTTACTCGAGTTTAAACTAGATATATAGAGGTTAATATATTTTTTTAACGTTTACAAACTATATTTTATGGATAATGAAATGACTATTAGCCTACCAGCAAAATTAAAGTTTTTGTTTGTTTACAAACTGCTCGAAAGAAGATATGCAGTTCTATTTCCACTTTTCTCCTCCTTGCCGCATTTCTTTGTCGACCATTGAGTTGAGAGGAACTACAAGCTGAGAAAAAAGAATTTTTTTTTTTATTGCGAGTAAAATTAATTTCTTGCAGGATAATTATTATGAATTCTAAAAATCATATTCCTCTTTTTTTTAACTTTTTATATAAAGTATTAAATATAAAAATCATTTTTCAACTTATATGATACTTTCGACAACTCAACACTTAAAGTTGAAATCTGTCTGAATGTCAACAATAACAATATTGGCAGGGATTTAAATTTGCTGTGATCTAATTATTATTTCTCACAGAATTTAATGTTCTTTGAGGCCCTAATATTGTGCCTTTCTATTTTATAAGTTCATGGTTTTAAATTAACTATAAATCAAATATTTTATAAATGCTTATTGAATTGCTGCTTAAAATTTAAAATGAGTATGTCACATATGAAGCAATATCATTTAATCGATGTTATTTTATTTAAATCACTAAATACAAGTTAGCCAAAAATTTTCCATGCAATATTTTACACAAGTTTGTATCATTGAAAAAAAAAAGAAACTCAATCATGACATTAAATATATAAACATAAATTAAAATGTTTATTGCTCGATTTATTTCAGCTTATTATTTAAGTCTTTAAAGCTTTAATTTAAGTTGTGTTTTATCGTTGATAAACACTGTTATTTAACAGATAGATTTAATCGTTAACGGAATATTTGATAATTTTTATTAACAGTAAAGAGCAGGAATAATATCGCACATTCAAGTCATGATTAACATAGATACATTATAGTTTGAAATTTATTGTGCTGGCTTATTTTAGTAATATTTTGAAATAATGAGAATGAGATCTCTCTAGGAAAAAAAATGACTGGTTGCTAGTATTAAAAAAAAAAAAACACATTTAGTTTTGAAGGACACCTATTTAGAATGGAAAAAATAAATAAATAGATAAAATGAAAGCTTTAGTAAAATTATAGTTGTTGAAGGTTGCATATTAATAATTTTTGTTAATTAATTATCGAAGGGAAACTTTCAAGAAATGATTAAATTATTGGTTTTTCTCTATTTATCATTCCTATTAGTGAAATGAGTTTTATACATATACATGTTATTAAAAACATCTGATTTTATTCTATCAGTATTTTTTTATTAGATTATACTCAGAAATACATAAATTTAATAAAAATTCTTATTTTACATTTATTAACAAATTCAGCACAAAATATATCATTGGTACTTTTCATTTAGCTGGGCACAAGGAAATTCAACTGTATTTTTTGAAAGAAATTCTCTTCATTTTATTTAAATTTTTTTGTGAACAGCCATTTTGTTCAATGTTTAAAAAAATGAAATGTTAAAAAAATAAAAAGTGTTGGCAATTGTTTATATTCCTTAGTGACTCCTTGTGCCTGGCTAACCAAAAAATACCATATCATTTATATGCTAATTATTTTTACTACCTACTTTTACAAAACACATTAATTTCTCAATTTTTTTAAAAGACAAGTCACAAAAAATAGTTCTAAGCATTTTAATTAATTATGAATCTTATTCATACGACAGTGCGGTATAAATCATTTATCAGTGTACTTGTGTTTAGTGTTTATATTTTCCTAAAATTTTTCCCTTATTTACTCTTCTAGATTGGGGAAAGTGTACCTGCTATAAATAAAGAATTTTTAAATTACAAATTTATGTATTTTAATGTTGATGTCAAAAGTTTATGATTATGTCTTAATATTTTTCCTCAGTAAAACTTGTGTGTCCATGATGCTAAAATTGTGTGAAAGGCTTAAAAAAAATTTTTTTCTTCATAAGCTTAATATTTAAATGGTTAAACAATGAAATTTTTAGTTTAATTCATTTTAAGTTTTGAAATTCATTATTAACTTTGTACTTTTTCTATTATTTAATTTATTATTTTTCAGGTGATGAACTGAATAATGCTTCTACTTCTGGATCTTTGAGAAAGAAACTGACCAGATTTCTCTCATCAGCTTCATGTTCTACAACTTCTAAATATTTTATTTCAAATACGAACTGTACTCAAAATACAGTTTCTACTGTTTTTTCTTCATCTGATAGTAGTGCATTTAATTCAATTTCAAATGCAAAAACTGAAGAAATGGGATCTTATTTGCCAGAAGAAATTTCTCTTGTGAATTCTAAATTTCAAGTCTCTCCAACCAAAGATGATGTTGAAGATGATTTTCTTGAATGTAAAATTGAAAAGAAACTAAGAACTGCACAAACTCAGAAAGCAAATGTTGGTACTTGTATTTGTGTTGTGTGTAGAGTGGATTTAACAAATTTAGATCTTGAAAAGCGTACTGTTCACATGAATCAGTAAGTATGCATCTTGTTACTACTACTATTTATATTATTGATTTTGTGTAGAAATGCATCAAATTATAATTCTTTTATACATGTAAGAATATTTGGAAATTCCATTTGAATTTAAGTACAAAATTCATGTTACAAAGATTCAGCTTTGCATTTGTTTTATTTTTTATCTTCTAAGTTTATTAATGTATTGAAATTTTTCTCATTGCTAACTAAATTTAACTGTAAATTTATCTATAATTAATATAAGACTTGACTCATTATTTAGACAAATCTCTTTTAAAAATAAGAAAGCGGATTTTTTTTAGAGGGTACTCGCATAAATTATGGTGCTTAATCATTTAATTTATCTATAAAATTAAGTTATTTCACTTCAATCACATTTCACATCTGTATAATATCACCTATGGAATTTATTTTTATTTTTTTTATATAATTAAGTGAAATTTTTGTGTTATGAAATATGTGTATACCTGTAAAATCATATGTAACTAAAAGAAAAAAAATTTGTTTCCTTTTTTTTTCTCTTTTTTTTTTTTTTTTTTTTTTTTTTTTTTTTTTTTTTTTTTTTTTTNTTTTTTTTTTTTGCTTTTTATATTAAAAAAATATCATAAATTGAAAAATATCTATATAGTTTCAAAAGAAGAAAGAAAGAACAATTTATTTTTTCTATATTGCAAGTGAAGAACAAAGCTCTGAATTGCAAAGAAATAATATGGCTGGATTCTGTGCTTACTCCTTGATCGCTTTTAATCCTTAATCATTTTAGTTTTAAAATTGTCAGATTTTAAAAAGTAGAAATATTTTATCATTTTATTATGAAAACTTCTTTTATCAAATTTCTTTACTCTGTGATATTATTTTAGCTAAATTTATTTTGCGATTATTTTTGCCAGTGTCAATTTTATTATCTCTGAAAATATGTTATGAAGAGGAAAAAGTTTATTTTTATGATATAGGAATTCTATTATAATTTATTTAATAATTTAAGTTTTTTTTTTAATGTTGAGAAAAATATATTTTTAGGTGTATTGATTCACAATGTTCAGCTGGTCAGGATATAGATTTAATGTCCTCAGAAGCATTCATATTAGAATGTCCTTTGTGTTTCAAAAATTTTCCGTCACCAGAGGTTTGAAAATTTGCTTTATTTTAACGTTTTGTTTTTATCACTTAAAAAAATCATTTTACTTTTTATAGGAACAGTTTCTTTTACCACTTTGTACTTACTTTTGTAATTTGTATGTACTTTTTTTTACTTTTTCCATTTCTAAGTTAGATCTTCATTTTATTATGCACATTTATTAAAATAATATTTCTACTAATATTTCTACATTGGTTTTATGCAGTTTGTTATTATTTAATATTTTTATTACAGCAAAGTAAATGTTTTGAGATTTTTCAAAGAATACTTATTCTAATTTTATATTGAAATTATTTCTTCAACAAAAATTTTAATTTTTTTAAATAAAATAAAATTTATTATTATTATTGTAGAAATTAATACACTTGTTGGGAGGATAAGCAATTTACTTAATTTCAGGTTTGTAAAATTAGTTCTTTTTTATCATAAGCATTGAATTGTTTCTTAAAATCTACAGTGTACTTCTTAGTTCAGCCCCATTGCGATGATGTTTCCATTACTATGATCCTTTCCTTTGCTACTACATTGAAATATTGTTATTTTAAAATTGCTTTAACACCCAAACTGAACTATTCATTCCAATATAGCAACCATTGAATTTCATTCCATTTCTTTACAAAAAACAAATTTATACCCCAATTTCATTAGAAGAAACACATCTAATATCTAATGAAACATGTTGAATTTCCTTTAAATAAAGTAAGAGTGGCACAGCCTCTGTTAATTATTTATCCTAAGTGGGGGTGGTAGAAGAAGCTTGGGAATTTAGATTGCTTAAAATAAAAGAAGAATGCTTCATGCTTGAGCACAAATCAGAATGGTGTCCCATATGCATTGCTAAATTTTAAAAAGATTCATTCCAAATCTTTGTAATATATTTATTTTGAAAAGATAAAACTCTATCAAGAGCCCTGGTGTCTCAAGGGCTAGAGCACTCGCCTCCCAATGAGGTGACCTGGGGATTAAATCCCAGCGATGGCTGGTTGTACCCTGCTTGCACCGACCACAGTGCTAATTTAAAATATCCTCAGTGGTAGATAGATCATTGGTTAAAGTCCCCTTGCTGTCAGCCTAATCATGGGAGTTTTTTCTTGTTTTCCTCTCCATGTTACGCAAATGCGGGTTAGTTTCATCAAAAAAGTCCTCCACAAAGGCAGGGTTCTTCCATATTTGATCCAGGAGTTCCCTTGTCTTCATGGTTGCGTTCAAAATTAGAAGGCTATGCAGTTGAAAATTGGTAGTCGTAAACTCAAAATTGGGTCTGCTGTTCAACAACGGTTTTTAAATAATATAAATCATATCATGCATTTGCATCTCCTACTTCAAAGTTTTAGTCACTTGTTCTATAAAATGTTAGTCCCCTTGATATAACTAACTTTCCAAGTGAAAAACACGTTTTCGCTTTTCTAGATGACTGTTGTTTAGTAAAATATGACTACTCCTGACCAACTTGTTATTTTTCTGATCTATTTTTGACTTTTAATTTGTTTTAAACAGTGTATATGTGTAGTTAGTTCATGCAGTAGGGGAAGAAGGGTACTTGTACTCAGATATCAGGCAGTGTTAAGCTTATTACTCTTTATCATAACATATCAATATTCTAGAATAACAGCAAAATCATTATGCTCTGCTTTTCACAGTAGAGATTATTGAGAGCAAAAGTTGCAGGATATTCTCCAATTACATCCTAATGCATGTTAAAATGTAAAAATCAAGTACTTTCAATGGTTTTTATTGCTGAGAAAGTGCACAAACCTGAAACTGTTATGAGGGTGATCAAAAAATTTTCTATAATAAATATTTCTAAGATATGTTATAAATTTAGTTTCAAACAAGAAATATCTTCAGAAAATGAATAGCATTCAAAAATTTAAATTATTTTAAAGTATGGGCTAATATTTAAGAGCTGATTAGAGACTTTTTATATTTCATATATTAATTAAGACGGATAACATATCTTTTTATTAAATGTACTTTATAAGTATTTTTTTATTATATCGTAGCTTTATCAATTTGTGAGAAAATTCTCAAATTTACTGCTATATTTTTTAGTTGTGAAATAAATATTTTTGTTCACTTATCAACCTTTCATTGTAATGTTTGTTTCTGTTTGGTCATTATATCGACCTTATGAGCTTAGTATTTATTATAGGGTTATTGTATTGAATTTATTTGTTACTTATGGAGAATATTTATAGTTGATAGTTTTATCTTTTTTTTAGATGCGTTCAGCTCATATAAAAAAATGTGGTAAATCTCGAGGTTTAAGTGCCCAAAGTGTCATTCAAGCTCTTCAATTGCAAGAAAAACATTTTTTAGAAAGAAGAGCCTTAGGACTACCTTTAAATAAAATAAAGTAAGTTTATATATGTTTTTTGATGTAATGGAGTTTAAGCATGCTAGTAATTTAGTTTTGTAAAAATTTGTCATTAGTTTGTTAACTTTCTCAGGTTGTGAGGATCTGTATTAATATTAAAAATTGTTCATCTAAGCATCCCTGGCGTAATGTAATTTAATTGTTCATCATGAAATCATTTGTTGAAAATAATGTAAGACAAGGAAAAATTACTGTGGGACTACATGACTTATAATAGCTAACGTGTAATATTTTATAATAAGATTGTATTATTGTATTTAAGGGCATAAAGTAGAATAAAAATATGATAATAATAGATAAATAATGTCAAATTATGCGAAATCTTAATTTAATAAGAGATACCATGTCTAAAATACCATGAAACATTACATGATGAACTTTGAGCATTTACTGTGAATTTTTCTCCATTTAATAAATTAGACTGTGCAAGATTTGGTAGCATGTACTTGTTTTCTAAACACTGTTATAGATTCCTATTAAAATTTTTATTTTTCTGCTTCTGACCTGATAATTATGTTCCATAGTTTTCTGCCTGGGGATTATGTTGTTAATAGAATTAACCTCACAAATGAAGATTTGGTGTATCTTTTTTGAACATAGCAAAGCAATGTTTTTAAAGCACAAATGGATACAAAAATGAATATGATGAATAAAAGTTCATTTTCTGTGTTTGATTCACATGGTTTTGTGTTGTTTAAAATTTATCTGATCTACTTTTCAGGGTCATTCGGAATATTAGTGATGGAAAAGGCTTAATTTAACAAGCTCTAAACAACAACAACAAAATTTTTGTGTATTATTGTCAATAAATAAAATTATAATTTTTACAGTTGTTTTACTTATGTGTATTTTTATGCCAGTTTTAGTTTAGATTAGGTTTTGTTATTAAAATATACTTAAATTGTATTTTAATATATTACAACATTTTATTTAGACAACTTAAAGGGCCAAAGAAGCCATCTGTAAAGAAATTTACAGTTGAACCTCGAAGGTAATAAATAGTTTTTATTTAAAAATGATAATTTTTTTAAACTGTATATTTTATACTTTTATTGAAATCAATTTAAAGGAAATTGATGCTTCTTTTTGAATTGGTCAAACTTAATATTAATTTCTTAACTACTTCAAAAAATTATGAGCTTCTTTTTTCAATTATTTCTGTAATGCTTTGAATTATAATTACTCAAACAAAAAAGTTTGTTAATTTTCTGATGTAAAATGAAAATTATAATTGAGCAAAACCTTGTTCAATTAACTTATTTCTTCTCTCTTTATCTTATAATGTCAACTTATATTTTAGTTTATTGGTGTTGTTAACAACTGTTTTTATTATTAAATTCCTTAACTTTTTAGTTTTAAACCCAGCTTAGATCTCTCGAGATCCATCTTTAGAGAACTCTTAGCTTGGGTAGCCAATTTTTTTGAAAAGACACTGTAAAAAAGGTGTCTCTTCCAATTTTTCCAACACACTGAAAAATATAAAAAGGTGAGAAATATTATTTGTAGTCCGATCATGGGATTTTTACACAAAGTGCGAGATTTCTTTTCGTGTAAGTTGCGAAAAGGGAGATTTAAAATATAATAAATAAAACAAAAGTATGAATTTAGCTCTTACTGTTAATTAACATTTTTGAAGATTCAATATATCAGGATCTGTTTAAATGAAAGTGAATAACTTGAAACATTTCATTTTAAATAATTAGTAAACCCTGTAATAATTATTAACAGACATAACTTAATTAACAGAGCATATGAATTTGATCAACTTTGTTGTTAGAATTCAATTCTGTTTTTCAATTCAACTATAATATGTCACAATCCAACTTGAAGGATTACTCCTTGATAAAGTTAATTCTTTTTGATAGGTACCATGTGCTATATTCTTTCTTCTCCAATGAAAAATTTTTTTAGACATTTTAAGAAATATGGTTTGGGAACTGTGGTTTTTTTAAATATTATCTAATATTAAAGACATTATTTTTAAAAAATATTTATGAATAGAAATGAATAATTATTTTAGCGGTTTTTAATTGTTGAGGGACCTCTTATCTTTGCCCATGTTTTTGCAATTAGAGTCATTATAGCTTCTATATTTATTTATTAATATTCAAATAAGGAACTTAGAAACTAATGTTACTACTTTTATTGATAAGACCTGGGAATTTATCAGGAACTATCACTACTTATAAAGTATATTTTTTGTTTTATAAAATCCTTTATAACTGAAATGGTATAGTTACTGCTATCCTTGTACATGACTTAATTTTTATCACAATCTATTTCTTTCTTTGCAGTGCAATGCAATCTGATATACAATTAGCAAAAGCCTTATCATTATCCCTGGAATCTAATGGAAGTCAGATCTCTCAAAATGAAATGCCACATCATAGATATGAAGAATCCTCTTCTATCATAACACTGAACCCACCCACAGAATTTCAAATTCCAGGCAGAGTAATCAATAACAAAAGAGTGAAATTGTAATTTTTTTACTATACATATATTGCTTTCAATAAGGCTTTAGATTAATATATATATTTTCATTTGATCACATTTAACAAAGTCTTTTATGGTATTTCATTTACTTCAGTTTACAAATGAAACATTTAAAGTTGATATTTTATTGTTTATAGAGTTTCAGTGTAAAAAAAATCAAACAAATAAGATTTTAATCTAAAAAATGAATTAATATCATATAAAATTTTATTAAAAGGCAAACATTTATATTTTCATAACATTAAAAGAAAAATATGTTCAAATATCAACAATGTAATTATTGACTTAGTTTTCTGTTACTTTTAAACCAATGATATATATGTAATTCTTTTCATTTTTTATAAAATGCAAAATAAAACAATTCACCAAATAGATTGCTTGAGTAAAAGAAAATTACAGTAATGCCTTCCTAAGTTAACTAATTGATGGTCCTCATAGGCTTATAAAGGAGCTTGTTTTACAAATTTGGCACGTAATTATGGAGTTTAATTTGAGAAAAGATCATATTTAAAAATTCATCAACTTAACTAATTCTCACTAAATTTATTTAAGCTAGCTAGCATTCATTGATTAAGGAAATTTTATTGTTTCAATTTTCTTATAATGCCAGTTTATATCTTTTATTAAGGTCTAAATGTCTGATTTAGTTTGTATGCAAATTGTCCTTTTGTGTACCATTTTTCTCTTGAATTACATTTTAGTATAGCCTTATGTTATGCCAGAAAAAGCATAGTTGGAGTTCTGAGAAAAGCTATATGTTAGAAGAATTCAACCATATTCACATTAATACATAACTTTATAACATAACTTTTAAAAAAAACTTTGTAAAAAAATTATTTTAAATTTAATGAAATTTTTTTTTTTTAAATTGCCTGTTTAAAGATTTTTAAGTTTATCCATTTCGCTTGCTTTTCCTATTGTGAAAAGCAAGCGATTAAGTTTGTAAAGTTAAATTGTTAAGATTTACTTTTGACTGATATATGCACCATGAAAAGTTATATGCTATAGCCATCATTTGATATAAAATGAATTTTATAATTTTTTTTAAAAGGTGTTAATTTTATTCAATAATTTTTATGAGCAAATATTTTATTTATTATTTGCAGAAGTCATACACCGTTATTGCTAACAAGAACTGAGGAAGAAAGAAACAAAATTATGCTTGATAAAGTTAATGCTGTTATTATGCCTGAGGTATTTTGTAATTGATAGTTGTTATTTTTAATGCACCCATTGATTTTAATAATTGGTACTTATTTCTGATATCTTTTCTTATTCTGGTAACTTACAAACTGAAAGTTCAAATATCTTAATGTTATAATTGAAATATTCAAGCAACTTTGTAAAATATTGACTATGCCCCTTCTCAATTTTGACAGAAAATGTGCTTTTTGACAGAAAATATTCAAGCAACTATGCCCCTTCTTAATTTTGACAGAAAATATTCAAACTACTTGACACTGTAAAATATTGACTATGATCTTTTTCAATTTTGATAGAAAATGTGCATTGCCATGAGAGAGTGATTAAACACTATTGATTTTGTTCATTATTAATATATGACATAATCATTAATATAACATGTTTAATATGATGTAAATCAAAATTATTAATGCTTGTAATGATAGGAAATATAAGCAATTGTAATTACATTACTAGATTTCTAAAATATATTTTACTCTAACTTTTAATAACAGCATTTTTTATCTTTTTGTTTATATGAAAAATGCCGGTAACGATAGTAACGCATACATTTGATTAAAAATTAAATAAAATTAAAAGCGAAAGATAAATATGAAATTCAACATATTTAATATTAATTTATAAATAAATAAAAATTATTCAGAAAAATTAGAATCAGTATCAAAAATTATGTGTAAACACTCATATGATCATTAGCTTCTTGGTTTGCACCAAAGTGGAAATGAAATAATCCATCTTCATTTTCATAAAATATAAGCAAAGCTATGCAATTTCATGCTAAACATATTTTTTCTCATCTCCTTGAATAATTCTAAGAGAGAAAGACCTTTCGACTGTTTATTCATCCATCCTCTTTCTCCCTGTTTATATCTTTCATCATAGTCCGGGAATGAAGGGATTCATCTTTGCTTCGTTGAAAAAAGAGAGTAACTACACATTGACCTGCTAAACCAGTTTTTCCTCACACCCTTAAATAATTCTTAGAGAGCTTTACATTAACACATTCAATTTATAATTTTCACGTACATTAAAAAAAAATTGTGTAATTAATGTTTTTTTTTTTTTTTTTGCTGTTTATGTTTTAAATAAAACATAATATCTTTGCCTGTATTTTTTTACAAATTTGATACTTATGTCTATAATAGATTCTTAAATGCTTTTATATATAGATAGGTAGATGTACATATTATATGTATAAATGACAGGGCTGATAATCAAGAAATATTGATTTTTCCACGTTATTTTGCCAAAAAATCTTCCTAATTATTGACAAGAGACTTACTGTTTTTAGGAAAAAATTTATTTAACCTTGTTTTAAAAGTATTAGTTTGAACATAATGGGTCTCAATGTTACATAAAAGTCAGAATAAAATAAAATTTAATTTAAAGACATATTAATTTAATAGTTTCAAGTGTTAGCATTTGCTTTTAAATTGAAATGTAGTCTCACGCACAAACATCTTTTTTCTTCCTTTTTGTGTCTAAAGATCAGTATAATAATGTACTTTAAACATTTTAAGACTAGCATAAATAATGAAAAAACACTTAATTTTAGGTTATAAGTGAAGAAATATCAAGCATTCACCAAGAAAGAACTTCACAGCAAGTATGTCAGTTTTTAAATATATGTTATCTCTGAACTGATGTTTTTATAATTTAGCAGCTTATTAGCAATATTATTTTATAATTTAGCAGATTATTAGCAGCTTACTTTAAAAATATTTTATTAAGAAAGTTTTGAACTTTATTACAAAGTATAATTAAATATTGTTACGGAAGAATCTTAACTAATTGATGCAGTATTTTTTTAATGAAACTATACTGAAAAAGTTGATATATATTTCTCTCAAATTATTATGAATTCATTAAATTCATAATAGTTTGAGATAAATCATTTTAGGGTGTTAATATAGAAACAGTTTTCTGTTAATTTGTTTTTAAATCTACTAAAAAATATATATACCTGTATATTTTTAATGTATTTACATCTAACAGGGGTAGAAATTAAAAAAATTTAGTCACTGGTACAAAGGACCAGTAACTGAAAGATGTTACTAGTTAGTACACATTTCTCTGGTTCTTTTTTTAAAAAAAATTTAAGTAAAATTGAATTAAAAAAAATATTTGTGTTATCAGGTTTAAGCACATTGTATTTTTTCCAATATTAGATTTGTAATGCACTTTATTTTTTTATTTGACTTGATGTATTTCTTTCTTATCAAAATTTGAGTTTTTGAAAACTGTTTGCAGTAGTAGTTTTCATTTTCTGTAGAATTTTTAAGTATTTTTCTTCCTACTTAGCTTACAATTTAAAAACCCTCTTATTCTTACTAATTTTTTTAAAAATAATTATCCTTTTGCTTATGGTAAATATAACAAGTGGACTAAAATGAAAATAAAAAACAGTTTTAGCATGCTAAATGCAGTTTTCTAAAAGGTTAAATACTTTTAGGCATAAATAATCCAGATTATTACTATGAATATGATGTTTCTTATTTTCACCATCCTCCCATACATATTCCATCCTCTATAAGAAGGCAATTGAAGACGAAGTTATAGTATGAGTCTATTGATTAAAATAAGGATAACTTAGAAAAACATTTAAGGAAGTTTATAGTGGGTGGTGTAAATCTTTGCACTATCGACAATTATTCAGCACAATAACACTTCTGTATTAAAGGGTACTTTCCAAAAATCAATTATTTTCTTACTGCAGATGGACTATATTAGATTTCCAATTTTGGTAGTTTTAAAATGAATGCACAAGTAGAAAAATTGACTATTAAATTTTTTTTGATTATATTAAATCTTTTAAGGTGCCTTTGTTATGGAGTTTAAGTGGTAAGGCAGAAGAAAACAAAACTTCATACTATGTTGAACAATTGCTTGATTGGATTGCACCGTCCAATGTTGATCCTGGAAGCAAGCTGTGCAATCTCTCTCAAATACCAGGGCATCATATTTATACACAACTGCCTTGTGATTATACTTTCAGTTGTGAGAGCCAAAAAGGAGTAAGTTTAGTTCATTTTAATTCATTATAATTGTTTAGTTTTTGTAGATTTTTTAAATATATTTTTGTGTTATTTCTATTTTAGGATATTAAGACATCTTCAGATGATAACCATTCACCATCTTTAATGTCGGGGCTTCGCTCTCTTATCGGTAATTCCTGGATGAGTGATGTTGCCATTCATACTGCCAGTGGTATTGTCATACCTGCTCACAAACTAATTCTAGCAATAAGGTGTCCTATTCTAAAAAAGGTTTGCAATTGTTCAGTTTTAATAAGTATTCTCTGATACCTTATTAATTTATGTAAGTTTGCTTTGTTGTCATATGGATAACTTAAGACATTTAAAATAACAGTTAGTTAAGTTATACCCTGTTTCCACTAGCAGGTTTAAGATTTCTTAAGGTGAACTTGAGTTTTCTTACGCCAGTTTTTTGACAGCTTAAGTTTTCTTAACTTGCTAGTGGAAACTGGGTGTTATTATGGAGTCTATTTCCTTAAAATTTAGTTATCAAATACAAGGTAACTTCAGCTGTGTGATTGTATTTCCAATCAACTTAAATTAAAGTACTTCAAATTAAATTAGTTTAAATCAAATATTTTGTATAAAATTATTCCAGTCAGTGCTGTTTAATCCTAATTGAGGGGAAAAAATCATCTGCAATGGAAACATCTGAGGAAGTTTTGTATATTGCCCATTAAAATACCAGGAAATAAAACAAATTAAGTGATGAATCACACCTAACTCATTTAAAAAAAATTTTAGTGGCAAATAAATAATTTCAGTTTAAATTTATATCATTGTTAAATTATTCATAGTAAACTAGTCATCTTTGGCTACCATCTTGGTCACTTTTCAAAATTATCTGGTGCATATATAAACTTTAATGGTAACCAAACAGAATACACAGCACATCTGTATTTAAATATTCTAACTCTTCAACTCCTCTTCTAATCCTAACACATTAATTAGTTTTAAATAAGTGAGTAACCTGATTTTTTCACAATCTAGCTGTTATCCGTGCAGAAGTACCTTGATTCCGATTTTAACTATTTGCAAGAGATGTCTGTGATATTGTTAAAAGTTCCTTATGTCTATCATTTTAATAATTATTTAAAATGGGAGAAAACTCATTCCAATGCTCCATTATGTTCTGTACTACTTCCTCACGCACCTCTCGAGCTATAATTTGAGAATATATATATATGCTATTGCTTGAAAAAGGCAAGCTCTGTCACCAAAAATTAGTATGACAGTGCATGGCACCATAGCAGTGTTTATGCTTAAAATTTCTACAGTCATGTTAGATGGGATTAAAAGTAAATCTAAATAAATACTTAACGTTTTTACCAACTATTCAATACTACTCTGGCTTATTGAATAGTCAATTCTAATCTAGCTTATTGAATAGTTGGTACACTTCCTTATTTGAAACAACTATACAAAATGAATAATAAGTATTGTGTTACCTATAGATAGAAAAATTCCAGATTTTTTGATGCTATATAGAATACATTTATATGTTGGTGTGAGGTTGTGTCTAAGGGTTGTTGAAGGATGAGGCAATTAACGTTAAAACTGTTTAATTAGCAAGGCAGGGTTGGCAGGTTTTTGACATGTGACAGTTTTTGACAGTTTAAACCATGGTTTAAACCGTCACGTCAAAAACCTCACTGTCAAAAATGTCGAAAATGTCAAAAACCTATATTCATATGTGAAATTTAATTAATACATAAAATTTATATATTTTTTATAAAGGATAGTGTTTCTAAATATGTTCTAGAAAAAATAAATTTAAAATTTTGAAGAAACACTTATATTTTGAATAGTAACCAAAATCTTGTACTTTTGAAAGCTCACATCTTTTGTAATATTATGTATTCATTTTCATGTGTTATTGAAAATCTGCAGTGATATTATTAAGAAATTTATTTATAACCAAATTTAGTGTATAGTATAGATTATACTAAAAATTAGACATTTTTAAAGATAAACATTAGCAGTTTTGTACATTAGACATCTTTTAAAGAAAAATCTTTTTAATATTCTTTTAAATCTTCTTAATAATCTTTTTAACATAAGACAATACAAATTTAAGTGCTTTCTGTTAAATACACAGAGTAGTTAGTGTCGATTTACAGTATATTCAGCCTATTCATTTACTATGCTGAAAATTTAGTTTATCCAAATACTTGTGAATTTCATTTTGCTGAATACTATATACATAGTTTTGTTGAATATCTAAATATTCAGCTGTTGAATAATTACTTCTTGCTTTCAAGATATGCATTATTTGTATTCTTAATACAAGTGGGGGGAAAAATTAAGAGGTAAAAATTGTTTTAAAATGATAAGTGTAATATTTATATATAAATATAATAAACAATAGGAATTATATTTATCATTATTCACAAATATAACTACTTTTAAATTCAAATAAACATACTGGATAATAAAGATATTCGGTATAACATTAAAAATTTTTTTTCATGCACTTGTATCAAGTTTGTATTTATACAACATAGCTTGTAAGTTCCTTATAAATATTAGTTATATGTTCCTTATGTGTCAAAAATGCATAGTAATAAACTTTTAATTTTCTTAAGTATCAAAAAAAAATTTTTTTTTTCAAATATAAATATTTAAAAAAATTTTGTGCAAAATTTTTCTGCACATGCATTTGAATATAAATTTCTGAGATTTTAAATCTGTTATTTTTACCTTAATTTTAATTAAAAAACATTTTAAAACCTGCTGATTACCTATAGTATAATTAAATTTCAATATAATGCATGGCAACTGTTGGTAGTTTTGAAGTTTATATATATTTTTGGCAAACTTTAGTTTTTGACATTTTTGACGGGTTTTTGACGGTTTAAACCAGTATTATACCCTTGTCATGTCAAAAACCACTTTTTGACGTCAAAAACCCAACCCTGTAGCAAGGTTGTTCCAAATGCAGGTTGTTGAACCAGACTAGCCATAAGTGCATCTCTTGCCAGTCTCCGAGGAGTAAAGTGGTGCTGCTGTTGCCTAGAGATAGAGCTTCTGTGTTGGTGTGTTACACCAAGTATTTAAATTTAAAAAATTCTTATTTCCTAAATCCAGTACATGGATAACATCATTACTCTGGAAATACACAAATATCTGTTCTCTTTATCTTTAAGCTGTTTTAAAGTTTGTTTTAATACCCATAATTAATATATCTTTATTTATGTTTGTAGTACATCTCTTTTATGTTTGAGTTTCAGTGAGAAATAAGTGTTCTACTTGAACTTATTAATCTGAACTCACTTATTTGGAATTGCCTATTAACTCTTACACTCTTAACATTTCCATATACTTTTTCACTCATGTGTTTTACCATTCTCCTTTATCAAGTTTCCGAACAGTTGTTTCAGAACACTTTCAAATTTCACTTTCAACACTTCAAAAACACTTTAAAGTTTCAGAATACTTGTTGGAAATAGTGGCATGCCATTTACCATTTCCAATAAGTGTTTTTAAACTTTTTGCATGCAATTTATTTAAATACAATAAATGTAATGTTTCAGGTATTTGAAGATTCAGCTAATAATGAAAAGCATGTTTTAGACATGAAAAATACATCATTTGATGCTGCCTTGCATTTTCTGAATTTTATATACACTGGATCTACTGAATGGAAAGAAGATATCATTGAAGAACTGCTGGAAATAGCAAAAAAGTAAATATTGATTTAAAATTATTGTCTTGATCATTTTATTTTATGTGTTTCTTTCATATCTTTGTACAATTACTAAATACTTTAAATTTAGTAAAAAACATAAGTTTATTACTAAACTTAATTTTTAATTAATTAGTTTTAGTTAATTTTAAGTTTATTTTAATAATTAATTTAATTAGATTAATTTTAGTTAATTTTAAGTTTAGTAAAAAACATAAAATTACTTTAATGAAATTCTCTGATAAATATGGTCCACAAGTATTGTATTTTTAAAAAAAATGAACATGAAGTATTTATAAAATGAAAAGGAAATATTAATAATTTTTTTTCAGGTACGATGTTAAAGACCTCATTAATATTTTAGAAAGTGATTGTGGGACATTAGAGATGATGTCTTTGCAAAATACACAAATGGAAGAAGAAAGCAGGGTTAAAGGTATGTCATAAAATAATAGTTTGTTTTCATTTTCAGATTAAATGTAGACATTAAATAACAGATTAAGTATATACATCTGTTGAATTGGGTGATGCAACCGTTTTGGTCAAACAAATTTAGCAGTTAATATGAAAATAGACACACAAAAAAATAATAATAATAATAATATTTTTCCTGCATATCTTTTTTTTCTTCTTCCGGTGTTAAGTCAATTTATGCTTATTTGCATGGTCATTTTTTAACATTTTATAAATACAAAACAGAAAGAAATATTTATCACCCAAAATATAGAAAAAGTAAAAAGACTAGGGGTTCTCTAAATTAGATAAGTTCTCCAAATATCATGAGACGAAATGTTTAAAAAAAATTATAGAGATATAATCTTCCTCCCCTCCACTGACAAATTTTTTACAAATGGCATTGACAAATTTTTTGATGTTATTTTTACTGTATATTACTAAGAATAGTTTTTACACACATTTAAGTTCTAAAACTTGCAAGTTTATGCTCTAAAACAGTGTTCCCCAACCTTTTTATCACCTCGGACCTGTCAACGTTTGATAATTTTACCACGGCCCACTGAGGGGGGGTGGGGACATTGATTGTTTATATTTTAAATTATTTTAATTTAAATGTATTTAAACATACCTTCAAAATAAAATACAGTTAAACCAAAAAATAAAGTGATTTAACATTTTAACTTGCTGGAACGTTACATCAATGAGAACCCTAAGCTTGTTTCTTTGCAATGAGACGGCTCCATCTGGGGGTAATCGGAGACAATGACACCCGAAGTGTGTTGCTTATCTCCAGTTTATTCCGTTGCTTTGTTTTGGTTGCTGTTACTGTAGAAAATCCCGCTTCACACAGATAGGTTGTCGGAAATGGCAATAGGGATTTAAGTGCTGTGGTGGCAATCTCGGGGTATTCTGCCAAGACTTTAATCCAGAACACCGGCAGAGTTGTTGTTTCGAACGTAGTCTTAAGGCCGCCGTCATTTGCAATCTCCAACAGTTGATCTTCTTCTTGCATTGACAAGCTAGATTCACCCGATTTGTTGGCAAATGGGTCGCGGATCCATTCCTTACCAGTTCGTGGGTCTTTTGTGGTTGGGAAGTAGCGCTCGAACTCTTTTAAAAGCAAAGACAGGTGATCGTGAACCAACTGGGAGAATGAATCTTCAGGCTCTGTCTCGCCTAAAATACCCGCTAATGTCTGAAACATGTCGAAAATGCCTCTGTTCACGCGTCGTCCCCATAACTCCAGTTTGGCTTTAAAGGCAGCTACTTTGTCAGCCAACTTGAAAACAGTTGTCATTTTCCCCTGAAGGCACAGATTGAGTTCATTCAGCAGGTTGAATATGTCACACAGGTAAGCCAGTTTGGTGACCCATACCTTGTCACTGAAATGTGCTGCCAGCGGTGACTTCTTTTCTAAGAGAAATCTTTGCAATGGCTCTCGCAATTCAAATACTCTCAGTAGCGATTTTCCTCTGGATAACCATCTTATTTCTGTGTATAACAGAAGGCATCTGTACTCTGCGTCCATCTCCTCACAAAGCTGCTCAAACAGGCGCGAGTTAAGGGCGTGTGCTTTGATGTAGTTAATAACTTTAACGACATCAATCAATACGCTGTTAAATTCTGGTGACATTTTTCGGCTTGCTAGCACTTCCCTGTGAATGAGACAATGTGTAGCTTCACTCTCAGGTGCAACTTCCTTAATCCGAGCAGTTAAACCAGATAGACGTCCGGTCATAGCAGCAGCTCCGTCTGTGCATATGCCTACACAAAAGGACCATTTTAGTTGTCTTGATATATAACCATCCAGTGACTTGAACAGTTCTGCTCCTGTGGTGTTGGTTGGCAAAGATAGTGCACATAACAAATCCTCATGCACATCTTCCTGATATAGATATCGCACATAAACAAGTAGTACTGCCTTGCTGTCAATATCTGTAGATTCGTCAACCTGGAGTGCGTACCACGGTGATGCATTAATCCTCTCCAACAATTGCTTTTCAATGTCTTTGGCTATTTCCTCAATGCGCCTAGTCACAGTGCTAGCCGACAAAGGCACATGTGCTATCTTTTCCACAGCAGCTTCTCCTAATATTTCACGGCAAATGTCTTTAGTGGCAGGCAAGATTAATTCTTCACCATTATTGAATGGCTTTTTAGCTTTAGCAATACGATTAGCCACCAAATATGATGCTCTTAGTGCACTCTCCTTTATTGATGTGGTGGCCATCATAAATTTTTTCTGTCCTTCGTGTTCTCGTTTTTTCTTTCAAAATACTCCAGGGACTTGTCTTTTAATCCAGGGTGCTTGGCGTTCAAGTGGCAAAGCAGTTTTGAAGGTTTCATTGCGTCATTGGAGAGTTGATCACCGCAAACTATGCAGAGCTGTTTTGGTTTGTAAGAATCGCCTGTCCCGACAAAACCATACTTCAAGTAGGACTCATGGTATTGTCTGTTAAAAGTTGCATGTTTCTTTGATGTTGAAGGCTCTTCGGTCTCTTCACTGAGCCTTTTCTTTTTTCCAAGGAAACTTTCTAAGGACGTCTGTTTCGTATTCATTTTCGCTAACTTGTGAGTTAAATTTGTGCAGACACAATACACACGTACGCCAAGCACTGTTAAACCTGAGAAAGTACCGGTGAACAGAGAGAGGAGTGATACACTTTCTTTTTACAAAAAACAAACAAAACTGCATAAAGCACACGAAACAGTAGAGAGGAATCATGGTCACGTGGTCTTCGGGCGACTAAATGGCAGACGAGCCAGCTTCTCTTTTATAGCCTTACTATACACTCTCACTGTGTGAGGCGTCAGAATCGAGGGAGAAGACGAAGTTCTTCATTAGTTCCAATGCGAATGTCGCGCCGGGCTTTCGTTTTTTATTTATGATATTTGCAGTTACGATGATTGCTTTTTGTTATTTTTTTATTAAAACAAATTGAATGAAAAAATAGTTGCAGAAGATTTCTTTTTTTTTACTTTTTAAAACATTAAAAAATTTATGTTACTACCTTCGGGGGCATCCTTTTTTTAAATAAATAAAATTTTAATGGAAAGTAGATATTTTTAATTTGGGGTATAAACCTAGGAATTTAAATTCAGTTTCAATGAAATGGGCGGCCCGGTACCATTTTATCCGCGGACCGGGGATTGGGGACCACTACTCTAAAAGACACATGGAAAAGTGAAAGACTTAAAACTATATTTTACTTTATACTGAGTCACAAATTTTGGACTGCTGATTCTATAAAAAAAAAAATTTCAGGCAAGTCAGTTTTATCGTTTTTTTAACACTTTTTGTTTTAAAATGTGAGAATGTTTTCTTCTTTTGTTTTTGCTGTTTTCTATTTTTATTACTGGGCACTATTTTATCAGGGCATTTCTAATAGACTTAATTCTTTTATTGTCAGTTTTTTCTAAAAATATGGCAATGTGAAAAAGTTAAGTAAAGATTTTTAAGGTTAGTCAGTTTTTATTTATATTAAATATTTCTAATAGATAACTATTGTAGTTTTTATTCCCTCTACCCCATAGCAGTAATTCAGCTAAGTTTTAATTATTTTTCAATAATGACTAAGCTTATTTATAAATAAAAAATATTTATTAATGTTTTTTTTCCTTCAAAATGTTGCTATTTGGCAGATTTTTTTCAGCCAAATCACTATTCATTACATCCCTAGTATCTAGTTTTCTTAAAATCCAAAACATATTTGTGACATTTAAGTTTTTTGTTCATGCAGGTAGGTAAAAAATAATAAATTTCAAATTTGGTGAAAAAAAATTTCTGAAGCTATAATAATTTATTACTCAAGGAAATCTGTAGCGAGAATCGAAATTTGCATATTGATATTGCTATGAAATTTAGTTATTTCCATTTCTTAAAATAATTTGCTGTTTAATTTTAATGAATTTTATTCATTTATACTTTAACATGTAGTATTAAAATTTTAGGAAATAAAATTTCAAAAAAATTATCAATTTCCTTTTATTTAAGAAAATTATAATTTTCTAAGCTCAGAAATTGACCACAATCAATGAATATATATTACTTCTATGTACACATTTTTCCTGCGGAAATTTCAATTTTTTTTCCTCCATGTTATATGAAATCAAAATTAAGCGAAGAAAGCTTTCTTTTTTTTCCCCTTTTTCTCACAAAACAAATGTGGAAAAAATTTCCTATAAAATATTATCCTGACCTTTGTGAAAAATCAATATCTTAAAAGAAAAATGTTTGATACCTGTTTAAAGATTAAAAATATTGTTATTAAATAAAAAACCTTATTTGATGTCAGAAATTTTTTTTTCCTTTTGTCCTTAGTTTTTAAATTTATGAATATTTAATTTTAAGTTATTACTTTATATTTTTTGTGACATTTTTCATTAATTACTGTTTATTATTATTTTTAGATTGCATTATTACCCCTGAAACTTCATCTGAAAAAGTTACTGTTATATCTGATGATGAAATGGAAGCTACTTTCCATGGGACAACTAAATTTTCTAATAGTTTTCAATCTTCCAGTCTTGAATCAGCTACAGATAACAAGAAAAGAGTGGGCATTGAAGAAACCTCTGAAGCACTATCTGTTTGTGATGATATTTTAAACAAACTGACAAATCATTCTGAAAACTCTAAATATGCATTTTTCACATCTGAAAAAAATTGTGAAAGTTGTTCTGATTTCAGCTCTCACGATTTAGCATTTTCCAATAGGCATGAGGAATCTAAAATTTCTCCTGCAATTGTTGGAACACAAGAAGATGAAAATTCTTCCTCTAATGATTCGTGTAAAGTTGTTCATGTCAGTTTCATGGCACAAGAGGAATCCTCTTGTAATTACAATGAAAATGAGTTAATTTCTGAACATGATAAGAATTCTAATAAAGATAAAGATCAGATTATTTCTCTTGATAAAAAATCTTCCTCTGATTCTTTTGATCAAATTGTTGAAAAATGTGATAAGATGGATGAAACCAGCAAAAAGATAATTAGTTCTACAAAACAGGAGCTTGAAAATAATCTTTGTTTCTCACGTACGAGTGAAACAGATAATTCAGTTGATACTGATGTGGAAATAATTAAAGATAGTCAAAGAGAAAATTTGTCTCAAAATTTCAGACATTCTGCAATTAGTTTTGATAATGCATTTAATTCTGCCGATTCTATTACAAAATCTCTTTCAACTACTGATATTAAGAATTATCAATTAGAAACAAGTCCTGTCAAGAATTTTGATAAGAGTGTTGAAGAATCACCCAAGCATGTGTCTAGTAGACGTAATGATGAATCTAAATTAAGTCTTGATGAAGGAGTTGCTATTGATTCATATCCATCTTATAGCGAATGTTATAATATGACTTTTGACAACAGGGACATTTCATCACCAGAAATAATTACCTGTGATTCGGAAGATGATTTAAATATACCAATTAATAATTCTGGCTACTCTGACTTGAAAATGTCAACTAAAAATGTTAGCTCTCCAATGAAAAATGTTAAAAATCATATATTAGATGAAAAATATCAATCTAGTGATGATTTAAACTTCCCACTAAATAATTCTACCTTTAGTGAATCATTTAAAACTGTTAACTCACCAAAAGAAGAATCTAAAAATAAGGGAGCAAATGATGAATGTCATTCTGATGACAATGTTGTATTGCTCGATTCTGATGAAGATGTTTCTGCAAATGATATTATGTATCCTTTGAGCCCCCCAGATGTTGGTTCTGACAACACAAGTTACAGACATCACAAGTTTTCTTCAAGTGCTAAAGATTGCGCGACCACCCTTCATTACCAGTCACCTTCCGTTTCTGGCACCTCTTGTGTTAATAGCAAAATTAATTATCCGGAAGTAATTATTTTCGATTCTGATGAGGAAGATGAGTTTAATAAGACGCATAAAGAGTCTCCAGTTAAATCATACGAAGAAAATCATAAAATAAATCCATTACTCTCTTGTAAAAGTCATAAATATGAATCATTTGATTCCCCAACTAAAAATAAAGATGAAAATAAAAGTATTTTTGCTACAATTCAAAACAATAAAAAACCTTCCCAAAATATCAGCAGTTGTGCAGATTCTAATATTCTATCTGGAGTTCCTCTCTCCAGTTCTGAAATGAATTCTTTTCGATTGGTGAGTGTCATAGTATAAATCACTATTTAAATAGTCGTTTGCTAACAATGTTATTTTATGAAATTTTTGCTTACTTTTCTTAGGGATTTCCAATTTTTTTTAGTTATATGCAATTTATTGGTGATTTTAAATTATTGCTTTATTAATTTAAATGACTTTTCTTTTTACATAAGAAAATAAATAAGAGAAACAGTGCATTGTATGTATTATGTGTGCATAAGCAACAATAATTCCCCTGTACAGTCGACAAAGGAAAAAAAAAGATATCACCCTGAATAATTTTTGTTCTAATGATCGGATTTTCACATACTAAGTGTCAATCTTAATGGCTTCTGGGGGTGAACTCAAATGGGCTATTATTATTATGTTATTAATTAAGTTGCAAAATTGGACACAAAATGCACTTTTACTGAATTAACATATATTTTTTTTTACATATTTGGATTCTTAATCTTCAAAATTTAGAGGGTAGCCGCAATCTGGGAAATGTGGTCCTATAGTTTGGTCTGAAGAGAGATTCAAAGTTTCGACCCCTTAATGTAAATTTCAATTTTTGCGTTATTAGTCATATTTTTAAAACTAATTAAGAAATTCAAAAAAAAAAAATTTCACCCACTCATAAAACTCATTTACCCAAAAATAATTTCATGCAAAAAATAATTTTTAATAATTATTTATTATTTAATTAAATTAAGGACGAAAAAATTTTAACCATTAAGATTGACACTTAGTTTGTGGAAATCTGATCAGTTGAGCAAAAGTTCTTCAGGGTAATATCTTTTTTTTTTTTTTTTGCCGTCTGTACATGAAGTTGGCTGTGAAAAAGTACAATTAAGTCCTCTGTTGGGAAAAAGTAAAATTACTTTCCGGACAACCTAATTATTATTAGAATTTAATGTATGCAGAAAATGATTTCAATTTTACAACAATATTTTTTAAACTTTATACTGTATATCAATTTGTGAAAATAAGCTTAAAAATTATTTAGATAAAAACATAGTTTAAATAAAAGGTTGTATTATAAACTACAGTTTCCATTAAAATAAATAAATTTAACAGAACTGTCTAGACATTAAATGATCAAATTTTTAATACATTCAACCTGATGGAAATTTTAATAAAAAAATGACATTAAATTGAAATTTTGAAATAGAAAGATCAAAATTTCAAGAGTTTAAATTAATGCTATAATTCAGTAAAAATTAATATTAGTCTAAATCAGGTCTTTAAATCATGTATATGTTTTTTAATATGTGAATTTATGTTTTCACATCGATTAAAATAGAGATGTAATTTTTTTTTCTTCCTTTCTTATGTTTTACTAGTTAGTTGTATTTTTTCCTTTATTTGTGATGAAAAGTATGTCTGTTCTATACATTTTCTGCACATTGAATAACAGGGCAATAAACCAGTCTGTTATGCAGAAAGGCAGCGAAGAGTAATAGTTAAGAATATAAGTTAGTAGGTTAATGCAAAACTTAATTATAGTAAAAATGGTTCATTTTCTTACCCTGATTTATTTATTTCATTTAAATTCATTAATATTTAAACTAATTAATATTCAAACTTTTGCAATTTGCATTGATATTGTAATTTGTGTATTTTGTTTATATGTTGCTTTGATTCCTGCAAAATATATTTGATTAGGTTTAGTTACAATCTTCTTTTCCCATTTGAAATGTTACAAAAGTCTTACTATATTTATTTACTTTTGATAAACATAATTCTTATTTGTGGGATTATACTAAAGTAAGGTTTGACAAAAAATTCATATCATTAAAATGATGAGTTAAATTAATAAATTTAAATATTTTATCTATGTATTTTTTTTCTCAACGTAGAAATCACAATTAAATTTATCACCTGAATCACCTTGGATATTGAAAAGTAAGAAATCATTGGACGATTTTAAGACATCCAGCATTTGCTTGAAAAAAAATAAAAAGTTAAATCATCTGATAGAAGTTCAAGAAAATAAAGGCTCAGTTGAAACTAAATGTGAAATTCTACAAGACAGTATTCCTACATCCCAAAATAAAGTGAAGAGAAACTGTAGTGAGTAAATTAATTATTTAAATAGCTGCGTTTTTCTTAAAATTTATTTTTAAACTGTAAGCTCATAATTTGTTTCTTCGTTCATTTGTTAATTAGTTCTTTAGAAAACCAATTACGCATTTTATAATTTGTTTAATCTGATATAAATTTTATCAGTCAAAGTTATTAATAAGTTTCAAAAAATATTGAACAGACATGCAATATCACATGCATCATATAAATTCCAATTTCTGAAACAAATGGAAGTATCAATATCAATTAGCTTATAATACAATAAAAGAGGCAGTAAATATTTTTCTAATTGCTCTAAAACTGCTGTTAAGTTTAACTTAAAAAAAGCAATCATAATTATAATGCAAATGACACAAGGAAAGAATGTAGCAGTGCAAGTGAGATAAAAAGATTTCTCAAAGTTATTTATTTACATGTTGAAAGTCAATATACTAAAGTTAACTTTGAAATTTCATCTATATGGTGTCTTACATCAAGTAGAAAAATTTAGGAACCAGAAAAATTACAATGATGGCTCGGACACCTATTCTGATCTGATAATACAGACTCAGTAAAAAAGCTTACTTTTTCTAATCCCTTAGGAAACACAAAATGAAGACCACCAATTAGAAGGCTTAACTTAGTTGAGAGGGACTTTCATATAATATATAAGAGAAACTGGAAGAGCCTTGCTGTGGGTTATGCCAGATGGCAAAGACTATTTGGGACGGCCATGGCCTGTAACATGCTGTAGTGCCTTGGAAAAAAAAAGAATTCTTACTTCTAAGATTGAATCTTAATACAAAGCTAATAATAAAAAAAAATTTATTTCAAGAATATATACAAAAGTAATTTTTATTTATGGCATTATTTTAGTTTGAGCAATGCCAGTCACCTGTGGTGTTCAATGAATTTACTTAAAGATTATTAGTTACCAATTCAGATTGCTTTTTCATATTTCAAAAATTTTAAAAATTATTCCGATTTCAGTAAACATAAAACCCATTTTATTTATAATAAAACTAATTCTATTACTGGTTGCATTTTTTTTTCCAAATATTATCACTAAATTCAAAATATTGCCACTATTATGTTTAAAAAGTTGATTGTATTACTAGTTGCATATTTTTTTCAATTTTTTTTTATTCTGTCTAAATTTATGTAGTTTTGCTTTTATTGTATATTACAAACCTTTTGTTAGCTAATGATGTAATTTTCATATTTATTAGTTGTTTCTTTTAAGTTTTGTATTAAATCATGCATCCTCATAAATTTCATTGCTTCTTTATTTTACAGATCAATCTGGCCTTTCAACACCAAACAGTGTCTTACAACAATTTAAGCTAACAGATTCACCCATAACTCCCTTTCCAGATTATCAAAATATGGTTACACCTGAAATAAAAGAAGCATTGAAAAAAATTGGTGTCAAAGCCCTGCCCAGAAAGAAAGCTGTTGCTGTTCTCGCACATGTTTATGAAGAAACTCATCCATGTAATTGTTTGCCTTATTTATCCCTTAAATTTTTATATAGTGTCTGACATTAAATGTGATAGTTGACTAATATAAGCATCAACCAATAGAATATCTACTTTGTGCAAAATGTGGGTTATATTTTCTCGGTTTTGCACTGCATGACAAACATAAATATGTGCTAAAAGGATTTATTAAATCAAATTTTGCAATTCATTAAGTTTAATTTTCAATTAGAAAACTTTAATTAAGTTAGTGAATTGATATTATAAGATTAAAGGCACACAAATTCAAGGTTAATAAGATTAAAGGTACACAAATCAGTTCTTTTTTTTGTTAACGTTAACAAAAAAAAAAACATTAGTAAAAGTTAAAGAGAACCTCTGCAAATTAAAAGTTTAGTACTAAACAAAGTGATATCCTTCTAGCAAACCCTTCCACGCTCCAACAAATCACAAACTTCATTGCCCTGGGGCAGGGATGGGCAAACTACGGCCCGTGGGCCAACTGTGGCCCACCGGAAGGTTTTATCCAGCCCGCGGATGGAATTTTAATTTGCCGATCTGTGGCAAATATAAACAATATACATCCTTTTTCTTGTCAACTATTTACAATTATTTCTGTTTTTCCTTTTTTAACAAAGTACTGATGACCTTTTTACTTTCTCTATTTTTGTTCTACAAAACATAAATTGATGGAAAGAGTTAGCACAGACAGCTTCAATTGGTAAAATGTTGAAAGCACAAGTTCTTTATAGAATAGCCTTATATTGGCTCTAACTAGCGTTTGTCTTTCTCGAGGAATCTAATATAGGTAAATTATACTTCACATTTGGCAGACTGCGTATTTTAAGATCCAACGAGCGGACAATCTAACAATCATCTGAAGCAGTTGTTTCTAAGTATGCCCAAGTTTTACAAATCATTAACAAAAGCTAGTTTCCAAAATTTAATATTTCATGCCCAGAAAATCAGCGCTATGTTTGCTTTAATCTTATATATGCGAACAAGAGTTTTCAACTATGAACCTTAGAAAACAATCATTTCAGAAGTAGACTAACAGAAAAACATTTAGCCTTGTTCCTTAAAATAGGCACATATCACTTCGAACCTTAATATAAGGTACTTTTAAAAATGAAATCGCAATTTCATTCATCTCACTAAATATTTAAATTAAAACTTGTATATCGCTTTCTTGTTAAATTTTGAAAGTTTTACTTGGCCCACCAAACATTTTTTTTCTCGATTTTTGGCCCTCGACCAAAACAGTTTGCCCATCCCTGCCCTAGGGCATTGTTTCCCAAAGTGTCGTATGTGTACCATCACGGGTATGGGAACAGTTTAGCGTTCTTATGTGAAGTATCTTGCAACAAACGAAAACTTCAAAACGTTTTATTTGAAAACAAAGCTAGCCATGAAAATTTATGATTATGTATTTTTCTATTGGCTATTTTTTGCAGAGTTAGCAGTTAATAATTAATGGTGTCAACAGCCAGTTGAGATGTTTAACTTTTGTGCAGTTTTTTTTTTAGTAAAAAATACATTCACTTTTTTATCAGTGTTACAAAAGTCATAAGTTTGGGAAACGCTGCCCTAGGGTGGTGGAAAAAAAATAAAGTCATTCAAGTGAAAGTAAACCTTTCATTATTATGCACCTCTAAAAGACGATTTTTTTGAAAAATTGATGCAAAACCTTGCTGCTGACCCTTAAACTTTGTCACTTTCAGTAAATTTTATGACGAGTGACAAAATTGTTTTGATCCCAGTATCCAGAGGTCCTGAATCTGATAAAAATTAGCAACTGATTCCATGAACCAATAAGTTTTCAAACCAGCAGGCATTGTTTTATCTAACGTTGTCTTCATAAAAATCTAACTATTTGTGTGATTGTAAGTTTCAATAATAACCTCAATTATGTTTTTCTATAAATATTTGTCTATTATAGTAATTGGGAAAACATCAAATCATGAAGGTCAAATGCCTGCTTCACAGATGTCTCAAGTTTCATCCAAACTGTCCAGATCAAAACAGTCTAAATCCAATCCTGTTTCTCAAAAACGTAAGAGATCAGACAAAAAAGTTGATGATAAAGCTAAGAAACCAACGGCTGTGATATCTTCACCAGTGAAAAGTCAGTCTGAAGACAGTTCTTTTAGCAGTCCAGATGCAAAGAATACAAAGTAATTAATATTTTAATCCTTTATAAATCTAGAAAAAAATACTAAAATTTTGCATATCAGTTTTAAATCTCAAATTCAATCAAGAAATTATCTAATTTTTCAAACACTTGGTTTTTTTCTCCCCCCCCCTTAAAATCATTTCTCGGATACTTTTGACTGTTAAAAGCAATCTTCTAATATGCATCAATATAAATATTTAATACATTAGTTTTTACTTTGCTTGTCTACAATTAGAAAGTTCACTCTATGAAGTTTTATCTATATCTTAAAACCTTTTTTTAGGAAAAGAAAGTCAGATTATCTCAGTTTGTCTTCTGAATTAAGTGATTGCAGCCAGCCTGAAAGCAAGGAGAAAGTACAATTAATTTCTGATTACATCTTAAAAAATGATATGTTGTATACACAGATACTCACTTACACGGTAATAATTTGTTTCTTTGTTGTTTTTTTTTAGTGCATCAGATCAATACCTTTTGTAATTTTTGTTTTCTAAGATCCGTCAAAAATTTTATGTGGTAGTAAGCTTATCTTCAAAGCAAATAGAAATTTTCTTATATTTACAACCACTTCATTTTAAATAATCTGTCCATATGTATGAGATTTCTGTTGTGACAAGATTTTGAATTTTTGCAGTGATAAAGAGCATTTAATGTTAAATGTTAAATGATGAATTTCATGGACATAGTTTAGCCCTGCTAATTTTGGGGATAAGGAAGAAGAAGAAGAATGTTAAATGTTTTAATACAAGAAACATGTTTTATGATAAAAAATTTTGCTACCACTTTTATAATTTTAGAGGATCCTTGGTGGAAAAATTACCATACTGGAAGTTCTACATGCATTTGACCCTATTATAAATGTCTCTCTCTTCTTACCTGAAAATCTTGCATAATTTCTGTACTTTTTTTCTTGTCGGTTAATAGTATTTGAGTAGCTCAGGTGCTATATTAAAATATAGCTTTTTTTTTAAAAAAAAGCATTAAATATATCAGCTTTTATCATTATTTTGTGGTTTATTATTTTAAATTTATAAACAAAAACTTGGGCGACATGCTTTTGTAATACATCCTGTTATAATTTTTTCATTTCATTTAGGGAGCTGCAAGTTTTTCATCTGAGCTATACATTTGCACCAGACACCAAAGATTCCAAAATTCTGTCTTAATTTTTTAACTTTTAAACTATCAGGAGAGCAGTTCAAAGTTAGGACCCCTTAATGTTAATTTTACTTTTTTTATATTTTGCCACATCTCAAGAATTTATTAGTGAATCAAAAAACTTTTGTGCACTATAAAATTCATTTATCCAAAAATAATTTCACACAAAAATTAATTTTTAGTAATTATTTATTATTATAAGTTTAATAATAGTCAAAAAATTTTGATATAAATTTTATATCACAAAGAAAGTAATTTTATAAGGCAAAATATGAACAAAATTGGTCGATTAGTGCTGAGAAATTAATTTTAAATATACAACTTCTTCAAAATTAGATTTCTCAGGAACTATTAGACTATTGACAGGAACTATTTGATTTCAATCAGTTTTGTATTTTGCCCTATAAAATTACACTTCTTAAAATGATGTAAAAATTTGTATACTTTTCAGTTCAAAATTTGTTGGACTATTATTAAATAAAATAATCATTATAAGTTATTTTTTTGAATGGATAAAAAAAAAAATTATAATTGTGGGCAAACATTTCTTGATTTGCTAAAAAATTTCGCAACATATGGCAAAGTATGAAGTTAACATTAAGAGGCCCAAACTTACAAACACTCTCCTGACCAAATTATTGGAACCATATTCCTCAAATTGCAGCAACTTATATTTTGAGGATCAGAAATCCAAATCTGTCGAGGGAAAATGTTAATTTAGTGAAAGTTAATTTTTGTCTCTGACTGTGTAAGTTAAAATATCATCTGCACTAATTAATTAGCAAATTTGAGGTCACCCCCTGAAACCATTAAGGAGTTTTAGTATGAGAAGATCTAATCATTAGATCAAAAAAAATTAAGGGTGATTCAGGTTTTTTTCTTTTTGCACTCTTTACATTCCATTAACAATTAAGATTTTACGAATAAAGCAGTAGCCACCATCTTTAATTGATTTAAGGCTTTCGTAAATCAATTAAATATAACAACACATTCTGACATTTTTCTCTTTTTGGTGCTCAGTCAGTTAATTATGGGTATCAATTAATATATATGGTACCAGATCCACCATCTGTTAGTTTTCGTAATTCTCATCAGAGTATATCTTGACCCTAATATATAAATGTTAAATTTAGAGAAAAGCAATAGTTTTTTTTTAACAATAATATTAGTAAAGAATTGTTTTACTTTAATAAGTCAACAATTTCTTTCAGCCTATCAACATAGTCGAGTTCCAAACGGATCTTAAAGATAGTGGAATTACAATTGGTTTACAGAAATTGATGAATTACTTTGATGAACAGGTAAAAATATTTTTATTCATTTCAAAATATTTAAAATCTAGTGTCACATTTGTTAATAATAGCTAAAAATGTAATTTTGAAGTTGTCTATTTTTATTTTATTTTTTTTGTAAAAAGAGATTACAATTTATAATTATTTTGTGGTGTGAAAAATGTATAGATTTAGAATTTAGTTACATCAATTTTAAGCAATACTAGGGAGAAATTTGTTCTTGATAAATAATTGGTACTTCAATATATTGTTATTAAACTTTAAAATATCTTGAATAGAATTATTGCTTTGATTTAATAGATTATTCAGATGTAAATTTAGATCCATATTTTGTCTAAAACTGAAAGTTTTTAGAATTGAGTATTTCTAAAAGTAATTTTATTCTAAAAATCAGTACTATCATATATAATTTGTTTTTACTGTATTATTATTTAAAAACTTGGTAATAAATATTTAGCAGCAAATTATGCCTGTGGCAGGATTTTTTCGGGCTTTCTGCGACAAACTTCCCTAGCAGTAATATTTCGCTTTAAGATACTTTTAATTATAACAATTACTAATTTAAAGTAACAGAAACGTTGTGTTCAATTAAAGTTTTAATTGACACAATTTAAACTGTTATAAAAATTAAAACTATTATTAAAAGTTTACAAAAAATGACATAGCAAAAATTTTGATTATTAGCATGTTATTTATGTTTTCAAGCTATTATCATTATATTCTGTTTCAAAATGTATTCCTTGTAAGTAAAAATATTTAATTTTAATTTCATTGTAAGTATTAATGTAGCATTTGAAGCTTCATTTATTCATATTAAATAATTATACAGAATTTAATCATTTCAGTGCATTACTTTTCACCTACCGAGAAAAGAAGAATATAGAAAAAAGCAGCAAGCTCGAACACAGCGCTTCAGGAAGAGAATGATTGCTAAATTATCCCAAAAGACATAACACACTTTTCTTTAATCTAAAATGTAAATATTTTGTTATAATTTTAAAGGTTTTAATTATTAAAACAATACAATTTTGTACATTTTTAAAGATATTTATTATTAAAAGATTTTAATTTTTTATCTTAGTCAATTTTTCTGTTTCGTTTAGAATTTAAATACTATACTGTTCGCAATGTGCTTAAAATCCATTACAGTTATTTTTCCTTATGCCTACTATAAATGCTAATGCCTTTTTATTTAAATATATACTAAATTAACTACATTTTTTTTCTTTTTGAATCAATAAGAATATCTTAAGGCATCACAAAAGAAAAAGCAAGTTTAGATTTTAAAAGATATTTATGTTAAAGGCATAGAGTTCATAAATCTCTGCTGTATTTAAGAAGGGAGAACACAATATTCCTTTAAAGCATTTTGTCTCAAAAATTATGTAGCACAATAAAAGTATAAACAAATATTTTTGACTTTATTAATTTCATAAATAACTGATATTTATCAAAATATCAAGAAAAATATACACTGAGTATATAACCTTCAAATAAATACACACATATTTGATACTCAAAATAAACTTCAACAAATGGAAATCACAACTTGCAAACAAACAAAAAATATAATCACAACAGTAAAAGACGGATTTAGTTAATTGTATTACTTTTCAAAAAACCTACTCATTTCCTAGAATAAACTCGCGACAAAACAAGAAGAAAAATAGTCATTTACATGTCACATGTTTCCACACACACTTTCACCAAAATGATTGTCAGTTTTATATTTCAATTGCATATAATGCAACTAGTCATTTTTTTACACCACCTATTTACATTGACAACATATACAAAACATCTAAGTGAATGACGCAATCACAAAATATTTTATACAACAAATTACAATCATACGACATATCGTCCCCTTGCTTTTTCCTGATTTCCACAGTATTCATTGTAAATCAGCTTGGCTAAAAACAGGTGGAAAACTGCTATGAGGAATGCAATGGACACCCAGAAAAATGCAGGTAAACCTCCCAACTGGTGACCATGTTTATGGAGAGCAATTATGTGATGCTCATGTGCAGGAGCTGCAAAAACAAATTCAGTTAGTTATTATAAACACAATTGTATAAAAAATAAAGTGTATTACAAAAGTTAAGAATAGTTTTCAGGCTTATGCTCATGATAAAGTTTTCATATTAAATTACTTTCAACCATAGCTATTTTTTTTCCTCTTCACTATGAAAAAATATTTTCTCCAAAAGATCATCACTTCGAGGTACTAGAACTAATTTTTACATATTATGAAAGTAACATAATTGCATTTCACTTTTATGAATTAGGATAGGAACAATTATTTTAATTCACTTTTTTAGTTCAGCATTGATCATGGCATGAGATCAATCCACAAGAGCTAGAATTGAGGATAAAAGGATTGCTCATGCAAATCGCTGTTATGTATAGAAATATTTTTCATGTGTGCTTCATTTTCAGTTGTGTTATTCTTGGTTTCATCAGATATTTACTTGGCTTTTTAAGCATAATTACCTGCAACATAATTCTCAGTTGAACATTTCTCTTTAGATTCATAGAAATAACTTTATAATTTGTAAGATTTCAAACTTATTTTTTGAAAAAAAAAATCAACTATCAAATGATTGAATTCACTGAAAATGATGACGTTATCAAAATTATTATTAAAAAGGGTTTTCTTTTAAGAATGTTAAGAAAAATCTATATTTATTTACTTGAACATTTGAATTTAGAATCTGTTATCTGTTTTTAATTTTTTTCTTCATATCATATGTAATAAATAAAGATTGTAAATAAAATATGGTTTTATGAAAATGAGTAACACTTGGGCATAGAAACGAAGTGACAGCGATTAGTTACTTTCTTGCATTGGATAAACTAGTCTTCGTGGAGGAATTTTTTATGAAACTATTCCATATTTGCGCTACATGGAAAGGAAAACAACCCACTGTTAACCAGCAGCAAGGGGATTTTAACCCATGATCCGTCAACTACTGAGGATATTTTACGTCAGCACTGCAGTCAATGCAAGCTAGGAGCAGAATTCGCATTGACTATCCATCACTAAAATTCTTATCTAGGTCACCTTATTCGGAGACGAACTCTTTATCTTCTGAGCCACAGCACCCACGTCTCTGAAACTTTAAATTAAGAAAATAATAGGAAAAAACACTTTTTCTTATTTTTTATAAATGACACTTTATGCCATTTTTTCAAACGTATAGGATAAGGCCTGCTGAAACCACAATCTTTATCAGGTTACTAAGGTATGTTTGTTATGCTTTCCTTTTAATTTCCACTATTCTTTTATTTATTTTATTTCACACACTTTTATTTTCCTTTCAATTTCAGGCTCAGTTTCTTAAAAAATTTGTAAGACTTAGTTGGATAGGGCTAAGCAAATGTGGATATGGATTTAATTGATGTGGGATAACTGTATAGCTATAAATTATTAAAGTGCAACATTAATAATTAAATGGCAAAGGTAATATAGAGGGTTGGGTTTTTGACAAGATGTTTTTAAACAATTTTTTAATTGGATTAAACCATCAAAATCAAACTTTTCTTGAAATATTCACTAAATACATTATTAATAAAAATATGAAAGAAACTAGCATGGAAGCATTTTCAATTATATTAAAAGCTCAAGTAAAAAATATATTACCTTCTACAACTCCGGTGACGTGAATGGCGTGTTTTAGTTCTTCCATATGCTGCTTATCAGCAGTTATATATAATATGGCAGTAATTGGACTAGTTAATTTCACAGGTAGCTGCACTGGATCCGATCTGAAAATAGTACAATTGTTTATTATGTATAAATGTAACTTAATCAGGCTAGTAAAACTTAGCCTGGTTTTATATTTATTAGCATTTACAGATTCTATTTGTATTGATCTCTTATTGATTATAGAAAACCATAGTTCATACTATTAATTCACACAAGACCCAAAAATTACTCCTTGCATTACATATGTATTAAGTTACAAAAATCAGACAACGCTAAAAATTATGCATGCAAAAAAGCGGAGATAAAAAACTGAGGAAATAAACAAAAAAGGCCAGTAGGGTAGCGAATTTTTGTTGATGGGATAAATATACAAAAACTCTTTTTTTCCATTTATATATAAAAAGCAAAAATCACATTTTATTCATCAATATACAAGGTTATTCATAATTCCTTCCGGGGTTTCGAAGCGTCATAGTAAGAAAACGAAGACAAATATGGCAAAAAAGAACATATGAAATTATTCCAAAAGTATTTAAGTTTTAATTTACGCAGTTGCCGGTAGATGGCAGTAACATGTACCACTAAAGCCAGTTGTAGTAAAGAAAAATGGCGTTTACAAGTCGAGGGAATTATTAATAACCCTGTATATAAGATTTTTCTAATATACCTACAAAAAATTTTAGGGTAAATAAAAAAGGGATGATGGGTTAATGTTTTACATGCATATATTATGTACACAATTCATTTAAAAGAAGAAAATTATACAATTTTAGTACATTTGTGATTCCCATAATTGGAAAAAATCCCTGTCATTGTATATTTAAAGCTCTATTCATTATATTAGCAGTAAATTTACAGAATGTGAAACCAATATTTCCCCTAGCCATAGAAAAAATATTTAAAATTATCATTTACCCCAATTTGACAGGAGGATCTAAGCAACCACCATCACAAGCATAGTATTCTTTATCACTTCGATCTAATGCAGTATATATGAGAGCTTTGTTATCTTCTTGAACAGTAACGCTAACATTTACATGAGTTGCATTGCCATAGATGATACGTCTGAAATGCAAATCTCTGTGTAAGTCTTTAGGTTCAGTATCAAATTCCAAGTGGTGATCGCTGAATTTGAAACCTCCAAAGCTGAGTATCATAGCCTGCATAACACCTTCTGTGCCTAGAAATAATCAATGAATAAAAGCCTGCTATTTTACTTAAAATATGCTGATAGGTTAATAAAAAAAGTCAATTTATCTAAAAATAAAAGTTAAGATTACATGCATAGCAAATAAATTGACGTGTTTATATGTTGGTGTTACTGCATTAAATTTTTTCATTCCAAAAATAGTAAGGACGATTTATTTTTTAAAAATATATATAATAATAAAACATTTATAATGTTTTAATTATGTCAGAATTCCACTAATCATTATGAGAAACCATAATCATCAATGAAATTTTGGTGTATGAGAATCTAGGAAGTAGAATCCACAAGGAAATTTTTAATAATTTATGAAAATATAATAACCACATAAATTAACTGTGTATGCATTTCTTTTTTCTGAAGTAGAGCTAAACAAAACTGTATGGGTGGCAGAGATCTGTTGTATGATACATTAAAATATATATATATATTTTTTTATACCTAGAACTATTATTTTTTTTTTATTTTTTGAAACAAAAAAAAAATTATGTCAGTAATAAATTATTTGTTATAATAGGTTTTTTTCAAGTTATTATTTATGGAATACCTAAAATCCATAAAAAAGCTGTAATAAATATTTAACTCCAAAATATAGAAACAAATTAATATTTAACATCAATTTAAAAAATAAACAAATAAAAAACAGTTGCATCAGAAATATTTTTCATTTCTAAAAAAAAAAATCAGAAATTGAAGCTATAATAGCACAAACAACAGCAAATAAATAATGTGTATGAGAAATTAAATAACATTTAATGAATATAAATACATAAATAAGATGTATTTAAAGTAATTCATAAAATCAAAAAAAAAATTTTAAATTCCATTTGATAGGATAGGTTAATCATAAAATAAAAATTTTCATGCATTAAAATTTTTTATTTATTAGTTCACAATTATTTTATCAAGGTTCAATGATTATGGCTGTAATGTAAAATGAGATTTTTAGACTTCAGAAGTTATTTTTGTTTCTGACATGATTTGTTATCAACTTGTTAATTAGCATTTGTTGATCAGAAAAGAAAATTTAAAACCAATTTATGCAAGCCTTGTGAAGATTTTTCATTAATATTTTCTTTTCATTAATTAATCACTGAACCCAAACTTTGATTATAATTTTCCAATATATATTTTTTGAATGTATAACATACTTAAAAAAAAATATTTTTTTAATTTTTATTGAACTTAAATGGGTTTGGTTGTTTTAATTTCTGTCAACAAATAAGTAAACAGTTTTCTACTTATAGATAGATTATTTAAAACAGTGTTCCCCAACCTTTTTATCACCGCGAGGCGTTTGAAAATTTTTCAGCGGCCCTCGGGGGGGGGNGGGGAGATGAATGTTTATATTTTAGATTATTATGATTTAATAATTTTAATTTAATTGTATTTAAACATGCCTTCAAAATAAAATACAGTTGCACCAAAAAATAAATATTAAGTGATTTAACATTTTAATTGACTAGAATGTTAAATCAATGAGTCACGATCGAGAGAGAAGACGAAGTTCTTTATTAGTTCCAAAGTAAATTTCGCGCCGCGCTTTCGTGTTTTATTTATGATATTTACAGTTATGATGATTGATTTTTTTTTATTATTATTAAAACTAATTGATAGAGAAAATAGTTGCGGTGGTTTTTTTTTCTTTTCTTTTTTTACTTTTTAAAACATTAAAAAATTAATGTCACTACCTTCCGGGGTCCCCCTTTTTTTTAAAAAAATAAGTGAAATTTTAATGGAACACAAAAATTTTTAATTTGGGGTATAAACCTAGGAATTTAAATTCCGTTTCAATGAAATGGGCGGCCCGGCACCATTTGATCCATGGACCGGTACCGTTCCGGGGTCTGGGGGTTGGGGAACACTGATTTAAAATATTCTTTCTTCAAGGTCCGATAGACAGGTTAGACAAAAGAAGCAATTAGCTTCCTGATTGATGCTTACCAGCTCGTAGAAGACGATAACATCCTTGTTTAGCAAGTGTTAGAAACCATAAGGCTACGATTCTGTTGACATCTGCAACTGTTCTTAAATCTGACCACAGGGTAGAGGCTTGTCTTAAAATAAAAACCAAAATCATTTTTTTTATTTTTAAGTAGTATTTATTCTTCTCATATTCAGAGAAATAATAAAATTACAGAAATGCATAAACAAATTTATTTTTATATCAAATGATTTCTTGAATAAGATTTCTAACTCATTCATAAACAAAAGGTTATCATGTTACTCAGTCACATTAATAGTTACGTTTAAGTATAAAATAATATATAACAGTTTAAGCAGGGAAAACATTTTTGTTTTATTCTTCCATGTTTACAAAGTTAAATTTTTTTCATAAATAACAATATATAAGACAATTTTTTTAAAAAAAAGAGAAAATTTCTTTGAAATTGGGAATGTGATTTCTACAATTTTGTGCCATCTAATCTGTTAAGAGTTTATATAAGTAAGAATTTTAAACAATGATTATAGGTAATCATACACTGAAGAACATAAACTTATGAAAGAACAGAATTTATAATTAATTGCAATAAGTTATTTACATAAAGGTTATTTTAACTGCCAGGCGTAAAACCTAATTTAAGATTATTAGTGATAAAAAATCTTCATACCTCTAAATAAATATTTTTAAAATAGACTCTTATAGGTTCTAATGTTCACAACTACCTTATTAAACTTTATATCACAAGTCGGAGTTCCGTCAAAAGAAGGTTGATTATTTAGGGGGGGGGGGGAAATCGGGAACCACTGATCTAAACAATAATAACAGTTGGTTTTAATTTATGTGAGTTCAAAATTTGTCTTCCCTTTTTTTCTTGAAATAAGAAAAGGGATACTGCTGATTTATGTTTGCTTCAGGGAAAAGGGGAGTTTAGATTTTAAAATAATGAGAAATAACTGAAATGTAAGTTTACTCTGGAAGTATAAGTTTGCATTCCAAGAAATTATAATTAATTATAAATTACTCACAATGTATGATGTCCACTATAACATTTATCTGGAAGGTATAAACTTCTTTGAAAACTGAAGCGTTGTTGGGGAGTTATGTCTGTTTCAGATAGATAATCTCTAGAATTCGACAAAACATAATACAGAGAAGCGTTTATCCGGTCACCATTTAAAGCACCTTGAGCTCTAGATATACTGATAGTAAATCCACTATGCCATATCTGTAAATAGGAGTAAATTTTATGGAAAATAAATTAAAATAAATGTTTTGGTAACTATATTCAAGGAAATTAAAATGTATAGGTACCTTTTTCCATGCTTCTACGTGTTTTTTCCTTAAATACCACGGATCAGCATCCAAAGCATTTCTAAGATCCTAAAAATTTTAAAATTGTTAACTATATCTCAGCACATTAGCTTTACATATGTAAGCACAAAAATGCTTTTTTAACTTTTTTAAATTTTCATTCTTACCATTTGTGATTGCGATTCCAATTTCTGTTTGACAGATTCAGGTATTGAAACAGATGTTGGTTCTGAATAATGTATTGAAGTCCTTATTACTAATTTTTTTGAACTGAAAAGATATAACTTTGTAAGAACAAATGTATGTATTGATTAGTAAAAAAAATTACCTTATTAATAAAGCAATTACCATCGCACTTAGAAAATGTTACTTAAAATGAAAAAAAAAACATTATGAATATTATAAAAATTAATATAAAATATAAGAAGAATTTACATGGAGTAATAATATTAGAGTCTTTATATACTCTAAATTACAGGTGGAGGTTTTATAGTAAAAAAATACACATTAGTCATTCACAAGTCAAGAAATATTTGTTGCAGAATAGTAATGATGTTTGACCGGGGGGGGGGGGTTTAATGACCTTGAACTTGTTTTTACACCAAATATTACTTGAGTTACAGTCTTCTGATAAAGCATGCAAAAATTTGGTTTTAAAAATAAAATAATGATATTTTTACAAGATATTGATTGTATTTTTAAAATTTGATCAGTTCTAGTGCATGATATCATAAGCTATTTCCTTGGAAAAAGCTCCAAAACCATTCTATTTTCGTGTTTACAAGAATTTTAAAAGGCAGATATAATTTGAAATTTTTGTACATATAATTTGAAATTTAATTTTATTTAATAATTACATAGATACCTTTTTGGAGAAAGAGTGATAGCACTTGGCACTTTCGTTGCAGCAATTGATATCATAATACTATCAGATGAACCAGGAACTTTTACTTCTTCAGAAAACACTTTGTATTCGAATTTATTTCCATTAGGTAATGTTCTACAGGTAATGATATATAAAATAAAAATTAAAAGGTAAAATATAATTCAACAAGTAATAACATAAAAATGAGTTGCACTAAATAAATAAAAATAATTATTATCCCAGCCTGATGTATACAAGTCTTTAAGGTAATAACTATACTTATTAAATTTCTCCCTAGTTTAAATATATGCCGTTAAGTTCATAAATTTAATTATTAATGAAAACATTTGTTTTGCAACAAAACAACTTTGACAAATTTGAAAAGTCAAACAATCATGTATACCCACAGATTATAATCATGCATATACATTTTTAAAAAGAATTGAAGAGCAAAATTTTAAGATCAAACTGATGATGTTTGGACACTTATTGAATTAAAAAAAAACTACAAACCTAACTCTATACAAATATTTTTTATTTTAGCATTTTTTAATTTATTCTGTTTTGCTGAAAAAAAAGGGTTTATAATTTATATTTCGGATTGTAAAATGTGTAAACTATTATAAAAATTCTATTAAGATGTATCTGGTTAAGATAACAGTAAGTATAACAAGTTTACTATAACCATAATTTAAATCAAAATACTTTGACTATATTTAAGTCAGGCAATTGTATTTTTAGATTGAAAATAATTTAAAGAGCTTAGTATTTTGAGCAAAAGCATTTGTTTATACAAAGATACTTACATAACTAAAGGAGTATTCTCATTGCTCGTAGTTGACTCTTGTCGCAATATTAGAGTTAAATCTTCATTCTAAAATTAAAGCAGAAATAAAAAACTATGTGTGGGTTATTCGACTAGAAATGGAAAATAGAATTGGCTACAGTACCCTAGAGACAATCTTATTTCAATATTTTGAGGTATAAAATTCTAGCCAATTAATTTTTTTAAAGAAACACTGTCAAAATATAGACAATTTTTTGCAAAAATAAACAATAATCTGAACTAAACCAAAAAAAAAAAAAATATCTAAACTAAATAAACAGAAATCTAAAACAAGTTATGACTTGATGAAATAAAATCATTTTACTCTTATTTACCTATTTTATTCTCTATAAAATTTCTTAATCACAATCAAAACATTTTTTTAAGAACAACAAAGGCTAACATTTCTGACGTTTGAAATACATAACACTGATTACAATTAAAATTTCCAACTGTAAATTTATCCTCTAATCAAAGATGTGATGCTTCATTTGTATGTTTCAACTTATGTATGTAATTTTTTTATTACTGATCATTATGTGCAAATAATTTTATGTTCCAGAATTCGGTGAACCTAAACATAATATAACTGAAGCATCAAAACACTCTAAAAATTACTAAATTATCTAAAGTGTAAAAAATTGTTGATAAAATTATTTTAATATAATGCAATAATAATTTAATACATGAAATTTTAAAGTAGTGCAATAATGAAAAATAAAAAATGATATTTATATAATTTCTAGTGAAAATAAATGCTCAAAAATAAAATGTGAATTTCAGGTAAATAAGTTACACAATTGTATATATTTTGTAGGATTAATAAAGTTGAAAACTTACTCATCATTTTTAAATTTATTCAATTTTTAATAAATTCTGAAGTAAATAAAAGTAAAACTATGTAATAATATGAAATGTTTTGAAGTAAACCTCTTATGATAGTTAAAAACTAAAAGAAGGGATAAAATTTTGCTTCAAATTTTATCAATATATCTTTAGCTTTTATTTTGCACAATTAAAACTAAATGTTAAACAAAAATCAAAACATTGTTTATCTCATTAAACTTATTTTTTCAGTATATATATATATATATATAANTATATATATACACACACACACACAAAGTACAAGAGAATATTAAATATGTACTTTGCAAGGGCCCGGAAAGCAATAAATATTTTTATTGTCAAGCAAAATTTAAAGTTTTTAAATTATTTCCAATTAACTTTAGACACACTACATATGCTGTAACATAAATTAACAAAGTAGAAGGAAAACTTTTAAAACTTGGTACAATAATGTATTTTAAAATAGCAGTATAACCTAAACATATCAGTATTCAAGTTTACTTAGTTCAAAATTGACAAAGGATATTTAAAGTGATAGCGTTAATCTTCCTAAATCTAAGTACAAAAACAAAATTGGTACCATAAATTAAGTAGGCAATTAATTTACATCAGCAATATTGTCATAGAAATAAATATAGATCAGCAATATTGCCACAGAAATAAAAATAAAAAACTTAGCTAACTTATAACTTTGAAAGGATAGGTTTTGACTAAAATATTGATCTCAGTTAAAGCATTAAAAATAAATTCTTCTTTGTTACAAAATGCAATGAATATTATTGTCATTTAAGAATTATAGTGTTCTTGCAAAAAAATACTGATGCTATCAATTAATGGATATAAATATAACAGCTAAATATCATCAGTATTATACATAAACTATATCTTAAAATAAATACATTAAATTGATTAAAAAATACACTACCAGGAACTTTTACGTACCAATGGATTTGCAATTTCTATTTGTTGCATAAATAAAGAAGGAGAAATCCTATAGGCATAGAATTGATGGACAACACTTACAGGTTTTCTTCTCTGCAGAAAAAAAATCACTCTTTTAACATTCAATTTACAATATTAAATAACTATTACAAAACTACTACATGGAATAAATTTTTTTATACTATAAAAAATGTAATGCCACAATTTTAAAGAAACCTTTTTTTTTATGGCTTGTATTCCCATAAATGAAGAAAAAAGGAAAGTTTTGTTTTGTATTATTCATTTTTAAAGGAATTTAATATTAATCTAAAAGAAATTGTGATAAAGATATGCTACAAAATATTTATTATTTCTTCTTGTATTCAAAGTTGGGCTCTTTTTTAATAAAGGATGACCACAAACAGACAGAAAAAATTCCTGATTTTTCCAGAGGGATTTTATCTAATTTTCCTGTTTTTATAAAACCATGCCAGATATTTTACTACAAATTTTTAAGTTAAATCTCATTCTTAAGCATAAATATATTATAAAACTTACAATTTAGAATTAAAGTTCAGTATAAACATTTTTAAAAAAAAATTATTATAAGGAATTTGTTTTTGGTAAAAATATAGGATTTTCAGGTTTTTTAACCTCTAATTACATACTATTTTCTGACTTTAGGGGTATTTTTATATAAATCCTGATTTTTTTCAGATATATAAAATTCCTTGACATACATTTTCCTGTTCTCTCGCCATTCTGTAATATTTTGCCTATATTGCATTGTAAGCAAATTAACTATACATTACATAAGTATTAGACATATTTAAATAAGAGCAGCTGCGCTCTACATTAGTTTTGTTAGTATGAAAAATCTTTTTCGAATTTAGTTGCTTTGAAACAGCATTTAAAAAAATATCTAAAAATAATTTTGTTATTGTAAGAAAACAAGAAAATATAAATCAAAGGCTTGTCAGTTTGTACTTTGTTCCATTGTCCTTAAAAAACATTTATTAATTAATGTTAATTGTTAAAACAAAATTTTAAAAAAAAAATTTACTACTTAAAACTAAACCAAACATTTTATGGAATATATTATAATTCATAAAAGTGCGAAACTTTAGACATAATATAAAAATCGTTATAAATATCAATAGCTAAAACCTGAAATAAACTTTAATATTGATTTAACAAATGTGCATTAGAATTATTACATTGCAAAATCCTTAATTAATATCAAAATAGAAATATAAACTAGAAAACTTAACCACCAATCAAGTCTCAGACTAGTACTCATTCAAGAGTATATTGCATGTTTTCTTTTCCTTGCAGTGTTTAAAAAAGCTAATATGAAGTAAACAAGGAGAAAATAGTGCAAATAATGATCTTGAAATTGCTTTAAAAAATGAGTAAGAGACATTCAAGATGATTCATAAACTTATAAAATATAAAATAATGTTAAAAATAGATACATCAATAACACAATAAAAATAAATAAAACAATGAGGAATTATGGCATAATGAAAGTAACATTGAAATAACAAATTACATACCATATTAAAACACTGGAATTTATAAGCAATCCCAGAAGTATAGTGAACAGCAGAACCCTCTAAAAAAAGATACACAATTTTATGTATAATAAGTTAAAATCGATCTTTTATTTCCAAAAAAATTAAATGCTAAATAAAAGAGCACATGTTTAAAATTTAGGTAATGTGTTAAAAACTTACTCAAGTCTGTTTTCCTTCGGTGTTAAAACATAACATCTTTGAATATTGATCTTAATCACTTGAAATTTAAAATTTTTCAAAAATTTAATGATACATAAAATACGGCTGGCTAAAACTTAGGTAATGTGTAGAAAGACTCACTTAAATTAGTTTCCTCTAATGTTAAAATATATACAGGTTTTCCCTACTAGTTGGGAAAACCTGTGTGATTCACTTCTGTTTTTACCATTTCTGGCATTTAATCCTACTTAGGACAAGAGACACCAAAAAGCATATATATTTAATTAAAACATGACATAACAGACATACTACAGCAGTTAGGGGAAAAAAAGCTGAACTTTGTGTAGTAACAAAACTTCAGAAACAAATTTTAAAATTACGCATCAACTAATATAAAAATTACAATTTAAAGAATAAATAATTTATTATAATAAATAAATATTAAATAAAATAAAGATTAAATAAAATACAGATCAAATTAAAATAGTTTTTTTTAAAATTAATATTTTAAGTCAATTCATTTCAAATTATAAGATTTTTGCATTAATTGTTTCAAAAGACCATTACTTATTAAAATCTTTATTGGAATAATTTCTTACTCAGAGCCAATCTTAAGATTTAATATTCTTTTGGAATTTGGTTTAATACTTTTATAAAGGTGTTTCACTAGTTATTTTTAATATTTCTCAATATAATGAATTGCTGATGATAATATTAACTGGAAAAAAAACTGAATAAAGAGTACACTTCAAATTTTTTAAACAACTTGGTTATATAAGATTATTATTTTTTAATTTTTATAAAATATTATTGAAGAGTCATAAATATTCAGAAATAACATACAGAGTAAAATAGATAAATAAATAAAATAAGTACAATTTATGGATGATCCTCCGGCTCAACATACCAATTCATGTACATACTTAAGAATAATAGTTTAGTGGAATCACTGCAGTGCTAAGAATTTTAAGTTAGATTAACAAATTATTAATAAACAATATATAACCTTTTTAAAAGCCACAGTTTTAGTAAAAAATAAGGTACCTTGATTACTTGCGCCAGGAATATCAACCTGAACAACAGGATGATAATTTATTGGAAGTGATAAAGACCTTTTGTAATGCACATATAACTGTTCATTTCCATCAAGAGGCACACCAATTCTACCATTACCTAAGTATTTACAAAAATGAATTATAAATTTAATCAACAATTTCAGTATTATACACAAAATCTGAAAAAAATGTCATCAAAATATATTTTATTTAAAATTGAAACATTTTAGTTTTCTAACATTAGAAAAACTTAACGAAAAAAGTATATGATGCAAGAAATAAATATTTGTAGTTTATGCACACTATTACGCATTTTACTTCATATACAAAATGTTAGAAAAATGTAACAAAAAACAATGGGTAAAATAAACAATAATAATTACCAACATAAGGAAGAAAATATGGTTCATCAGGCTCCCAGGATCGATAAACGCCAGCATCATAACTATAAGACTCTCTTAAAAGCCAGCTCATATTAGTTGCAACACAGCCTATGCTAGGATCTAACATAAGTACAAAAATGCATTTTTATTTACGATTGCGAAAAATGCAAAGTTTATAACTTCTTATTTATACTACATTTACATTTTAGATTACATTATAGATTATACTTAATATTTTAAAAGAATAATCTAATTTAAGAACTATATACATTATAGCAACTGATATTCATGCATAATTTCACTTCACACTATGAAAAATGCTTTTAAAATGTATGGATATAGAAAAAAATATTCACAAGAGCCTTGTAAAACATAGATATTTCTGTCAAGACATAGTGCATACAATATAATAGAGCCCAAAGTCCCATATCCAAACCTTTGTTTTTCCAGGAAAGTCCAGATACTTTTTAACAGGCAAAGTAAATTATTTTTTTTTTCCCTTTTCACCCATCTAAAAAATTCCAAAAATTTTTTTTTCCCTTCAAAATTTAACTCCTTGTTTGGGATAAGTTACAAAATGTGATGTATAAAAAACAATTTTTTTAAAATTTCTCTTGTGGCATGTAGGATAGCTAAATATTTACACTGCTTTCATGAGTGCCCTTAAAGAGTTATTGAAAAGACAGAAGAAGTTAAAGAAGAAAAACTAATATATTTCTTAACTGCTACCAATATATTACTAATATACTTTAAATTTTTAACTAATCTAATAAATTTTTAAACTTACATTTTACTTATAATTAAATAGGATTGATTTTTCCTTCCAATCCGAAGATTCTTTTTTAATTTTATTTTTATCTGAATATCTGTGTTGCTAATTCTTCACAACAAAGAAAAAAAGAAGAAAAGCATGTCTTTATTCAAGAAGAAGAAAGTTCATATTTCATTAATGACATTTATTCTATGATACTAAATATTCCTCAGTTAATTCAAAATAATTTAACTAATAACAAAACATTGCATAAAAATTGCCATTAAAACTATTGTTTATTTTGTTATTGAACAATGTGTGTTTTGAGTTTTGTTTGCAATAAAGACCTAGATCTATCACCCAAAAAAATCTATTATTTGAACTTTCTACAGTATACATATATGCCTTAAATCAAGTAACTTTTTAAAACAAGGGGCACACCTCCAATCTAAGGGTGACTCCACTTGTAAGACCTAGCCAGCAAAAATGTTACTCAGAAGATTCATGTTATACGATTCATTATGTTACTCATGTTATGCGGCTTATTAAGGGTGTTATTATAATACAGGTTTTAAATCTCATTTTTACACATTAAAAATCAGTTATTAACAATTGGAGCATTTTTGAAGCCAAATGTCTCAGGATCTCTTATTTTATCAACCAAAAAAATAATTTATCTTATTTTTATACAACAAAAAAAGTCATGCATAATGGAAAAATTTCTACACAAAATTTCCCAAATGGAAAACAGTCAGTTAATTGATTAAACATGGCTTGAATTCTAAAACTGTATTATTCACTTTAGAATAATTATATGTAACCTACCTATCATTATAGGGGTCTTTTTTCTGATCCAACGAAACATAGATGGCCCTACGTAGAACAAAAATCCGAACACTACAATTATGAGAAGAAAAGTCTTCCTTAATCTGAAAAACAAAGATTTCATTGAATTGACATACTACATCAGTAAGAGAATAATACTTTGATTCATCATTCATGAATATTTATATAAATATGCATGAATAGTAAAATTAAGACTATTCAGACAAAAAAGAAACTTATTATAGATTCTGTCCAATCACAAATATAAACTTAAGGTTATTTTTCAAGTCATATTCATTAAATTTTTTAAAATATACCAATTTAAACATAAAATTACACATGTTGGAAAACTGTCTTTCCTATGGGTAACTGCATCAAAATAGTCACCAAATTATAGTTAAAATTGGGGAGAACGAAAAACTAAAAAAACATCAGAGAATTATACCAACTTAAAAGGTATAACCCATATCTATCCCAGGGCAAATCCATATTTTTTGTATCGGTACTTTTTTGGGCCAATTACAATCATCAAAGTGTTTTTAAACTTTCAAAAATTAACTATATATGTGTAAATGGTTGTTCGAGGGTGGCTATGACAGGTCCTCTATTGAAGTAAACTTTCAAAAATAGTTGCTTTAATAGATCCCGAGGCCAAAAATAGTAGCTTCATGAATAAATAACAATAGCCCAAATACCTAGTATTCTTTAATAAACGAAGCACACATAAGGTATTAATAAAAGTAATACAACACAAGGTATTGATAAAAGTAGCACGTCTGCATCACTATCGTGAATCCATGTAATTTTCTAATAAATTATTTTGCCATTTCGACATGTTTTATTTCAAATTCCAATATTTTAATATAATGCAATAACATACAAGAATTTAGATTAATCACTTTTAGATGTTATTGAATCTTCACAATTTGATCATAAATCCATGTGGTTTTCTGATTTTTTTTCTGCCCATTTCCACACATTTTAGATAGATACTATTATGATGTGCAATTTTTATTCTAAATAATAATTTTTTCACACGCTTAGTTTGCAATGATTCAGACATAAACTCGAATATTTTCTGAGTGTTTTTTTTTTTTGCAGTTATTCACCCTCTTTTTAGCCATTTCAACATAGCTTTATAAATTTTGATACAGTGATGGTCATTCGATAACTAAATTTAGGGTGATTCGCTAATTTGAGAACAAATGATATTTAGAATGGTCACCTATACATGAATTTAGTTTGCTAGTTTTTAAAAATAATCGGGCATATTTCCCTATCGTGATCTGTCGCACCAACTACAATTGCCAAGGTGCCAAATCGATTTTAAACTTGCGAATTTAAAAAAAAAAAATCTTATATATGTTGGCCTAGAGATGGCCACAAGTTATACTTCTCGATTTGGTCCCTTTGCGATCTATCATTCAGATTCTTGCAGGCTGCTGCCAAGAAGTTTCCATGACTAAGCAATTATTCTGCCACAGATCAAGATAAGGATATCTCCCCAATAATCGCTGTATAGTTGGGTTTTTTGGTCAAAATAATTTGCATAGTTACCCCGTTTTCAGTAGCAAATAGTAGCATTTTACCTGAAATAGGAGGTCCTCCAATGAGTTGATTCCCTTCAGTAATGCTTTTTTTAAAAACTCGCGTTCCACCGCTTGGAAGTCGTCAAAATTTGACCTTTATTTTGGCGCAGTTACCCAATCGGAATTCATCACGATAAACCACTACATATTTATTATTTTAATTTCTGAAAGTACAGAAATTCTTTGTCGATTGTAGTCAGCATGGACAACTACCAATGCGAAAATATCCCCAGTATATATTAAACTAAACTGAAGTTAAATACAGTGAAAATGTTTACATTGAATTTCATTGAAAGTAAGAAAATAAACAGAAAAAAAGCCACAAATGCTAGAGGGAAAGCTTGTTAACTTTCAATAATGATGATGTGCACAATAATGTATTGGAAAAATAATTTTAACTTACGACATGTAGTTATCAAGTGTTCTCTTGCATCTTTTACACCAATCACATATTTCGAAAATCATTTTCCTATTCAAATAAAATTGATTTTAAAAACATAATTTTAACAACTATTAGTCTTACAATAACATTGATATTAGTAACATGGAGATTAGTATTAGATATAACATAAAAACACATAAACATAGATATTTTTTTTACAAGAAAAATACATATTTTGTTTATATTTTACACCTTAAAATATGAAAGGGTGATACCGAAACTTCAATCAAAATAACTAAACAACATCCAAAAATATTGTAGTCCTTACCAAAAATAATGTAATCCCATCAATACATTTTAAAAGCATGAAGATACAGATTACATTTATGCCAAAAATTTTTATAAAAAGAAATACATTTTGCAGAGAATAAATTTTTTAATCCATAGATCGACAATTTCGTAAACTCATAAACAAACTTTTTAAGTTTGTTTTGGTGGAAATTATCAAGTTGAGATGTATCCTTCCTTCTTCATTGATAAATAAATACAATGATAGGTTTAGTAGCCAACAATCCTGAAACTCAACTTGGTGACATAGCTAGTAACCTGGTAATTAAATTGATTTGATTTGATTTGATTTGATTTGTTCATTTACGTCGCACTAGAGCTGCACAATGGGCTATCGGCGACGGTCTGGGAAACATCCCTGAGGATGATCCGAAGACATGACATCACAATTTTGATCCTCAGCAGAGGGGATGGTACCCCAGCTTCGGTAGGCCGACGACCTGCACGACGACCTGCATTGGCGGGGCAAAAATCGACTAGTCGAGTTTTTTTTATAAAACGCGGATGTTGTTGCTGTAGTTTATTTACGTCGCACTAGAGCTGCACAATGGGCTATTGGCTGATCCTCTGAAGAGGGGATGGCACCTCCTATTTGGTAGCCCAACAACCTGCACGTGAAGTCAATCACTTTACGGTAGAACAGCTTAACGAGGACCAATACCACACACCCTCGGTCCCTACGCAAGCTGATCCAAGTGGTCACCCACCCGCACACTGACCGCAGCCAGTGATGCTTGACTTCGGTGATCTGCTGGGAACCGTGTCTTAACGATCAGTCCACTGCGGGACGGTAATTAAATTAATGAATTTAAAGTAATGAGAGCAAAAAAGTCAACAAAACGTTTGATACATTCTCATTAATAAATGGGTTAGTGTTACGTTTTAAAAAAAAGAACAAAAGACGGTGCGCGTGACTTTATGGGCTGTAAAGGACCAATATTATTGCATGCGGTTCACGCACATCTGATCACCGGAGAGAAAATCGGCGACCTCCATTGGTGAGTGTTTAGGGCGAAAATCTTTTTCACCAATCATGTTCTCATTCTTCCAGGAGGAAGATCGGAAGTGAGTGAACCACATCCAGCGAGAATGGTCCTTAACATATAAAACCATGTGTGCTCTTAAGCATTTTTCCTTGTTTTCTCATTTTTCGCACTCTCATTTTTCTTCTTAATCATTTTCTAACCAATCTCATTTCTAAGTTCTTTCCGATTTTTTTCACTTACAAAAATATCGCAAGCAAATAATGCTTTTTAAAAATGAAGAAAATTTATTAAAATGTCCAAAAAATAGCCTTTTTTAGCAGTTGTATTTTTCAATAGTTCTTTCTGAAGAACTATTCCAATGATTTCCATCAAATTTTGAAATTTTGATTTTGAAAATTACATAAATAAAATTTTAATAAGAAGCAAAAAAATAATTTAATTCGCTTTATTACTTCCTGAAATATGGTCCAAAAAAGCAAAAAAGGAAATTAATAAGCAGTCCACTCTTTGTTTCTGAACATGTACACACATTTTGGTGTCTCATTTCGTAGTTAAAATATCGTCCGAGCTAATTAATTCACATATTTAAGGTTTGTGTTGGCTATTTTTTCCCCCATAATGCATGGTTTGATGCTTTTTGATTCAAAGTCAAATTTTAATTATCATTAAATTTTTAGCTCAAAGACTAAACATTACTTCCTTTATAAGTTTGTTGCTTCCAAATTTTACTTCTCCCTCTAATTTAAAAAAAAAATTTCTATCCACTTCGAATGAATTACAATGCATGAAAACAAAACTTAACAATATTAAATTCTCTAATTTTATATAAAAGAGCTAAAGAAATATATTACTCCCGAAGAAATTATTTTTAATTATTCTGGATTATTTTTCTGCCATCGAATCATACAGAGAATTTTTATTTCATATGTGCCAGTGTTTGTACAGTGTGTGTGGTCGTAGTGAACAAGTACGTTTTATGGATGTTATTTAAATGTATAGCAAGCAAATACCTTTTTTTTTTTTTTTTTTGAAGAAGAAGAAGAGGAAGAACGGGAAAAGAAATTCGCGATCGCAACACTCGAATACACTCGAATATTTATCCTTGCTTCTTTAGATATGGTGAAATACGCAAAAAGTTAAATCAACATTAACAGGCTCAATTTTCAGCTGTTGGGACTTTAATTTCGAAACTGTGACCACCCCCCTTATTTTGAATTTTGATAGTCACAGATTAAAATCCATCGAAAAAATAGTTGGTTTATTTAGAGAAAGTACGTTTTTTTAATTTAGCACTTTTTAATTTACATAGGATAGGCTTTTAGTTTGTGAAAACCCTATTATTAGAGCAAAAATTATTCAAGTTCATATCTTTTTTTATTAATTTTATTATAATATTTAGCAATTGTTTTGATGCAGTTTAAAAATAATTAATTTATTAATAATAATTAATATTAATCAATTAATTAAAAATTTGTTACTAATTAAAACTTAATTTACATTTTAATAATTAACTCAAACAATTTAATGAATTAATTATTAATCAATTATTTAAATGAACAAGTTTACAACGCAACTGCTTTTGAATTAGTACCTAAAACAAATGGTTATCACAGTAAGGGAAAACTTTAAATGACCCCATAGGTATGAAAAGTTTAAAGCAGTTTTATTAATGAGATTCAGAGAATCAGGGTTAAGCGAATAAATTAAAGGGGGGGGGCGAGCCTCCATTTATACAAATAATGGTTTTTGACGAATAACTTCATACGAATACACACTGCTTTACTCTAAAGAAGTTTGAACCAAATACAATAATTTTATGTTATTTTATAGCCGGCGTTGAACAGCCGGGCCAATTTTGAGTTTACGACTACCGATAGAACACAAGGGAAATCATGGATCAACCATGGAGACAAACTAGCCTTCGAGAAATACTTTTTGATAGAGCTAACCAACAATTGTGTTACTTGGTGAGGAAAACTATCAAGACCTCCCATGCTTAGCCCGAAACCAAGGAGATTCTGACCCATGATCCATCTACTACAGAGGTTATTTTATGTCAGCATTGTGGTCGGTATGAGCAGGGAGAAAAATTCGTTATTTCCTGCAAACACTGGGATTCGAACTTGGGTCACTTCATTGGGATACAAATACAACCAATCTTTTCCTTGAGCCACAGCTGCTCCAAATACAATCATTATAAAAAATAAATGAATATGTATTGGCAAGCAAAAGATTATAAAACAGGCTGAAGTTATTTGCTTCTGGTTGTCAAATAACGCCATATGAATGATGAACTTCAATAAATTGAAAAGTGCGTACTAGTCCAAAAACCAATATCTGTACAGATAGCTTATCATGTAGTTCTTAATCATTATTCTTCATATTTGGTTAATGACAAAGGATGGTGCATGCTTATGTAAGAAAGTTGCAGGTCCCCCCCCTCAGGTTTTTATTTTTACTTTGACTTTAACTATTATTCAGTTTTAAGATTTAATTCAAATAAGATTTAATTCATTCAAATAAGATTTAATTCATTCATTTAATTCAAGATTTAATTCAAATTTAACATTTAATCCATTTAATAAAATTGTGAGTCGAAAAATCTATAGGAAACTTTTTGTTTTCCTTTTGCGTTCAAAATTCTTGATCTGCAAAACATATAGAAGAATTTTTTTTTTCCAATTTTTTCTTTTCCGAGTTCAACTTTTATACTTCTGAAATTCTTTCATGTGAAATTTTTTGTAGCGTGTTTATTTTGCTTTTTTAAGAAAAATTTCTCGTATCTCCTTGTCAGCAAAAATAAGCAAATTACAAAGCCCCCTCCCCCGTCAGGTAAAATATATCATAACTTCAAAAAAGCATTTTAAAACTGGTGTAGACTTATGTTTCTTACTGACTAATTATAAATGAAAACACTCAAATTACTAAACATAATTTATTTCAGTTAGCTTGAGTTATAAAGGCAATTTGAGAATAAAGTCAACTTGTGTTATAAAGTTCCTGAGCGTCAGTATCGACGTTTTATTTTCTTTCGTTTCTCTGCTGTCTCTCCGTTATCTTGAAATTTCATCGGTGGAAGGCTGGCAGACGCATAACCATTAAAATTTTCATTAAATGATTCATTATCTTTAGGTAAACGTGAATGCTTTCTCCCATTCCGAGAAGGCCTTTTTTCGTCTGATAAAGAGCAGCTATTACTTTCTTTACTTTGATTAAATTTTGCATTAACTTCATGTGGCGTAGGACTAATGTCTGGTGAATAAAAAAAAAATAGTTATATTTTTATATGCTTACAAATATTGATTAAATTTTGCATTAACTTTATGTTGCGTAGGATTAATGTCTGGTGAATAAAAAAAAAAAAACTTATATTTTCATATGTTTACAAATAATTCAAGTTAAAGTTGTTTTTAATAATCTTTAAATCAATTACGTACAGATTTCGAATACATTCGCGTGCTAAATTAAGTCGCTATCTTCATTTCTTGGAGAAGAAAAATTAATTGCGTATATTTAAAAATTCAAAAACATTTCTTTCGTTTGGTTTCCTCGGCAAAAATTGCATTTTAGTCAACTCGCGTACAAAAAGTTTTTGAGTCTACTTATGAACTAATCCTTATTTCCGACGGTAACGCATTTATTCAAATCCATTGTATTTAGGTATTTCATTGTATTTTAAATAATTAACGCAGCTGGACGCAAAACGTTTTAATCATGTTGCGACCATACATGGTGTTTCGGATTCACCACCCTTAATACGTACGGTGTCGAGATTTTGCGTTAGTGCATGATTTTTCTTTAGAGGCTATCGCGCGTCTTATATAATAATCTAATTTATTGTTGAGAGACTGAATCGGAAGTTTATCCTTGATTAGAAGTATGCTAAAAAGAGGGGGGGGGAATGCTGAAGAACATATAAAGTACATTTAATTATAATTTCTCTAATAAATTAGAAGAAGATGCCACATTTCTAGAATGCAATTTTCATTATGGTTAAATGCAATTTTCATTATGGTTAAATGCAATTTTCATTCAGCATAACACGAAAAAATTACATAATTGCATCTCCTCTGAATAATTAAAGTGTGTCAAAAATTAATGATCTTAACACAGTTATCGATTAAAAATCTTCACTTACGAGTTTCTTATGTTTTAAACAAAAAATATATGAAAATAATTTTAAATTTTGCATTGTTAAATTCTGATAATAAAAAAAAGTGTTCTTTTTTAGGTTCAATTTTTATGTCTGTCTTGATTAAAAAGTCCCCTTCAAACCAAATGATGACCTACAGAAAGTACAGGATTTTTTTTCTTCTTTTTTTCACGTAACCTAAAATATTCTACTTTAATTTGAAGCAAATGAATTGCAGTTGGCTTGCTTGTGATGCGTTGAGTGGTAAAATGGAAAAGTCTTACAATTATTTCATCACGTAACAGTTCCCGTGCAACTAAGAGAAGTAACATATAATTTTTTTAAGCGATATAAATTTATTTAATAGTCTATTACTTGTTCAAATAATTGTAAAATTTTGTATTTTAACTCTCAACGCATCACAGCCAGACAGCAGATAAAGAGCAATAGTTTTCAAAAACCAAATGTGATTTTTGAGCTTCAGTATTAGGTATTAGTTCCAACAAACTCAAAAATGCACAGGTTTACCCGGCTGTTACAGATTTATATTGTTTACAAAAATATTTTAACACTGGAATCCATTCAAAGATCACTTTATAGAAAAATATGTGAAGAATTTTAATTCTCACTCTAATATTCAAGCACGAAAAAGATGACTCTTTTTTTTCCAATCCGAGGCAAAATGGCAACATTTGCCCAAACGGTTTTAGGCAAAAGAACGGTTCAAAGGCAAAAAAGTTAAACTATTTGCTAGATTGACGAGCTTATCAATTTTCTTTTATTATTTTAAGCTGAATTTACGAAATTCGCTGTAATCATTTGGTTATGTGTTGGATTTTACTTCCATACATACCGTAATAACTAACAGTTTCATTTAAGTTTTGCTAGAGGGTGCAAAAAACAGCTAGGCTTGGAGAATTTTTAAGAAAAGCATCGTGATGACTTCTGAGTGGAATTCTCTTTAGTATTATCATTCAGGTTTCAGGGAAAAGAAATGAATGAAGAAAGAAAATGTGTAAAAAGCAGCTAATAATTACTTTTTGATTTTATAATTTTTCTTGGATTTTTTACATCAGTTTTTGAATTTTTTGTCCTACTATCTGGAATGCATTAACTTTTATTAAAATTTGAGAACTTATTTATTTGCTAAATATTTAAGATAACATATAAAATTATAATGTTGAAAAAAAAAATAAATAATGGACCATCCTGGCTCCATCTTTATGGTTCAAAGGGGTGATCTTAAATATGCTAATTAATTAGTGCAGACACAATATTTTAAGTTGCGAAGTCAGACACAGAAACGTACTTTCTCTGAATAAACATACCTTTCTTTCGACGGATTCGGATTTCTGACTCACAAAATATATGGGGCATCTGCTATGTGGGAAATATGGTCGTAATAGTTTGGTCACGAGAGCAGTCCTAAGTTTGGACCCCTTAATGTTAATTTTACTTTTTACGTATTTCACCATATCTCGTAAAGCGAATTAAATTTTTTTTGCACATATTTATAAAATTTGTTTATCCAATGATAATTCTATGCAAAAAATAAATGCTAGTAAATTTTTTTAATTATTATATTTAGCAATAATACAAAAAATTTTGAATTTTAAGGCATGAAATTTTTTACATCATTTTAAAGCATCTAATTTTAGATAAAATACAAAATTCGCGAGAAATCAGTTGAATAGTTTCTGAGAAATCGAACTCTAAATATACGACTTTTTGAAATTTGCTTTCTCTGGAGCTATTCACCTGATTTCGCTCGAATTTTGTATTTTATCTAAAATTAGATGCTTTAAAATGATGTAAAAAATTGCATACTTTAAAATTCAAAATCTTTTCGTCTATTATTAAATTAAATAATAGAAAATAATTAATATTTGCTAAAATTTATTTTTTACATGGGATTATCCTTAGATAAAAGTATTTTTAAAATCGTGAGCAAAAATTTTTAAATTCGCTTAGAAAGTTCTCGAGATATGACGAAATATGCAAAAAGTAAAATTAACATTAGAGATCTGAATTCGTCTACTAAAAGGTATGTTTATACAGAGAATGTACGTTTTTGTATCTGATTTTGGGATTTTAAAATATTGTCTGAATTGACTAATTAGCATATTTGAAGTCACCCCCTCAAACCTTAAAGATTGAGTCCTAGAAAGTGAAGATCCGATCATTAGATCAAAAATTATTCAAGGTGATCCTTTTCTTCTTCTTCCTTTTTTGTCCACTTTGTACATAGAATCCATATAACAAGATAAAAAAAAAAACAAAGAAATAAATAAAAAGGAAATGACATTTTTAATGAATAAGAAAATTACCAAAACTAACAAATTTATTTTTGGTAAGAAATTTTTTTTTTTAAAATTTATAAGTATTTTTAAAAATTATTTTTTTTAAAAATGTTTATAAATGTAGGTATTGAAAAAAAATTATAAAAAGCTAGGTTGGCTCGCCAACCCCCGAAAATTGCTACGCAATCTTCGCAAAATTGCAACGCAACCAAGCTCGTTTCGCTCGCTACTAACTTAGGTACATTGCAAATTTACAAAATTCTAAGAATTCAAAACAATCATTCAAATCCATATAAAAACTTTTTTTTTTTAAAAAAAATTACATCTTTTTAGTAAATACTAAGTCATTAAAATAAATTTGAGTTCAAATAAATGACATGTAATTCGTTAAACCTATTAGAAATGTGCTATAGTATAAAATCTTAAGATAAAATTTCTAAAACTGATATCTCTTTAAAAAGGTTAAAATTTTGGCTATAATTAAGTCTATTAAAAATTGAAATAAGTGAATTGCAATGGAAAAACCTGCATAAACAAATAAATTCTAGTAAAACAAATAAATTCGTGATATAAATCAAAAATCGTCAAATAAATTCGTAATATATAAATTCGTGAAAAAAAGCGCTTTCGACAAAATACTAAAATAGAGATCTATCGACAAAGACTACTCACTTCTGCCTAGCTTATGCTCTCTCTGGTTATTTCAGTTTCCGTTTTTAAAAGCGCTATACGTTGAGCCACCTCAGCTAGATTTGGCATGCGACATTTTTAGCGGCAATCATTGGTCGATTTGCCATGTAAGAGAAATAGTAACGTAAACAAAACAAAGCAAACGTTGCCACCGGCGGAAAAGAGGGGGAGCCACGTAAGAGAATTATATATATTAGAATATACTGATGACGAGATTATATGTTTTTCTTTAATTTGTTGCTGGCTTATTTTATTTAATTCTTTATTAATTTTTAAAAAGTTTTTAAAAGAATTTTTAAAAGAAATGTATTATTTGTATTATTTTTGGTAGCTTTCTACTAATTTAAAAAGCGTTTTTCTATTTTATTTCTTTTTTTGCTCTTGCTATTTTTTATCTTACTTATATATATTACCGTGAAATTACATTATAACTATATTTACTTACGGTCCACATTGAACTCTGGTTCTAGAGACGCGGGAAAACTTCGAACGTTCTCTATAATCATTTTTTGAACTCCTACAAAACAACATATTTCATAAGCTCTTGAAATAAAAATTTAAAACTATTAGTAAATATGTTCGTTATATTATTACTTGGAAATTCCAGCTTGGATGATCCTCGTTTAATTGTTCGATAGAAAAATACTGTTAGTTTCTGCAAAAATTAATGAAAAGTGGATTGAGCATCAAAAATTCCACTTAATTTCAAGCAAGGAGCTTAATTATAAGTAATACGTATGTTATAAGGGACAAGCACATCTTTTGTGTAAGAGTTAAAACATAATGTTCAAGGGAGTTAAAAAAAATTTTTTTTTAAGAGTAAGTAGTCCTGTTGCAAAATATATTTACATATCTTCTAAATAAATTTAACACATTCTTAAAGATATATTAGACTTACTGGAAAATAATTTTATTTTTTAAGACAGTTGATTTAAATAAATGGGCTAAATAATTATTTAGTTCAGTTATTCCGAAGTAAATTTTCTAGTTTGTTCAAGCCTAAATTTTTTAATTCTGCCTTATGACGTCGTACAAATTCTTTTCGAAAATGTATGCATTAGTCATCGGCTTAGAGTTAAAGTCAAAATTTTTAAGTTTGCAGTCAGTTATCTAATAACGCTAAGGAGTTTTAAAAAAAATTCTGTTCTATAAATCATTTATCTTAAACTTTAACTGAGTATTCTTTATTAAAAATTATTTTGTTTCTATTTTAAACTAAAGAATATAGAATTTTCTAGTAATGCCGCATGCCAGAAAGAACGTATGATACTTGGAAGAGAAAAATTATTTATACTATAATTTAAAAAAAAAACACAACAATTTTTAATATAAAAGAAAAATGCTCACTTTGATGGAAAAGAAATATATTTGAAAGCAATATATAAAATTTCAAATCATATTATTAACATTCATATGAACTATTCTTTCCTATATGTAATATGTTCGAGTTTAATTACATTTTGTCATATAAATAAAACGCACATAACTTTTTGTGCCTTTTATTTAGATATTCCATAGAGATTTGATAGAGCCATTCATAAAATAAGTAATGCAATGTAATACCAGAAATTGATAAAAAATGACTTACCTTTGAAATGAATAATATTCTTCGAAAATGTATAATGTCCTTTTCTTTCATTGAAATGCAGAACAGTAAAAGATCACATTTAAAGATTTTTTTTTTCGTTAAAATTCGTGCATTGATTTACTTCCATTGAAATAACAAGAAGAAACGGAAGGTAAAGAATTTAACTCATGGATTGTTCACTTCTCACGTGGTTTCATTATTAGAACTAAAATCAACATATAATGCTCACTTCACCTCGATTACTGCTCTATGATATAAACAAGTGAATTCGTGAGTTGATTAAATTTTCTATAATAAGTTAATTTGATCAGATGATTTATTTCAATTTGTATAACTTAAATTTAGCTTTTGATTTAAATAAATTATTTTAATTAGAAAGTTTACTTCTATTCGTTATATAATCTTTGTTATCTTTGAAAGGACAATAAGAATAACAAAATGACAAGATTAAAACGAGCACAACATTTTTTGTTTTGTAAAATAATATTTTCCTTTCTCATAAATTAGTTTAGACATTACCAGTTTGTGGTTTAATGAAATCTATTATGATAGTAACTTATATGATAAAATTAGAACTACATGTAAGCTTTTTTTTTTTTTTTATATGTTTGTAAAAAATTTTCCGTCGGGATTTTTTTAAAAAAAGAAAACAAGTTTGAAAATTATTATTAGGAATTGTTAAAATTTACATTCTTAACATGCATACTTACCCAAACAGTTATAACCGGAAATAGATACAAACTGCTGATCACAATTCCAGTAACTACACTAATCAGAGATAGCTGAATTTGCAGGTAGAATTTGAGGAGTAGAGATTGCGGTATGTGTTTTCTTATACCAGAAGCATGAATATCAAACAATGTTTCTCTTAAAATCTTGAAATTAAATAAGTTTGAGATTAAAAAAGATGACTGATTTCCTATTAAAACTGTAAATATAAAAGTACAGAATAAAAAGTATTAAAAAAAGTTGTAAAAAATTTAGCTTGAGTTTGACTTAATAATTAGAAACTACATACTTTTAAAATTATTAATTATATAGTAAAAATAATTCTTTATTTTAAAAATGATAGTATTTCAAAAAAGTTATTTCAACCTGGGCTTGATAGTAAAATTTTCACTGAGAAAAAATCAAATAAATGAATAAATAACTATTTTAGTATTTTAATTATTTTATTGAACCATTTTATACAATCTAATTTTTTTTAATAACTAGCAGATTCCACCCCCTATTCGCTCTTAGCAAACCTCCGTAATTATGCTTCGCATTCAACATCGTTTATACACGGAACATTTTGTAAACAGCAATAAAATACTGTAGTTTTATGTTAGAACAAAACAAATACAATAATTTTACATTGTATCAATATGTTAATGGTTAAAAAAATGAAATGTCAACTGGGAGAAATATTCTCTATCTTCTCTCTCTGCCTCTCTCCCTCTCATTTGTTACTTTTGTCATCAAATCAAGCATAAACTTATAAAATAAAAGCCTTTACACATTTTAAATGCTTGATGATTGAACTGCAGGACTAGATATATAGGGAAATTCCATGAAATATTTATTCCAAAAGCAATCCTTAAGTATTATTGAAATGAACTATATCAAATCGTAATGTACGTGAATTAAATTAAATTTATGCATAAAACTAAAGCTTCACAGGATGTATATGTTGCATATTTTTAAAATTTTACTTTAAAAAGATTAACACCTTGTACACAAAACTAGATTAAAATAAAGTAGTATAAAATGAGCAAGCGATAGTATAAATTAGTAGTATAAATAATTCTAAAAAAACTGTCAAAGGGGTACTGGGGATGGAGCCTCCAAGTTTTTTTATTGTCAATATAAATATTAACAGATTAAAGAAAAATTATAATGCATAAATTAATATAATAAAAATATCTTCATTTTTAGAAGCATTTAAAAAATCTGAGAATGCTTTTTACTACGGAATAAGCATAAGGTAAATAACATGCTTCCTCTGTGCCTCACAGAGACAACTCAATGATGGCAAGATTTTTCCTCCTATTATATGCAGAAAAAGAAACGCATTTTTAACGAAGGGAAATATCTAAGAAACTATTCAAGTGGCCTCAATGTAAATGTCATATTCTAATTCGGAGCCTTAGAATTTATAAAACAAATTTTTTGCTTGATATCAACATTTTACATCACACTTGTTGCCATTTCTTTGTTAATAAAATGTCACAATTAGTCTAATTTCATGTGCAATAACTTAAAATTTATTAGTTTTTTAACTTTAGAACAAAAAATAAATTTTAGTTTTAATAATGATTGAAAAGTTATAGCTTTCAATTTCGTGACTTCTTTATCCCACCTGACACAACTATATAATTTATATTTCTTTTTTTGAAAATAATCAGGTTGATGGAATATTTAGATAAAATCTGAAGGGAAGAAAAAACTATTATCACCTCTTATAATTAGGTTTTGTTCTGGTGATGAAGGAGTTAAAATTTCTTCAACTTGCCATAGAAGAACCTTACCATAAACTAAAAAATATTTCAACAATTGTTATTTTTCACTAAAGTCTTAGTTATAATAAATACATAAATTGCCTAGCTGTCAAAATTTGCAATTTTTGAGATAACGTTTTATCGAAGCACAAATTTTGCTACCAAATTAATTATATGAAATCTTATGTTAAAATCGGAATAGTTAGCTATGAAATTAGAAGTTGTAGTTGATCACATTTCCGAAATTATTATTCATTCATTTTACACGAGAGTATATTTAAATAATGTTCAAAAGGGCAAAAAAAAAAACAAAAAAAAATCGTAGTCCATTCTACTAGTTCTCGGCACTGGTTTTCACAACAAGAGCTATAACAAGGTCTGTGAAGAGATTTTGTTTCGGAGACCTTTTTTCAGTTTTAGAAACAGGATATAGTCATTGCGGACCAAATCTGGACTGTAAAAGATGGACAGCTCCAGATTTCCTATTTGAAGTCTTGCACCAATATGACATGTTGAGTCATACCATCACTCAACATTTCAAAACGCTTGCGTGTGATAGCTTCACGTAATTCTTTGCCCATAAATATGAGTTACTGTTAGCATTTTTCAGCTTGGTCACTTTTCCAGAAGTCAGTCCATTTCAATGGTTTTGATGTATCTTCAAATTGACCCAAGCTATCCTCATAATTGTTGTCTGCTAAAGTGTAATGTTTAAAATCCATAAAAATTAATCCGAAATAATTTTCACGGATATTTTAAGCGGTTTATATCTGCTGTCCTAAGTAAGAAAGTAACTTCACCAATCAGAAGGCAGTTGAAATACTGCATACCTGCCTGCATCCTTTTTAGAATAGTCTTAAAAACCGAAATAGGTTATCAAATTTTCAATTATTAATTTTCTTTATGTGATGAAAAATTTGATGGAACACACATGTTCTTTGAAAAAGTTATAACTGGAGCTTAAATTGTCACATAGATAGAACATGTTTAAATTGCATAGCATAAGAGCGTGAGAACTACATTTTATTTTAGGGAATAAATGATTTCATATATAATTAACTGTACTCATAATTTTTTAGACACAAAATTTTGCTGTTTTTATGCAAGATTTTCTAAAATAAATTTCACGCATTAAAAATATTAAAAAGATAAGCCTGTTTGGGATTTTAATTCATTAAAAATCTTAAAAAGTGCTTCTTTTTTAAAGAAAAAGTTTAGATAAGGATATGAACAATTTTCTTCCAAGCTCGGTGAATGATGAATCTTTTATAAATTTCGTTTATTCAAATAACGATGTTCTATGTAAAAATTTATTAGGAAACTGAAAATTGTTTACTTAAATTTAAATGACAAATAAAAATTAGTTTCCACTTACATAATATGTATAATCTAATTTATATTTTAAATAATCTAATACATTTATAAGCATTACTTGTTTCCACACAAAAAGGAACTAAGATTGATAGAAGTATAATCCCAGATAGTAGAAAGGTGATCACAACTATTCTCGTACCTATAGAAAGAAATAGTTAATTCTCAGGAATTGTGTGTAATTAAGAATCTAATTATTATTTTGGTGAACACGATGAAATCAAAATAAATGTTTTAAACTAAACTTTTCTCTGTATTGTTTCTTATTCCGTATTGTTTAGAATTACTATCGATTTGTTATATAGAAAGAAAGAAATAACCAGCTTTATGTCCATAAAACTTCATAAAGTTAAAATACAAAAACATGATTTATGATAATGACTTAGTTTCGTATGCTTTCTTAACCTCTGATGTCGACACTTCTAAAACCATATGATTATCATAGCATCTAAAAAAAGTGAGATTCTAATAAGAATTCTGAGATGAATAAGCCACGTTATCGAAAAAAATCATTCATTCGACTTTTTAACATAGATCCGAATGTATACAAAAATAAAAGGCGGATAGAAAACAAAGATACTCACTTTTTGGTAAACTAGTCCGAGGGCTATGTTTTCCATTTCTGCTCTGTGAAATAAAGAAAATAAATTAAGTTATAAATTAAATTTCCACAATTTCATTAAATGAGAAAGCTTTTTCTTATATACTTTTTATTGTCTTCCTTTAAAAATATGCTTCCCTTTCACACGATTACAATTTTTAAACAATGTGTTTATTTATATAAATATATATATCTCACTCTTGTCTTGATATATTTTGCTTTAGCCATATTAATACAATATTAGAAAGCACTCTTTTTCGGATATAATCGTGTGAGCTGATGACAAGATTATATCTTTTTCTTATTTAGTTTTCCCGATTTCTAGTTTCAAATTTTCAAATATTTTTGAAAAAAATTTCTCGCGCTCGTGTCTCTACTTCCCACGTCCAAACATTTCCCTGATGATTCTTTAAAGATTTACATTTTGAACATAAATAATTTTACTTAGTAATGCATTTTTAAAATAACACTTAAAATTAAAAGTTCATTGTAATTACTAATAAAGCGAGCGCAAAAATTATAATTTAATATTTTAGCTTATCAAACAGGCTGATATATTAAATACAATTTGTGCATGCACCACATTGTGGATGAACCTGATCGAATCTCTTAATGATTTAACGAATCTTCTTAACTCCTACCCATAAAATTAAATTAATTTAATTTTCCCCAGAAATAATAATGGTAAGCCGGTTATTAAATATAGACACAGATTTAAGTAATTATATCTTAAAATATAGCATATTAAGGTAATATCATAGAATTACATTATAATAATGAAACACGCTTTTCGTTTTAAACTTTTTTTAGTAAGCATTCAAAGTCAAAAACGTAATAAAAGCAGCGTAGAATAAAGATAAATATATCTTACGGGTCAATACCTTTAAATTGGAGATACAAAAATATTTTATAATAGGAAAACGATACCTCATGACTTTTATTAATTTTATCTAGATGACAACCAAAAAATTGTACGGAAATTAATATTTGGGAACAGAATCTTACTATGTGATTTTCCGGCTAATAAAAATGCACCAGCATCAATAGAAAACTGTATTAAACCATTCTGTTTTATGTAATATAGAGATTTATAGCTCGCATTTGAAAAGGTTCAATTAAAGTAACAATAATTTCTGATTTAATAACTTTCCTATTTCTGGTTGGCCGGTTGATGTATTTGAAGCATGACTTTCGTATTGTGAAAGATTTTATTGGATCGTGCGGCACCATCATTGGATTTTTGTAAATAGCTCGATTTCGCAGCATGTTACAGATACAAAACAGCTTTAAAAAAGCGCAGAGTTGAGGGCTATTTATTTATTACTCATAGATTAAATATATCCATTTAAAAATGACTTTTTGTTATCTTAAGAAATTACATTCTCTACTGCCTCGATTGATTTTTAAGTGTATATTTAATTTGCGAATAAAAATAAAATTGTAAATAACTTTTATTCTATTACTTGGATTTTCACGAACTTAGTGCTTAATTTTAATGGCATAAGAGATTAAACTCAAATGGTAAGAGACGTAGACGAGAAAAAATTATATTTCAATAAATTCGACGCGTGATACGGCACTGTATTTAATTAACTTCACGTTAAATAACATTCTAGCTTATGTGGAGAAACTTAGCTCAACTTTAATATGCCATTTTACTCATAACAGATCAGCTGGTCACAAGTGTAGGTATCTGTGATCTTCTTCTTAAAGTGTAAGTACCCAATTAGAGAATTATTTTGTTTAAGGGTTTCTTAAAGTGGGTTACCAATTCAGTAGGAAAATATTTTTTGGAATAAAAATCGGTTTTGTTTAAAAACGGTAATGATAGTCATATTTTGTTGAAACTTTTTCCTAAATAATATTTTCTTTCCTTCCAACGATTGGTAAAACTAAATGGAGTTTTTTCCTGGAACCGAAAATAACTTTTGGCTCGATACTATATTTAAATAAATAAATAAAGTACTTAATGAAATAGCCTTAGCTCGCGTTATAATCGTCAATATAATTTTTGCGCCATTTGAAAAAAATTTTGTACAAAAATTCTATGAATAAAAAATTACTATTTCCATGAATTTTATATCCCGTACTTTTAACTTCTCTAACAGTTTATAACGTTGATTGTATTACAAATGGAATTGTTTAAACCAGCTGTTCCTACGGCTATTGCACACTAAATTTCCAACCATATTTCGACGGAACCCCTACTTAATAAACAACTACTATTACAATTTTTTAAACCCTGTTTCTTTTTCATAATTTTTTTAATTCATTTTTATCAGAAAAATTACACTTTCTTTAAAGGTATAAAAACTTGCCATTTTTTTTTTCATTGGCACTTTACTTTAATTTCGTAAAGGCAACCGAAATAATAACTAACTAATTGATTAGATCTAAACGTAATTACAGATTTCAAAAATGTTAAAAAAAAGTACTAATTCTCGGAAACCTTTAACTTTCCAGCGTAACCCTAAGGTTCCTCGAAACACCATTTGGGAACCGAAGGTTTTTACCTAAGGAAAATGCATACTTTGTTTACTTACTTTGTTCGATATTACACCTTTTATCAATATTAGACCACTGGTAGAAACGAAAGATAATAAACTCACTGCCATCAAAGATCTAACTAAGAACAAGCAAGTTACTTCAATCAGTCTTCGAAGAAGAGTATAAATAAATTGATAAGCTGGTGTGTTTTGTAGAATTAATATATGAATATTTTCTACTTCTTTCATGTTTTTCATTTGAATGCATCTTCCAAAAGAATAGTCAATGAATGATGTACATTTCGTTTTGGACGTTAACCAGTTTTCTTCCAGTGAGCTTTTATAAATCAAGTAGTAATTCCAATTTATGAAATATGGATCTGCATGTCTGAGTAACCCATAAGAAGACTCTAAAATTATAAATAAAATACAGTACGTTATCCTTTGATATAGTTTTTTTTAAAAAAAACTATATATAGTTCCATTGTTTTTTTTTTAAATCTAAATTTGAAGTTGGTTTTCAAATGTAAGGAAAAACTTCATACGGGAAGGCGAAATATGGATCTTTTTCACCTGATACATAATTTAAAACATTTTGAACAATCTTAGAAAGAATGCAAACATATGACTTAGGCCTACTTTATTTTTGATTTACATACATATGAGATTTTGGCATACATACTTACGTGTAATATTATGTATATAGTTTTATTTCAAAACCAGCGTTGAACTGCTGACACAATTCTGAGTTTACGACTATCAATGTTCAACTTCATACCCTTGTAATTTTAAGTCCAACCCAGAAGACAAGAGAACTTCTGGTTCAAGCATTTCAGTACAAACTAGTTTTCGTGGAGGACTTTTGATGGAACTAATCAGCATTTGCATAACGTGAAGAGGAAAATCATGAAAACATCCCACGGTTAGCCCGATGGCAAGGGGATTCCAACACATGATTCGTTTATCGCTAAGGATAATTTGCATCACGTCAGCACAGCTGTCAGCTCAAGCAGAGAGCAGAACTAGTATTGACCAACCTCCACCGGGATTCGAACCAATGTTACTTCATTGAGTGGCAAACGCTCTATCTTCTGAGCCACTGAGGCTCAAATATTGATTAAGGGGTCAGATATATGAATAATATGAATATTAATAGGTAGAAAACTGATAATGATTTGAAAGTTTCGGTTTGGCCTGGGATGGTATAGTGGTTAAGTCAACGAACTGCCATTAGGAATGACCAGGGTTCTATCCTCGTTAGCGTCATGAAAACTACCCAGCTTTAGACGAACGAGTACCAGCTAGTCTGAAAATTAAAGGCGGTCGTTGCGTAATATTGAACACTTTGCTACTGTCACCATGATCCCCTGGCCGACAAACTGACTGTTGTGAGAGCGTTTCTGATATGTTGAATTTCTGAAATCCAAGAATAGAGCACTCAGTTCCCAACCAGGCGATTCAGCAAAGATCGAGCTGAATTTGAATTCCAGTGACGTCTCACACTGACAACAGAAAAATTTATCCAGTGGTAAATAGATTATGGATAATTGCAAAGCTCACAAAATAGTTCCTGCAGGTTAACTAATTACCTGCGAGAAATCATAGTCAGAACCTGAATCCTTTATATCATTAAAAGTATACTTGGAGGGCACCATACCCCAATTAGCTCATTTATTCTGTGATTAATGTTTCATTCTTTTCCCATTCAGGAAAGTTCTAAGTATGATTATGAGTATGTATTATAATTGTAAAATAACAATTTTGTTTGTATTATATCAACTCATCTTTTCACTTAGTTAAATCTGTTCAGTGGTTGTCAATATATTTGGCGAAGTTAGAAAATTCTTTTAATTTTTAACATCTGCGCAACTACGCATTAAAGCTCTCATATCATTGAAATTATTAGTTCCATTAGGTCTCTTTCGATTCATCATAAAAATAATTTTAAAAAAATACCTCATTTGCTTAAGAGAGCAATGCCAGACTCGTAAATAGTTATAATCCAAATAACTGTTTGTTTATTTTGTTAACTTCAAATTCTTACATGTTACTAGCTATTAGTTCTATCTACTTTGTTTTGGTTACATTCGATTCAAAGTAAAAAAATACATAGGTATCGTTTTTTCTTTTTTTCGCCTCCACCTCAGTAAATTCAAGATGGTGAAATTGCCTAGAATTGATCTCGAAAGCTTACATTAAGGGAGGGACAAACTTTAAACTTCCATTTTGTGCCTAAACCACAATTTTTAAAATAATTTTCACCTTTTCCCTAAATGTTTTCGAGTATTTATTTTGTTCAGTGATAGTGAATGTACTCAAAAAGGGGGATTTATAAAAATGCAAAAATTGGCGGGGTATTATCCTATTATCAATAACATCAAATGTTTATGGCAAAATTATTGCAAATAAAAAAAAAAACATAATTAAAAATGTTCTTAGTATAGAACAGGGAGTTATAGTTCTACTGTCCAATACATATTTATACTTAGAAATATAATCGAAGAATGTGTTAAATATAAGGCTGCACTGTATTTAAACTTCATTGATTTTAGTAAGGATTTCGATTCAATTATTAGTATCAAATTATGACAAATTATAAAACTTTATTGTATACTACAGAAGTTAATAAATATTATTAGAGAATTGTATAGTAATAGCATAGATTGCGTTGAATTAGATGGAAAACCAACTAATTTCTTTTTAAATAACATTGGCGTTAGACAAGGCAGAGTTCTATTAGGACTTTTACTTACTGTTATTGTCTTAAGAAAATTGATATTGTCTTAAGAATTATTGTTATTGTACTAAGAAAAAAATCAACTAAGGAAAAGTTAGGAATAGAATGGAATTTTTATTTTGCTCTGGAAGATTTGGACTTAGCAAACGATATTGTGTTTTTACCATCAAGAAAAGATTTGTAGAAAAAACTGATTTTCTAGCCAAATATGCAGAATTAATTGGATTATATATGAATCGAACCAAAACAAAGATCCTTCAAATTATTAGTAAAAATGATGGTTACAAGTATCTTAAGCATAAATCAGTAGAAAATGCTGAGAATTTTTTTTATATCTGAGTGCAACGATAAGTGCCCAAGGTGGTAAATTTAAAATAGAATTGTAAAAGCCCTCAATTTATTCAAAAATTTAAGTACATTTTGGAAGAGCTCAAATATGAATTTAAGTGTGAAAGTAAATCTGTATAAATCATTTATAAGATATATTCTTTTATATGGTTGAGAAATTTGGAAATTGACAGCAAATGCAAATTAAAAAATTAAATATTTTTCAAAATAAATTATGGAAAAACTATAATGAATATTGTCTAGCACCAATACCAATGAAATGCTATTACAAATAAATAAATAAATAAAAAATAAAACCCTTAAATGAAGAGATTAAAATTAGAAAATGGGAGTTTATCAGCCACTGGGAACATAAAAAGGGAGAATAGAGGAAGCCTAAAACTAACGTGACGCTAGACGATGCGTTGACTAACGTGAAGCTCAAAAAAGGGAAGTTAATCAAAATTATTTTGTCCAAAATCAATATAATTTTGTTCAAAATCAAAATTATTTTGTATAAAATCGATATAGATTTCCTAACGAACATGACAAATTTCTAATCATGACATTTAAAAACTTTTTTCATGTTTCTAAAAGATTATTTTAAATTGGTGAAAATTATTTACTAAAATTAATTCATTTAACACCAGAAATACAAAAAAACAAAACAAAAATACTTTGATTTTTTTACTAAACTAGTATGCAACAGTAACGACAAAGACTGTACCATTAGTTAAGAAAGAATTCCTTAAAACTTAAAATTTATAAATTATAATTACAAAACCAAATCTCTCTTATCCTCCGTCTTCCTCAACTTTTAAAATATGAATAGCACTAATCGCTAATTGCACTAACTATCGAAAAGCTCCATTCTGAAAATAATTCAGTTTAATATAAATATTCTTAAGTCATAATTAATGTATTTTAAAATTGAAACTTTAAGTTATATCATACGTTAAAAACACCAAAAGAAACTTACTTGGAGTAAATCCTCCATTATAGTAAAACCGAAAAACTAATATCAAAAGTGATAGTAGGTGCATGAAGAAGATAAAGAATTTATGCATGTCATTAGTCGCTAGCTTTAATTTTACTGAAAATTCTCAACTGTTCGTATGCCACAATGTCATTTTCAATAAAAACAATTTTTGTTGCCAATCTAGGTTTTACACGAGATAAATAAAATAAAAATATGGTTACCTAGTAATTAATCATTTTCCTAAATATTTTTATAATTAAAAGGATATTGATATTGTAGAAAGCAAAATGTAATGCGATGAATTAAGAAAAAACTAATATTGAACGGAATAAACAAAGCATCGCAGGTTTGAATATAAAATCACGTGTTTTGCGATCAAACGATTTTGCCCCGATTATAAATTCGTTCAAAATTTTAAAGCAGATCGTTTGGTAGAGCCATATAAAAAATAAAAATTTTTCATTGGCTTAGATATTGATAAAAATGAAGAATGAAGACTTTATTTGAAGATTTTATTTCTATCAAATATTTTAAAGATTACATCAGTGATATTTGACAGCTTGCAGCTCTAATTAAAAACCGACGTTTTTGCAAGTTTTTTTTTCGTTTGTCCCTCCTTATAAGATTAGTATACATTCTATTTTCAGTATGAGTTTCGGACAATAAAAGATTTTTTTAAGAATTGTCATTAAAAATTTTCCGACCAAGTTAGGCATTTTTTGGAATTTCATGTCTTAGCATGAAATCAGTTTCAAATGTGAGACGTGTTTCTAAAAATTACAAATAATTCACAAAATGTAAAGTATTTATCAGATTATTATATTTGCTATTTTCAGTGTGTTTCAGACAATAAAAGGTTTTTTTTAGAAGTTGTTTTAAAACATTTTCCGACCAAATTGGGTAACTGTGAAAAAAATGACTTGAATATTTTAACATGAAACAGTTTCAAATGTGAGAAGTGATTTACAAAAATTATAAAGTGTGACTCTTCATTTCAGAATGTTCCATGTATTCTTAGTGTGTATTTTGGAGAATGAAAAGAATTTTTTTAAGGATTATCTTTAATTATTTTCCGACTTAATCGGGTGTTTTTGGAATGTGGTTATCGGTTTCAAATGTGGGACACTATAAATACTGACAGAAATAATAAAAAATTGTAAATCAAAATTGATAGAGAAATGGCTTTAATTCGCTTATTAGAAATGTAAAATACCGACACATTATTATTGACGCACTATTTTGATGCAGTTTCTATAGGTTCCAAATGTACAAATATAGGTACGATGTATAATATTAGTGTATTCGATACCTATTAAAACTGCATCAATGCTGGGAAGGTTTAGTATAGATTTTAGATTCTGTGAAAATAGGTTTTTTGCGGTCCCACTAAAGGGATTGGTTCCGGGGAAAATCTCTTGATTGTGGTAAATGTTGACTATCATAAGTTGGCCTCCAGCAACAACATAATGCCGAATATATTGAACATTGATTGATATTAATTATTGATATTGGTACATTTATAGCTTACTTTTTTCACCCTGTATGAAGAACGAGTATTAAGCTGTTAAATAATAAATCAAGACTGCCAGAGTTAGTCCCTATCCAATGCAAATTAAAAGTAGTTAATTTTATGTTTCAAAACCCTTGAAGCTTCTGAACTACTGTTTCATGTTCGATTCCAGCGTAAAACTCGCATAATAAACGATATTTCATTTATCTTTGTAGCAGAGTCAGGTTTAGGCGTGTTAGTATTTACAGTACAGAATTTTGCGTGTAGTACTTTTATAATTTCTAAACTATTCGTACTATAATCTCTTTTGGTAGATATCAATTAATTCAGTGCATAAGAAACTACATCAGAAACTACGTCATTTGTCCAATATCTACACTTAAATTTCTTCCCTCTTTTACTTTTCTTCATGTGAGTTCATCTGATACTTCCATAAACCATTTCCATTTTATTTGTTTTTTAAATTTTGTTTTGTTTTAGAGTCTCGATAGTTTAAGCATTCAACAATAACCCACACATACACAACAAATTAAAAAACTACTATATCCACATTGCAAAACCACCTTAACCATAGATAATACGGGTTCGCTGCTGAAGAACTGAATGCTGAAGAACTGAATTGTGGTAAGATTTCTGTAATGTCTTTGTCACCAGACGTAACAAGTTCAATTCAGCCCAAATAGATCAAAGTGCTACAGTGAGTCGAAGAATTCTTCCATTTTTCTTCCTCTCCTTCTTTTTTAATCTGTAGAATTAACTGAAAACCGCGAAAAGTAAGAAACCATGGTAAGAGTTAAGAAAAAAATACATGAAGAATTTTAATAATTCTGGAGGGTCCGGTGCGTATCATACCTGACACACCCTGTTTTTTTTTTTTTTTTTTTTTTTTTTTTTTTTTTTTTNCCCTTTTTTTTTTTTTTTTTTTTTTTTTTTTTTTTCAGTATTTAATTTGAAAGCAAAAAACTCGTATAACCCGTAAAACTCGTATAACCCATTTCACAACAAACTGGTTTCTAAAAATTGGTCGTGACTACTAAACATTTTCTATTTTTGCTGACTACAGGAAAGAGCAACATACATTGAGTGGCTGCGGGTTTTAGAACATTTTTCATTTAAATATATTGCACAGAATTTTTTTTAAAATTTCCTTTATTTCTATTTATTTTTTTATTAAATTTTATGAATATAATAATTCGTGTTTCGAAAGTTCGAAGAAGCCCTGGTCCCTACCTCCTCGAATTACCGCGAGACTCTACTGGACTAAATATTTGCTAAATTGAATAGAACAACCTTTGCCACATTGAAATGAAATAAATAATATCAGTAGTGTTTGACTTTCATTTGCGAGCGCAAAATATAAAAAGGGCCATTTCAGTAATTATATAAGTTTCTGCAGTTGACAAAAATAATATTTCAAATAAAACATCTTTTCCTTAAAGGAGATGAGTTTAGTTTTTTATAGTGTTCATAAACCCCGATTCAAATTTTTGATATAAGAATAATTTAACTTTATTAACCTAAACAAATTCATTTACTTAAGCATCGTAAGAAGTAAAAAAAACATATTGATATATAATAGCGTTAATATATAATTTATTTCTAAAAGTAGTATTAGTAGCTAATTATAAAACCGCGCAACTGTGTTAGAAATAAAATGAACTTTTCATAAAGGCTGTACAGTAGCTTTTAAATAGTTTTCTTTACTCGTGTAGTACATTTAAATAACAATACAAGATATAATATTGAGGCTGTTTACCGATTTAGTGCATGTTTGAGTCGAATTAGTGTAATTCTGAGTATTACTGTCTGAGAAATATCACAAATATACGATCTCGGTATCAAATAACATAGAATAAGGCTTTGATTTAAAAGTTTGGAGCAAGATATTAATAGAAAAGGCATATGCTATCAATATCAGTTTAAACGTCATGAGCCAGTGTAGTTATTGAGAAACTTTGCATAATGTTTAGGTTTTTCGCTGACGCTGTGTGACCTCCACAGCGCATGCGTGGAAATTTCTCTATAAATCGTACTATCGGACCGGTTTGTGACAGAAAATAAGTTAAGCTTAGGCAAACGCTAGGCAAAATCTCTCTGATGTTTTTCTAGAAAATAAACTTCAAATTTAAGTTTTTTTTTTTTTTTTTTTTTTTTTTTTTTTTTTTTTTTTTTTTTNCAATTTTTTTTTTTTTTTTTTTTTTTTTTTTTTAATTTTTTCAATAAATTTCTTAAAAATTTGTAAAGATCAACAAGAATCAGCGATAAATAGAACGCTCAGCTGTACATTGAAAACCAGATCCGTGTTCCATTCACAATCCGAAATCAGTCCTTTGTCAGTACATTTCATGGCAATTATTCTTGACTCATTCGAGTTCATCGTCCAGAGAATCTTCATCGGGTTGCTCATCCGGTTGGACGTAATATTCTTCAACATTCGTGATTGTAACATTGTATCCATCCACCAACATCGTATACGGCACAGATCTGAAAGAATCTTCAACAAAGTCTGAAGGAAAGTCATTACCAAACAGCTCACTAGCATCCGATTCGGTTTCCGAAGGTTCTTTAACTGTTTCATCAATTTCTCTTCTTATTTTTTGAATTTTAGGATTCATGTTTACCTAAGAAAAATCATAGTAAAGAATTAATTATACATTTATTTACAGTTTTTCTTTATTTATCAGGAAACATGTTTTGATTTTTTGTATATATTTTAAAAATGAAGGACTTGAGGCAATACAATGATAAGCCACATTTTCAAATTGCTCAGAAAAGAATGTTTTGAAATCGTTTTTTGTATTAAAAATATCGTCATTTACTAGAAGGCAATAAGATGTTCTTATGTATTGCGTCAGACGAAGATATTAGCGGATATTTCCATAGTGTATCATGCAGGTATTTGTAAAGTACCTGTTCTTAAATAGGTTTTTGATGAAAAACACTGCAAATTTCATTCAGACAAAAGATATATTTCTGTTTCATCGCGTTGCCAGTGAAAATTCGGGAAACTTATAAAATATCAACCTAGAAACAGTACAAAAGCTTTGATTTAAAAAAAAAAAAAAAAAACTCTTTTGGGAAAGGAGTGGAGTATCACGATCTTCGTGCGGTTTTTATTTCTTGCATAAATATTTTACTTTTTGTAAGTTAATATAATTTTCAAATTGATACAGGAGAGCTGGCCTGGCTTTGGTGATACAGCGTTTATCTTTCAATGAAGTTTCTTGGTTTGAATCCCAACGATGGCTGATCAATGCAAACACTAATCCCGAAGCATGACGTTTCAGTCCCGTAGTTTCACTCCCTCCATTTCGTTCCCGTAAACGTTCCTTCCCTTGTCATTTCTGTTTTTTTTTTAAATTTTTTATTCCAGATACTGAAATTTAAAGAAGTTTACTAAATACCCATAGTTATTCTTGTAATGATTCAAGAAACGACGGAACAGAAATAGCGAGGCCGAAACTTCATAAGCCACACTAATCCCAACTCTCACAGTACTGACGTAAAATTTATCCACTGGTACGCTGATCATTGGTTAAAATCTCCTTACAGCCGTGTCCATGTAACGCTATCACGAGTTAGTTCCATAAAATAGTCTTCCACTAAAGCGAGTTTGTTTGGTTTGTTTCCATTATTCAAGAGTTCTTTTGTCTTCTGATTTGTGTTCAAAATTACAAGGGTGCGGATTTGAGCATTGATAGTAGAACATAGAAAGGACCGGTTGTTCAGCGATATAAAAAAAATTGATTCGAGAAATAAATAAGTATTGGTGCACGATATACTAACTAAACTAAGTGTTTAACTAAACTAGCTGTATATTTTAATGATTGTGCAAGATTGCAGATGCTTGCGAGCTGCAGAATCTAGAAAGGGGAAAGCTGCTTTTTTTCTTTCTTTTGTGTGTAACTAACTAAACTTATATAGTTTTAATAAATAAAAAAAACTTTTTTTCAGTTGTTGCTGTTCATTTACGTCGCACTAGACCTGCACAATGGGCTATTGGCGACGGTCTGGGAAACATCCCTGAGGATGATCCGCAATTTTGATCCTCTGCAGAGGGGATGGCACCCCTGCTTGGGTAGCCCGACGACCTGCACGCGAAATCGAGCACTTTACGGTAGAACAATTTAACGAGGACCAATACCGCACACCCTCGGTTTCTACGCAGACTGATCCGAGTGATCACCCACCCGCACACTGATGGTAGCCGGTGATGCTTGACTTCGGTGATCTGCTGGGAACCGTGTCTTAACGATCAGTTCACTGTGGGACACTTTTTTTCAGACCTAAATAAATTATTTTAGAGACAAAGATTTTCGCAGTTTTCGAAATTTTTACACATTGACAAATTGTTATTTTTATTTAAGAAATCTACACATACATTATTTACTCTTTAAATAAACAATATTTTAATACAAAAAATGCTTAACACTGAAAAGTAATATTTACTTACCGCACAGTTTCCAACAATGCAGTTGGCTTGCGTATATGATACATTCAATGGTATTGCAGTCTGAAAATTATTATTTATTATTATTATTTTTAAATTCTTACTATCAAAATAAATGCACACTTACAACGAGAAACAATTATTGTAATTAATCTCAATATTACAATTATTGTCGAAAAATGTTAGTATAACTTTTAAATTATTTTATACGTGAATGCTGTGTGCTTTTTTTTAAAAAATAATTTCAGAATATTCTTTATTACTGCTTATTAATTTCAATATATTTCTGTTTCTATTCCATATATTTTTCACCTAAACAATACAAATTACAGTAGTACAATTAATATGAATATTCACACAGCAGTCACTTTTATAAGTGTTTTCATTCATATTCTTTTCTATCAAACATTGGTAGTAAAAAAGTATAATTTCAACACGTTGTTCAAAATAGAAGGAAAAAAAAATAATTATAATAATTTTTGCATAATATTCATTGAAGTGATAAGTTTTTATAACTTCAATGAATATTATGTAAAATGAACATGATATCGGGTGAATCATTAGATATAACTATTTCAAGTTGTTCTGTTGAATGTGATTCAATGCAATTGATACAACATTGGATGTGGAATTTCGAATAAACTAACCAGTAAATAAAAAAGTTAAGATTCTTAACTAAGATAACATTTTGTGGAGTAGTAGTACGTTGAATTACCCAATCAAAATGCTTGAATTACGTTCAAGATAGAATTTTTAACTTCGTGCATTGAATTCTTGGAAAAATCTGAAAAACAATGGCTGAAAATAAGTTAATGAGAGGTAGTGCATGTAGCAAATAACCAAAAAAGTCATATTTTTTAATAATTTTCCAAAAAAAAATTTTTTTAATTTTTTTATTGTTTATAAATATCTAACACATCCAAACTCTGGTGTTCTGGGTAAAATAGATTTAGTAAACTGCAGAAGATATTTTCGAAGACATGTTTCCAAGCTATGTGGAAAAGTCTTACTCATTCAAAACAATGAATAGGTGCTTTCAGAAAATTGCCTTAAAGTATGTAAGATCATTCATGAGTTTAATTAAAGAAAATACGCATTTTTCATTTCGGTAAACAAACGTTTATACAATAACGTTTTACAATATACAATAATGTTCAATTTTTTCCCGTTTTAGTGACCTAGTGTGTTATTAAAGCCCATTTTTAAGTTTAAAGATATCTTAAATACTTTAAATTTGAATTAGAGTAGGAATAAACTTGTCATCAATCATTCTTGTTAAATTTTCTATGAAATGACAAATAATAAATAATATAAACATTAATGTACTTACTCCCATGACGCAAGTAGTTAGCTAAGAAGAAAAACAACCATATTAAAATTCAATTACACAAAGACATTAAACAATCCAACAACTTTTAAAAGTTTTTTTTTTTTTTTCAATACTGAATTAAGCCATAAAATGCATTTTGATTGAAAGAAATGAATAACATTTGACTCTTTGGTTATTTACGTAAAAATGATTATACTTTAAAATAATTTAAATTGTATTCATTTATTCAAATGAATAATACGAAATTTTAATTAGAGAATAAGAACGTTTTTGCACAGAGATAATATTTCTGTTATATAAGAATAAACTAGTTATGCAGGAAATGAGTTGCACTAGATACAAAGCCACATCGATTACGAAGCAATAAGCTCCAGTACTGTAATTTGTAATAGAAGGATCAGCTATTACTAGTTTCTCAGCTGAGAAACAGCTTCACAATTAGTATTTCTCTATAGATAAATCGTACTTTCCCCGGACAATCAATTGTCAATATCAATACTTGAATGCGATACCTGTAAGTGACGTAGTTTGGGTATCCTGTTTGGTTGTTGAAACGCGGCATTTGTTTACGTTAGCAACTGTTCTTTCCATTCTATTTCAAGTAAGCCAAGCCCGTCAAGTATCAATTCTCGTAAGTGACACATTCTAAATACTCCCACAAAGATTCTTTCACAAAAATCTCAATTCTTTCAATATATATNTCGAAGTTTCCAGATACACAGAATGATAATATATTACGGTTACACTAAAATACCTAAACAAATAATAAATCTAAGTAGACGAGAAAGAATTATATTTCAACTAATTCAATGTGTGATACTGTTCTGTATTTAATTAACTTCACGTTAATTAACATATTTTAACTTATGTGAAGAAACTTAACTCAACTTTAATACGCCATTTTGTTGATAAAGATTAGCTGACGCTGACGTAATAGGTCATATGTGTGGGCATTGGAAGTCTTCTTCTTCTTGAAGTGCAAGTACCCAATTAAGGCAACAAATCTTTAAACGCGCAGTCTGAAATTAACACGCGAACAAAGGACGATAAAAACTCAATTTAATCGTATAATTATATAGCAGGGGGGCCAAGCTTTTTAATAGTCGAGCCATTTCTCAAAATTTGAAATTTGTCGCGAGCCGCAATTAAATACGTATTTAAAAGGTAGGCAAAAAAGGCATGATTTTTTTTTTACAGATATTATATTTATTGAAAACATATAAGTAAAAGTACAAAATATGAGTATTGTATTTAAATATTAAGAATTAAGAGCATTTATTTTACTTCCCTTGATAATTCTTTAAAATTTTGTGAAGAATAGGTGACAGCACATCTCAGTAATTCTTTGAGATGCTGGTTAGTTAATACTAATCAGTGTTTGGATTTCACAAATTTTACAGTGGAATAAAATGATTCACATAAGTAAGTTATTCCGAATATTGAAATAATTCGACAAGCCGCTTATTTTAATTCAGGATACTTCGATTCTGGTACCAACTTCCAAAATTCAGTAGTCGACGTCGACTTATATTTTAATTGTAGAGCTTGATCTTCTTGCATCTCTATTAATTCTAATTCTCCAGATGCTTTTTGGGCAATAATTATATTGGAAATGGTAAACTCACCTTGAATTATGTTAATTTCAAATGGATTCAGAAAAAAATCAAGAGACGATTTAAAATATTTCAAGTCTTGAAATCTATTTTTGAATTGCGTCAATATTCTTTCCAGCTTTTTTCTATACTCGTTGAGCTTTTCTTGTTTAATACTGAAACAAATTTTTTTAATTCGAGTAAAATGACAAAAGGTTTTATTTTTAATGTCCTTTTGAAAAAGTTGTAATTTAGTTTGAAAACAAAATATACTCTGTGAGAGGTCAGATATTATTTTATCTTTCCCCTGCAATTGTAAATTCAGTGTTCGCAAATGTTCCATGACATCAGTTAAAAACATTAAGTCTTTAATATTAAGTATGCGGTTATCGGACCAAACAAATCTACAAAACAATTTAATATGTTGTAGCTAGATATTCATCTAACAATAGAAAAGAAATTAATGTCATTTTGAAGTTCTTCGTCCTTTAATTCCTTAAAGAAATTTTTGAATTGTCGATGATTTTTTGCATGGCGAATGTAATTTACAATGTGTAACACTGTTTTCATAACATCAGGATATTTTAAACATTTAGTGGCGAGATGTTCTCGGTGAATTATGCAGTGAATCGGTATGAATTGTGGAATTTGAGAATCATCTCTTAAAATCACAATAAGACCGATTTTTTTTTTTACCCTGCATTGCCGGAGCTCCATCAGTTGCAATGCTTACGAGTTTAATAAGAGGCACAACAAAAGTTTTTCATTATGGAACCTAATGCATTTTTAATTTCGACATCCCGATTGGCTCTTGAAGTGCTATTCTTCTTTAACAACGATGTCAGGTGAAACAAAACGTATAAAAACTGCCAATTGTGAAAGATCAGTAATATCTATCGATTCGTCATGCGTCTTTCCATGGAAAGATAATAATTTTGTTAAAATATAATAGCACAAAAATGAAAAGGGAACTCGGGTACATTTATAGTGAGCCACAAATAATCCTTCAAAGAGCCGCATGTGGCTCGCGAGCCGCAGGTTGGCCACCCCTGTTATATAGCATTGAAATAATGAAGGATATAATAAGGAATTTAAGCAGTTATGAAATATCATTTCATTGCAACTACTGGCGATGCAACTTTACCTGGGTATTTGCACCAGAATTAATGAGATGAAAAATTTGTTTCTGTAAGGTTAGAATAAGAGATAAGTTATTGCTCATTTTTAATTAACCGTTCATTTTCCGACGATTAGCAATACTTCCATCCCGAGATCTACGGAATTTTGTGACCAAGAAATAAATAAATAAAAACTGTCTCAATACTGTTGTACAAAAATTTCTTTTTTTCCGAATTTCATGTAATTTTTAATTATAATTATATGATTTCTATGCATTTATAATTTTATTTTTAAGTGAGTATTTGGTTTGGCTTGTAAGTATCTTGGTATGGAAACTTTATTATGAACATGAGCCCTACAGCCAATTCGAACTATTGAAAACAGTATCATCATCATTTGTAGAATATATGTTCTTGATCTAAATAGCTCCAGTATATTATTTCATGTACTTCTTCTGTTAAAATAAAAATTGAATAAGTTCATTGCGCTGAAAGATTTCTTATGCATATAAGTGTTTTGATAGGAAACTAGTCGTGTTTGTTATATAAGTAGTTTTCAAAGGAATAAATCATTTATTATGAAGAGATTATATATTTGTTATTAGAATAAGTAAAAAGCAAAAAATTTTTAACTTACCACAATAGGATAAAGTGTGTTTGGACAAAGTATGCATTTAGGCTGTTAGAGAAAAATAAGTATTAAGTATTCCACTCCAAAAAAACATCAAATAAATTTACGCCACGGGTTGAACTTAAAACCTACCGTGAATTTTATTGGATCAGTTGAATAAAGGCAAACTTTGGTGAAAGAGGGTTGATTATTTTTCCAAAACGCTGTTCCCTGAAAAAAAATGAATATTGATAAAAAAAAAATTAAAAAAAGTCTTAATTTAGATTGCAATGAAACTGTATTTCTGTAAAAACAAAAATATAAAATTCATTCATCTTTAATGTATCTGCGTAAAATTTTAGGACGAAAATTTTGATTCTTTCCCAAATTACTAAAATTTTTTTTTTCGTTTGACAGTTTTCAAAACTTAGTTTGGCAAATCTATGTAACAAAATTTATCAAAGAGAAGGAGCAACCACTTAAAATAGAATATTCAGAGTATATTCTTGCGTATATACAGATTCAATACATTTTTGTTTAATTTTAAGGGTTTAATTAATAACTAGTGCTAATTAATTAGCTCGCTATAAATGGGCGGCACAATAAAAATAAATAATAACAATAAGGACAATAACTCATTAAGTAAAATTTCAATTATTTTCATTTTTACTATTTTTTTTCATGAATTCACCAAATTCACGAAGAAACAAAATTAAAATTGTATTCCAGCGTAAAATGCTTTTCTATTTTAAATATCCTCACTTTAATTTCCAGATTGTGGGGCCCATAGCTTCTTCAATATTTATGCAATTTAGTAAAAAATCAATATTGCTGTTTGCTTTGCATCTAGGGTTTTCTTTAATTATCTTTTCAGATCGATGACATGTTGATTGAAAAACACCTATAAAAATATTCAATCAATAACATATGAGTGCAATAGAAGCTACATTAGTAACAAACTCTGTTAAATTTAAATTGAATCGAAGGAAAATTTACGAAGTTATTGAGAGACACGTTGTCTTAAAAAACATTATGTCAAGTCGCAAAGTCTTATTCAATGTGAAACAAAAATGCCAAGTGGGGTGGAAATGAATCTTGACATGATCTAAGACATAAAATGATTCCGAAAAAGCTCCTCATGAAGTCCAACACAATGTTGTAGGTCCGTAAAAACTGAGTTTGTAACCCTAAACTGTAAACCCTAGTTTGATTTTGCCGTAACTACAGATTTCCTATTCCACTCTAATTTTTTCTACTTAATGCAATAGAAATTCTTCGATTCATTATAATGTTATACATAATTTAATCAATCTAAAAACAAATTACTAATTTTTGACATGTTCCATACATACCGGCCACAAAACAGCAGCTACTGCAGATAGAAAGAAAGAAAATACTGCACAAGACCTCATGTCAGTTTTAAAGGGTTTCTGAAAGAAAATGTAAACAAAAGATTCTTATAAAATTGAATTCATTTATATGAGGAAATATCACTGAGTGGCGTTGTTCAAAATAACTGCTTGTTTAAGTAAATAGTTAATGTGATACTAAATTAAAACTTTGGAACACTATATATTTCCTGCATATTCTATATGGCTTACATTTTTTAAGGTATTTGATAAGGAAATTTGAGTTGGATTAAAGGCGTTTATGGTAAATGACGTATAGTTTTTTTTCGATCCCATGGGTTCTGAACTTTCGGTTTTCATCTAATTTATCACAAGACTAACGGTATGAATATTGCTAATCTAATTTCCATTTGATGTTTCGAATTGAAAAAATTTTTCGTTTCAAAATTAACGAACACTTAAATTGTAAATTTTACTGTTTAATTAACGGAAAAGCATTAACTTATTAAAAAAAAACTTTTTGGGGAAGGGAGCAATGTTACTAATATACATTTCGCTATTATTTTGTTCTTATTATCTTCTTCTTATTTCTTTAATCAAATCGGGGAGAAATTAAAAAGTATTTAGCTCCCGTATAAGAAAAACCCTGTTTTTCGCCAAGTTTGACAAAACGCCGAGTTCGACAAGTTTTTTACTCTACCCATCTGAGTGACAATGCAATATATTTTTGAGTTTTTTATCAGTTTTAGTTTAAGCTTTTAAAGAATTGTCTTCAGATGTATTGTCTAAATAAACTGTCTAATTAAATTAAGAGAAGGCGTTCTGTTTCAAAATCATACATTCTTAACTTTAGAAAATTACATATAGAAGAGTTTAGATAATCTTTAAATTATAAGAAATAATACCAGAATATATAATAAGAAAACTATTAATACATAATTTCAGTTTGGGGTGTCGCTATCTAGAACCAGAAGAGTGCAATACCAATTTTATTGCATTAAGCTGGTTATTGTATAATTTATCAGAATGGTGCTATGCAATCTTTTAGTGGTTTCCATATTAACACATTGCAAGCGAGTCACGTAAAAATATGTTTTTGAAATTTCTGCAATCCATACAAAAATTCAAAAAGTGAGAGAAAAACTACTTTGTTTTCGGTCTGTTTTTCAAAGAAATTATCCGTTCGTGATTACCACAAACACAAATGATTCAGTATATATACCTGTATCTACAATCATTCGTCTTTTTTTATTGTTTTTTTTTCCGATTTGAAGTTGTAGCTATAAAAACAAGTTTGCTCCAGCTTTTATGAAATCTTGCCTACCACTTTTTTTAAAATTTCAACCTCTAACAGCTGTTATACATTTAACATTACGTCTACTTCATTACGCATTCCTACTTTTTTCATTTGTTTACGTAGTAAACCTGCTCTTTGTCCAGGCAATCTCATTTCAATTGCTTGAATTGAGGTGTAATTTCATGGGGAGATCTGGTGATCAGGATGGATATTTTAAGATAGGTATTAGGTTTAGGGTTTTCATGCTTGGTCAAACACTTTTTGAGGGTAAAGCAATACGGGTAGGAGCTTTGCCTCGAAGAAAAATTCTTTTCCCGAATGGATCTGGTTGTCGTTGCACACATTTCTATTATAGCTACATTGATTATTTTTTATTGTTATTATTATTGCTTTTTATTTCATTTAATGATTTTTTTCCCCTAACATTATTTACACTGAAATCTTTATCGCTCTTCGTGAGTTTCAATTTACTGAAATTGAACTCAAGTGCATTGAAAGATAAACTCCCAGAGCTAGTTTTTTATTCCAATGGGTCACAATTAATTAGCTTTATTTTATTTAACCAGCTATTGTTCAACAAGTTTACGAGCTTACAACTATCAGCGTTCAACTTTGCAGCCTCGTAATTCAGAAGCTGACCCAAAAGACAACGGAATTCTTGGATCAACGGTGGGACAAACTAGCCTTCGCGGTGAACTTTTTAATTGAACTAACCCGCATTCTGGTTACATGGACAGGAAAACCGCAAAACCCTCTCGCAGTTCGAAGGCAAGAAGATTCTAGCCCATCACCATTTACCACTGAGGTAAGAATAACAACAACGTAAGGATAGCCTTGTAATAATAGCAAAGCAAGAATAACTAAGGTAAGAATAACTACATTAAAGCCATTTGCATAATCATTTTAAATAATTTTTGAAGTGGAATTTTGGAAATTCATTCGACAAACGATATTTCATCAATAATTCCTTAATTAACATCAATTTTTTAATAGTTTACTGTGTTCTTTTTTAATAATTTAATCAAACAAAAGCTTAGAAACAGTTAGTTGTAATAAATTAAAGTTGTGATACAAGATATAATTTTAAAAAAAGTTATCATATTCATTTGAGTAATTACATTTAGTTCACATAATTATAAATATTTCTCTGTATAATTTTCAGAAGATCCGAAGATTTCTTTTATTAGTTAATTCAGTTTTTTAAAATTATTAACAACCCACTAGTAATTTAATTTAATTTTTTAACTACTATTCATTTAATTTTCAATTAACCAGACAATTTTTTTTATCTCCCTTTGTTGTATTTAGTTGCTCTGTGGCCGCTGGAGATTGTTAATTTTGTCTTGTAAATGAGAGGAAAGTTATAAAAAAACATTAGATTAAATGGTTTAAGACATTAAATGATTTAAATGGTATAAAACATTAGTTTTACATCTAATAGTTGTGTAAGAGAGTTAAGAAAAGAGTAAAAGAAAATTCTTACCTGATTCCGCCGAAAAAGAAGAGAAATCCTAAACCAGAGTCCGAAAATCACCACTGCCAAAATCTGAGAGAAAGGGAAATAAATTTAGCATCTTTATATATGTGATTCCAGACAATGAACCACATGATATCAAATACAAATCCATAAAAATATTACTGTTGTTGGATTAGGTCAAAGGGTGGACAGAAGACAATGACAGAATGTCCGGTGTCCATCTGTACGCGGATGTAGCCGCGCCCACAGTTATGTATAGATAGGGTACGGGACCTTTTGATAAATGTGCATATAGAGTAGGTCTGTCAAAATAAAAAGGATAAAAATGTCAGAAATAAGTTTAATTTGATTTATTCCTAAGATAAGGGGAAAAAAACATCATCCACTATCGAGTTTATCAATAAATAATTAGTCAACTTCATTTGTCATTCCCCCAGAGTATCTAAGTATTCACCCATAGTTTTGTTCAAAAAGATAACGAAATATGAATAAAAGAGTTTGACCAATGGAAATTAAAATCAAAAAGTGCTTTTCCAAAAATTGAAATGATTTCTTCAATCGTTTTTACAACATTGTTACTGGACTTTCAATTATATTTCCCCTTCCTTTCTATTTTTCCCTCTTTATTATAATTTCTTTCATTTGAATACAGTTAGATTTTTTCAAAAACTAATTTGAATACTTTCTTTTCTATAATTGTTATTATTTTTCATTTGTATGGCATATCTGAATTGTGTTCTGATTTATGCATGAGTAAATGACGTACAGTATCCACAAAAAAAGTTTCAGGCAATATCTTGAAATAGAAAGATTTTCATATTTTTTTTCTTTTATCGACTTTGTATCGAATTGGAACTATATCTGAAACAAATTAGATTATAGTCAGGGTTGTACTTAAGGAGGGGTGAAATGGACAGTCACTTAGGGTCTGTCAAAAAACAGTTTAATTTATAAAATCATTTCAGTTGATTAAATTTTGCTTGTGATGACTTACAATTTTTGAATTATTACAATTATAATTGTCAGGGCCTGATTATAGCCTAGGCCCCACAGTTTCTGAGGGGCCTCAAAAATTAGTAAAAAATCTAATGAAAGGTGGGCTAGCTATGTGTTGGTTTAAGTACTAATTAAAAAGTATTTACAACTTACAATAAAAAATAATTCAGCTAATCAGTGACTTTTAGCAAAAATCACTGATTTCAATTGTTTGTGGTCACCAAACTATTTTTATTTTGACAAAACATTGTTCTGTTGTTTTATATTTTGCTTTAATATATAGATACGTATACTTTATCCTAGAAAAATAATCTTCAATTGTCTGCTTTCAGAATTTCTTAGAATGTTTCTCTTGAATCATGCAGTTCAATAGATTCTTTTTCATTATTAGGACAACTATTCAGTAATTTAATTTCAAAATATTTTGTAAGGGGTCCAGAAAATTTGGTCGGCCTTGGGCCTGAATTTGCCTTGATCGGTCCCTGATAATCGCAATTCAGTAAGTTGAATATAGTTGCAATTATGTTTCAACTTTACGCAGATAAGTGCGTAATATTATAAATTAGAATTTCTTTCTCTTTCAAATTTTCAGCTGGCTTAGTGGCCATGATATTTGCAATGCAACTTATAAATTTTGACTTGCCCAGATCCGTTATAACCAACAGTTGTAGAGAGTCTTATTCGTTTGCTAAAAATTTGACTCAAATTCTCTTAACTATAACATGAATTGAAGTTTCGACAGAACATAATTAAAAAATTAATTCTGTATTAAAATGAATTAAAATCAATTCTTAATAATATTTATTCACTTAAAATATAAGGGACAATGGACCTTATACACGATTTTTTTTTATGAAAGAAATCAAATGAAGAAAGGGTATTATTTGTCTTTGTCTATACCTATATATTATATATTATTTGTCTATACCTATAAGAATTAGTTAGACAACGTAAATAAAACCTAAAAAAACAGACAGTTACAATTCCATAATCAAGAGCTTTTCTAGTGTCAAAATGCAGAATGAATCAAAATGAAAATCATCATTTTGTTTATTCAACATTAAAGGTTCTTTATTATAGAGTCAAAGCTATAGCATGTCTGTTTTTGCGACGTTAATTGTGTTTTATTCTTGTTTTATTTTCACAGAAATCTGAGCATTTCATTGTCAGCTATAACAGGTCTTTGAACAAAATTTAATACAAAAATATTTTAAAAACAATATTTTTAAATTAGATACAATTAAAAACGTTATTTGCGCAACAATATTTTTTAAATACTTTAAACTTTAAAAAAATATTTGATAAGAAATTTACTTTCGACGTTTTACTAGAATGTTTTGAATATATAGAGGGCCAAAAGGAATCTAATGCAATGTAGCTACATCTTGCATTGCATTTGCTACATCTAATGCAATGTAGCAAATGCAAGTAAACGCTTTTTTTTTTATCCTTTACTGACATGATAGTTCTTAATGTTACAATATTTTTGGAACTCTTACATTCTATTTGCAGCATTCACGACCTTTTCTCAAACATTTCCTTTGTTTCTAAATAGATAGAATAAATTTTTCAAAAAAGTAAATATATCTTCTAAACAGCACTTATTTTTAAAATGAACATTTTTTTTCTTTCTAATTTTTAATTCCCCCCTAATAAACAAATATGGGTTGTTCTACAACCATTTCGTACAGGTCCGCCTCTTTTCATTTAATCCGCAACGTGGAGCAGCACATTGATTTCTTAGGTATGTAGTATAAAAAACATTTGCGTAAATTTTCGTATATTTTATATATAATATGTATCAATGTGTTTTTTGAATGTCAGGGCACAGTGACAAATGAGACAAAACACAGTGGATCATTTAAACTAATAAATCTAAGTAATATCCTTAGAGTAAGTCGATTTTAATTTTTTCAGTTTTTAAATTTAGTTTAACATCTAAGGTTTAAATATCTTTCAAATTTCTAACATTTAATGCATTGCGTGAAAAACGCCTCATACTACGATTTATAACGCTACTCATCGTATTTTCCCTTTGAGATTAGAAATATATATGAATCAAATTGAATCTTTGAGTGTGCAACAGCGACGAAAATTTAACCCCATCCAATTCTTGAAACCAGTGCAACGGCGATCGCTGGTTGTGCAACAGAGGCAGGAAGAAAGAAGTGCGCATTGTAGAGAGCATAATGCATTAAGTCATTGCAACATGCGATTTGTGGCAAACCTTCCACGGTTAGCCTGTAGGTAAGGGGACTCTAACCCACAATCCGTCTACGTCTACCACTGAGGATATTTTACGTTACAACTGGGGTCGGTAAGAGCCGGGAGAGGAATTCGAATCGACCAGTTATCGCTGATGTCAGACGCGGGTCACCTCATTAGAGCCATGACGGCTAATTTTTGTGCTTTGTCCATTTACGCACTTTGAACTTTAGCAACTTTTGTAAATACAGATTTTGAGATGTTCTCAGAATAAAAATCTCACCACCGAATACTATTCTTAAACCTCATTAGCATGTTTCAGTAACTTTTGGATTACATATTTTAATGCTGCATATTAAGGGTATTTTAAGGTATCCGACTATCTTCGGGACAAAATTTTTGAAAAATAAATATTTTTCTCAACATTATTGCAATTTATATTGTATATTAATTTAAATAAACATATTTAATAGAGAAAATTTAAATATACAGGAAATTTTTTGTTTAAAGAGTATTTTTTAGATAATTTTAATGAAAATAACTCATTAACGGAAAACACTCTACACAAAAAACTATTGTACATGCAGCTATCAAACTTTTTGAGCCGTTTCGTATAACCCTCTGAAGTGTTATGAACCTCAACTTAAATGATATCATGAAATTAAAAAAATTTATGGAGTGTTAAGCATATTTTTCCATTTTTTTTCACATTTTCTTCACATTATCTACTGCAAAATATCTCATAAAACAAAAAATAATACAGTTATCTGAATTCTGGAGGTCTGTTACATAACCACCAATACAAGAAACAATCTCTGAAAGTTTGAAGACAAATTTATTATAATTAGTTGAGTTATCTTGTTTTCCGTAGACAAAAAACAGCAAAATTGTCATTTTGAGAAAAACACAATTAAAGTTTATAATTACATTTTTTCTAAAAACTATGAATGTTTGTCAGTAGGAAGTTATTATATTTTATAGGGGGCACATTCCTTCACACATTTTCTTAGTTTTATTTAACGTAGCGATATTTTAACGTATTATTTAGCGATATTTTAAAGTATTTAGTGAATAACATCAAAAGTCTACTACTTATAAAGCATTTAACACAGGAACAATTTTTTATTAAACAACCATCTTACTGTATTTTCACACTTTAATATATATGTCTAAATATAGTTTTTATTAATAATTAGAAGTAAAAAATATTTTTTATAATATTTATAATAGCTCAAATCTAGAATTTTCTTCTAAATGCAATTTGTTATCATAGCAAACCGGACAACATAATGAAGCTAATATCACCATCAGGATCTCAATATCAATTATTCGATTGCCACACAGATTGTTTTTATCCAAAGGCATCAGTTCTTTATTGACATCCATAGAAATCGATAATTTTGAAGAGCTTGAAGTAATAGATTCATCTGCTTTACACAATTTTGAATAAATGGTATAATCAACTTTACTCAAATCATCGCTTTTGGTGGCATGTTGATTACCGTAATATTTACGTTTCTTAGATCGAGAAGTACGTCCTTTACCCATTTCAATAAATTCATCAAAATAAATAACAAATTTTTTTGAAAGAAATCAATAAATTTCTTCAAAACAAATCAAAATCAAGATATAGAAAGTACGCTTCAAATGTAAACAAACTATCAGAAAATATGCTAACTTTTCATGTTACCCACAAACAGTAACCACGAAACGTAAAATCTAATTAAAATATAATTCAGATTATTAGCCGTGAGTTTAAGAGCTTTTAAAAATTAAATATCTAAGAAAAATAAACACACAAATAGAAATGGAACCGAAACTATTACCTACTACCGGCTTCATTTTTGTAATTTCCGGTAAGTTGGACAGCTGTCATCTGTTACTAAAATAGCTATAACTAAAGTTCTGCTTGACGTGCATTCAAAAACAAAAAAGTTTTGAAAACTAGAAAAATTGGGCATTATTATAAAGCAATAAAATAAAAAAGTGATATTTTGTGAAAATCCTCTTTTTTAAGGTAGTCGGATACCTTAAAGGTAAGATCTTTACTTTTATTTAAAGTAATTTCATCAAATTTCTACGTCTTATCGCTTTAATCTCGTATATTTGAGTTGAACTCATAGAAATATTTTTGAATATTATCTTGAAGAGAACTTTTATGGTTGGTTTCTTTTTGTATAAATTTAAATTTGTTTTCCACACGGGGTAAAAAAAAATCTATTTTCCCTTGAAATTGGCCTCAATGGTTTTGTGGATTCCATTTCACGAAATAGTTTTGTTAATTCCGTTTTTCTGTTACTTGATTTACTTCATTTATTAGAAATTTTAAACATTATTTTAACAAGCTAATTATCAAAGATATAATTTTTGTTTTTTAAAAAAATATATAATTAATAACCTTTTGATCACTTTTTTTTAAATTGACTTTCTAAATGAATTCAAGAAAACTGAATTTTTTGTTACAAATTGTAGGATTAATTTTAATAAACCATAATTATATTTGGTTTTTACTTTTACAAAATAGTAAATGTATAATAAATTTATTTACATTAAGGTTTGGAAAATTACGTTTTTAAGGTGTTATGGTTTGTCTTATGGGAACAGACCGCTAATTTAAATATTTTTATCCTTTGGGTATTTTTATTGACATTTGGATCTGGAATTCTCGCTGCACAAAAATGTATCGTCCCGATGAGGTACTTCAGCTTTCATTTCATTTTAGTCATAATTGCATCATTCTGGTGATTTTCCTTGATCTGTTTCTTTTAACTAGGTACATATACACCTATACTTTGTTTTAATTCATAAATGCTGTAAACAACATATGTTCAGTGTGCAAAAGAAATAAGTAAAAGGAAAGAATGGACCACTCTTAATAACTTTTGATCTAACGCACGGATCTTCCAGTTCTAGGACTCAATGCAAGTTGTTCGAGAGAGAGACCTTAAATATGCTAATTGGTTAGACGATATTTTTGGTTAAGAAATTAGACACGTCATAAAGCATTTTTCTCTGAATTAATACACCTTTTTTCCAGCAGATTTGGATTTCTGACTACCAAAATATCAAGAGTAGCCACAATCTAGGAAATATGGTCCCAAAAGTTTAGACTCCTTAATGTTAATTTCCTTTTTGAGTATTTCGCCATATCTCGAAAAATTTTTAAGCAAACTTAAAAAACTTTGCATGCAAATATAAAACTGTATCCTAAAATAATTCTGCAGAAAAAATTAATTTGAGTCAATATTTGATAATAGTCGAAAAATTTAGAATTGTAAGGTATACGTAACATACATTATTGTAAGGTATCATTTAAATATTGTATTTTTACATGGAAAAAAGCACAATTTGTACAGTTAAATGCATCGCAATTAAACAATTTTTTAAAACTATATTTCTCTTATCTGCTGTATCACTAACTAGTAAAACTTCTAGCTGATTTATTTCAAATTTTGAGACTATGTTTGCAATAAATATAGTTTCCATTGCACATAGGGATTTCTTGAATTGGATGACTGGTTTTAAATAATCCATAAAAATATAACTTATTTTATGTCATTTCGTGGATTTGTTTTTCAAAACATAGCTATTTTGAGAAAATATTTATTTTTTAAAAATCCAACGTTCAATATAAACTACATTCATGTATTTAAAAAAAAAAAAAAAAAAAACGGAATCAAATTTGGATGATTTTTTTCAACGTTTGAGTACAGCAAGCCATGTACAATTTAAAATATAAGTTATAAATATTGTATTACAAAATAGTTAATTTTTTATTTTTGCAACATATGAAGATTAAAATAAATTCCATAAGATAAAATTATCACAATTGTTGCAAAATTCATTTAAAAAAAATCCTGTTTACAGGCTTCTACTGTGTTGTTCTCAAGCCATTTTCCCCGATATTTTTCAGCATTTGAATGAAATTTTCTAACTTTTGCAGATAAGATTTTAATTTTTTTAAAAATGGTTTCTCTATTCTGTGGCCTCTTAGAACTAACAGCTAAAATCAGAGAACAAGCTATAAGAATACTTTTTTTTGGAAATTTATATACAATAAAAAATATCTATTTGCAGTATCTTTTTTAAATCATAATGTAATGTCAAATAATCTATTTTTGTTTTAATTGATGGTTACTTTAAAAGTTGAATTAAAAAAAAATTATAGATAGAATGTAGTAAAAATAGAGGTTATGAATGGGAAAAAAATGCACCACAGCAAACTAGGTAAAAATTTTATAAAATAAAGGCAGTTTATTTACAATATGGCAGGACAAAATAGTATTCTGACAAACAAAAAAGGTAAACAGTAACTGTGTCCAGCACAATGAGCAAACTATTGCAACACAACAAATCAGGAAACTAGTGGCTACACAACTATTGTATTCATATGAATTGTATAAGAAAAGTTGTTCACAATTATGTAAAAGACAAAAAAATACGAAGGGTGTGACCACTTCATCTCCTGAATTTTTTATCACTTTTTACAAAAAAATCTCTTTCTTTAAATTCCTTTTCTTGATGATGGTGACAGGTAGCACCTTATGAGAAAATATATGCTTCACAGATGAATTTTTATTTCTTAGGGTGAATGAGAAAAATAACAGATATTAATGATCTGATTCAAAATCTAGAACTAATAATTTAGTTTCTTCTGTTCCATTTCTACTGCCTACAGCACATATTAATTTTGTACTTGAGGCTCTTATCCTCCACACAACACCACCACTGCCTCCACTCTCTAAAGCTACAATGTTCCTCAAAAAATCACCAGTTTTTAAGTCCCACAGTTTCACAGTTCCATCATCAGATGATGTCACAACAAACTTGTTATTGAACTGCAAACTTGTCACAGCACTTTGGTGTTTGTTAGCTCCTGAAAACATAAAACAAGATTAAAAACACAATGCAAATACAGAACCTTTCATTTTTTTAAACAGAAATTAGACTCAATTTTTCACCCTCCTAAATTACAATTTAAAAATATGACTTTAATGATTATTTTTAATAGCCACTGCAAACAATACTTCCAATTAAACAAAAAAACATTTTAATTATTCGGTATTAAATTTTGGTTTCGAATAGTTTCCTTTTCATTTTAAGCAGATTAATTGTAAAGAATAAAGTCTAAATAATATGACCAGGGTTCTCACTCAAATTCAGAAAGAAAAAAAAATTCCTGACTTTTCCAGGTATATCAGACAAATTTCAAAGAAAATCCTGACTATATTTTATCAATACCATGCAAATTTTCATCAAAAACTTCAATTCTTTTATTTGTAAGTGCCAAATATTAAATTATGTGAGCAATGCATATATATATATATATAATTGAATGAGGATGGTAACATGGCAGTTACATTAAAATGTGACTAATTTTAATAGATGCTAGAATTATTTAACTCTAATCTCAATCACTGATAACTATTACCGACAATTCTAAGAGAGGTTATTTTACAGGTATGATATGTAAAATTTCCAAGCTTTTGTAAGAAAAATGTAGCTTTCCCTGACTATTCCCTGCTTTTTAGAGTCAAAATAAAATTCCCTGACAATTTCAGGTTATTCCTGACTCATAGGGATCCTGTATGACCAAATCATCTTTTCTTTTCAATATTAAGCTCCATAAATTGATAAAATCTATATCTTATGCAATTCAATACCATTATGCAAAACCCAAATATTTTTATCGATATATATATTTCGTAGAGCTATAATGCATAATAGGCGTAATTTTTGCATAACTACTCATATTATTAGAATTTTCCCACAAATTCACAATTTTAGGAACACAAGGTATAATTGTTTAACTTTTTAGTGAAGTCCACAAAAACAAATAAACAAGACAACTAATATATACCAATGAAACGAGAAGTAAACAAATATTTCCATAGCTTAAAATTACATTTTCAAATGAAAGCTTATTTTGTAAAATTATAGGTAAACAACTTAAAATTCTTCAGACAAATTGTTTATCTTATATTCAACAATATTTTTCTTTCTGAGATTTTCTAACAAAATCATGTTTATTAAGATTAATTTACTTTTTTGAATCCTATCTGAATAGGAAATTTTCAAAACAATTTCTAGTTAATTTTAATTAAAGTAACTTCCTGAATCATTTTTTAGTTATGCTGAATAACTAAAACATAAAATCCTAATTTTGAAAAATATAGTAATCTAAATATAAAATTTACACAACAATGCCAATTCAGTAAAACAATTACTATTTAAATTATAAAAAGTAATTAAAGCAGAAAAATCAAGCATTAGCAGCTACATACACACTGAATTAACAAGTAATAGCAAAAATATAAGCAATCACACACAAACTAAATAAACATCATAGAATTTTACTGTAAATCATTTTCTAACACTGTTAAAAAATTTTGAGCTAAATTCAAGTTTCTTATTTTACTATAAGTAATTTATATCTAACGTTACATAAAAGGCGAACTAAAAAGTGATTATTTTAAATAGGATAAAGAAATGGCCTTTGTGTTCATATTTTCATGAAATAAATTTAAACCACATAATTACATTGAACTACTTTATAGTTTGCAATAATAGTAAAAGACAAACATGCTTAATTATTACAGCATAAAAATGATGGAAAAAAACCTACCTGCTAGAGTTTGAAGACATTGGCCACTGGTTATATCCCAGACTTTTACGGTTGAATCTGCATTACCAGATACTAGGATACTATTTCTTAGCTCCATACCAGATGTTAAAGACTGATGACCCATTAATGTATGTTTACAGCCTCCAGTTTCAACATCCCATACACGAATAGAAGTATCTAATGATCCACTCACTACATGAACTCCATCAAACTAATAGAGAAAAAATTGAATAGATAAAAGTTATGATTACAGATAATGTGTAAAATAAAATACAAAAGCAAACACTTTATAAATTTCTAGAACACAGAAAACTAATATTTTATATAAGTTTTCAAACATATTTAATTTGAATTTAACACTTAAAAAAAAGTCAAGCCCTTTAACAGTGGGAGAGGATTTAAATTTACTTAATTCGAGGAATGTTTTTCTTTTCTTTGATAGTCTTATTTAAAAAAAAAATTTTAAGTGTACCTTAAAATAGAACAAAGGAAATTTTAAAAATGTCCTTAACAAACAGACTGAATTAAATTTATGTGGTAACATAAAAAATATTAATAGCTTTCAATAAGTACCTTAGACAAAATTCAATAATTTAAGGAACTTAAATTAATGATGGGATAAAAAAATACTTTATGATTAAAGGTCATATGAGAGTACCATGTGCTCTGAAAACGAGATCCCAAGATTCCGAAATTGATTATCTTATCATTTTTATCTGCACTCGTACATATTTTTTTTCTTTTCACAGAATTGTTTTAAACATTACTTTGAAAAATATTAGAAAACAAAGAATTCATGTGTGACAAAACTATAATCCTCTACTATGCCACGGTAGGGATATTTATCGGTTTTAAAGGTCTTTGAAAAGATCTGAAATGTTGGAAAGCTAAGCAGTTGAATGTCTTAATTCACAGAAGTTGAAACAATATAGACAGGTTATAATGATCCCAGTTCTAAGGGTACATGGCATTATGGAGAAAAATCTTGTTTTAGCATGTGTAACTGATGTGAACTTAATGTAACTGACACAATGTGTTTAACCATACCTGTAAAGAATAAACTCTGTTTGTGTGTCCTTGCAGCGTATGAATGCATTCTTCCCTTTCAGGGTTCCAAACTTTCACCATGTAATCATAAGCTCCGCTCACAACTAACTTCCCATTGTATTGAACACATCGTACAGCAGCAACATGACCAACTAAGACATGCAGACACTTCCCAGTGTCAACATCCCAAACTCTTAGAGTGGCATCTCTAGACCCACTTACCACTCTGAAATAATAGCAAAATATACTTTAACCAGCTTATTATTTTTAATTTAAAATACATTTAACTTAAAATAAACAATCTTTGACCAAATATTTAAAAAAGCTCATTAAATGAGACAAAGAGATATTTGTACAGTTTAACTAGAATCAAGTATTTCACTTAATTGGCTCAAAATTTGCAATTAAATAATTTAAGATCAAGTGGGATTGATTCTGATTTAGTTGAAATTGGCGGTTGCTCTGCCTCAAAGTTTGCAATCTAAAATTCTAAATTCACTTTTTTGTATTGAAAAATAATAAAAATTTCAACAGTCAACTTCAAAAATGGCCATGAACAATAAATAAGAAGAAATTAGTATAATAACATATAATTTTACTTGTCTTAATTTACATTTCACAGTTTAATAAAACTAATTTCTTTTGATCAACAGTCTAAAATAATTTGTTTATTTTTTCTTTGTTATTAAATAGCTAATTACTTTGCTAATATTGGACTTAAGATTTTTTAAAGGATAGGCCAGACATAGGCTGTATAAGGAAGGAAAGACTAGATATAAATGCTTATTTTTTTCTATTTGTCTATCATTTTATAAATTAAAGAATAGTTATAATTGATTATACTCAAAAAACGACAAGTACAAAGGGAACATAAATCAACTTTTTTGATCACTCTTCATAATAGTAATATTTCAATTAATTTAATAATGATTATATATGATGAGATGTAAGCTTGAAATATTTCCCTATTATTAAGGGTCAAGAAATTAAAATCTTATAACAAGATTTAAATAAGATAATTGATATAATTATTACACTTTTTATCAAGTTTTTATACAACAAAAATTATACATGGATTACAGTGCTCATGAAAAACAATTCTAGAAAAACGCAGAACATAAAGAAAATTTTGAAAGGAAAAAACTTTAGGGACTAATAAGCTAAATTGAGTGATGTATCAAAAATAAATCCTATATCTTTTGATAGATCACTCAATAAATTTATATAAAAATATAATATCCCTTAAAAAAAAAAAACAGATTTTAAATTTTATTGAAACAAAAACTATAAAATATATATTGTGTTAAGTAATGTCAATATAAATAAATTATTTAAGAATTAAATTATATCAGAACTAACTAAAAATTTTGCAAAATAATTAGAAAATTAAATTTATTTAAAGTAAGAACAATATAGTGATTATTTTTTAATTTTTAGGAATATCAGTAAATTGACTTGAAGACTAGAATATCTTTTACTTATACCTCATCTATCTAAAAATTAAATTAATTAATTAATTAATAAATACACTATAATTTAATGGTAATCAATTAATATTCATAACTCACTTGTTTTCATGAAGGTGCATACATCTTACTGTAGAAGTATGACCATATAAGGTATGAATACACTGGCCAGTATCTGCATTCCAGACTTTGAGAGTCCTATCAGTTGAACCACTAATTATAATATTGAGCCACATTTGGGAAGACCAAACACCACCAGTATGACCAACTAACGTTCTTAAGCACTACAAAATTAAGAAAGGAAAATTTTTTTGATCAACACACATAAGTTTTTTTTAATCCACTGGGCGGTTTAGCTGAAGGGCAAAATTGGGAGAATGTTTCCCCTGTAAACACAATATATATATATTTTTGTCTTAAAACATGGAAAAACAGATTTTGCAATGCGAAGATAGCGGTTTAAAATACAACTTTTTTGTATAGAACCATTAGTGTGTTAAAGAAAACATAGAATGTTAAATTCTGCTATAAATAAATTATGTATCTTTAAAACTTGACAGTTTCAAATATCAATTAAATAATGAAACTTAGTAAATTTTTGAATATGACTAACTATATTACAACTCAAATTATTATAAAAAGTGGAGACCGAACTTCATCGTAATATATTTCTTTGAAATAAAATGAAATTGACTTACAACAGGTTGGTTTAATCACTATGAAAATAATGTTGATTATAATCATTCAATGTTTACAGCAAATTTTAATTTTATGACTCAATATTTCACTTCTTAAATCTATTGTCTAATCACCAGTAAATTTTATTTTTAAATCAAAATTATTCAGATACTTGGTAATCTTTATAAGAATAAAAGTATGTTGGGAGAATATTTTAGTAACAAAAAATGTTTTCTACTTTGAAATGGCTAATAATTTATTACAATATTAAACATTTTATATTTGACATAAAATGTGAAAAATATAGTAAAGAATAATTTCTGAGTGAATAAATGAATAAAAAAAAACTTATATACCTTTCCTGTACTAGCTGACCACACTTTTAAAGTGTTATCATCCGAACCACTGACAATTCGGTTACCGGAGAACTGAAGACAAGTAATGACATGATCATCATGGCCTTTCAGAACCTTAAATAACAAACCAGTAATCTCAAATAAAGAACTGCATCATAAAATCACATTCATTAATGTTTTCATTATAGACTTTTTTTTAATTTTTATACAAATCAAAATATGAAATTCTCCACTAACTTAGGTTAAACAAAAAAGTGGATACTTGTACAATATATATAAATGAAAATATTAATTTTTTTTTGGATTTATTTAGTCGAAAAATATTTAAGATTAAACTTATCCCAAATGCATAATACCAAAAACTATCTGCACACAAATAGTGGAAAAACTTAATTCATGGCACAAACAGAATCACAAATCTGCAACCATTGAAAATTAAGAAATATGAGTTTGATTAAATGGCCCAATTTAATTATTTAGATACAATAGTAAAGAATAATCATGACATAAAAATTGAAATCAAAAATAGAATCAACATTAACAGATGTTATCATGGATGAGAAACCAGTTCAAATCTAAATACATAAGTTGTGAATCAAAAATGCAGTTGTGCAAGACACTAGTGTGACCAATAGTTTTATATGGTAGCAAATTCTGGGCAACTAACAAAGCAGAAGGGTAACAGATAACTTTCGAAAGAAAAATATTGAAAAAAATCCTTGGTACAATGAGAGAAATGGAACCTGGAGAATTTTGTTACAATGAATTACAATCAAAATACAAAGAACATGGGAAAAATGGTCAAGGTTTCTTCAATATGGTGACCAGGACATGTATTTCGATATAGCAATGAAAATCCAGTTAAAAAAATAAACAGCCAAACACAATAGGGGAAAAAGATGGTTAGATAGAGTAGAGAAGTAGTTAAAGGACTTGGGAATTAACAGATGAGAATTAGAGCATCACATAGATCTAGATGGGGTAAAATGACTGAAACAGCCCTTACTGGTAACCAGCTGTAATGTCTAAGAAGACAAATACTGAACCAAAAACTTTCTGTGGCAGGATGTCAAAGTGTAAGGTCACTGATGAATAAAAATTTTAAAAAATATTTATGTAGTATAAAACATTTATTACATTAACACAACCATTATTCATTACATTAATACAAAACACTTTTCCAAAAATGTATTCACAATTAAAGAATGAAAAATGAAGAAATTTTATTTTTTCCTTTTAGATTTTTAATGCACATCTACATTTTGCAGACTGTTATGAATATAACAAGCTCAAATATAATTTAGATAATTTTGCAAGCTGGTACAATGAAGAATTAAATAACCAAAGTTAATCATTTTATTATCTACAGTTGAACGGAAGTTGAAATTCTTGAAACAGGTTATTTATATACTTTTGAAGATCACTCATGATAGAATAAAATTTTTCACTATGATACATTATCTTTGGAAACACTAATAATAATTACAGTTTAAAAACTGCTATGGAAAAATAAAAAAACAACAACAAATAGTTTACAACAAATACACAAAAAATAAAATAAAATTTATCCTCCGTATAGTATTTCTACATAAGAGACCATTGCATTATCAATGTAAAAAATGAGCTATGAAAATAGATATCAAATTGCATGCGCTACAAAAGTCAGATTGACATCATTGATAAAATAGGAGATTTATAAACAAAAATTCATACTTTTGGTAATTTTATAGGATTGCATCTCCAATTCATTTCAATATTGTGCTGGCGCATGAATGCAGCTTTCCATGGGCTAGGAATCACTTGATAAGGATTGGCATTGTTATTGGCACTAATGCTGCAGCGAGAACGTCGTCGACCTAAAACTTCCCGTACATCATTTATTCCTTCTTCACGACACTTTTCTCGCCACAAAAGGTTATCTTCCGCTAAAACTCTCCAGTATCTACAAGTTTGGGCTGCCTTTAAAAGATCTTTTGGCTCCAAAAATGATAAAACATATAGAGCGAGCTGGAAAAAAAATTATATAATATAAAAAATTAGATAATTAAACTTTGTATCAACTTGTAAGTAAGCTTTACTCTTATAAAACAGCAGAGTTAATAACTCAGTGTTTTAAAAGCAATTTGGAAATATTCACAAATAATCTCCAAAAACAGAGTGATTGAACTATTAGGCGCTCTTGATGCAAAGATACTTTTTAATAATTTAATTATCACTAAATTTTAGACCAATTTGAATTAAGTAAAAATATCCAAAACTTTGTAACATAAAACTTTTTTTTTTACATGCATTCACAAAATAGTTATACAAGATTATAGTTGAATCTGGTTTCATTTATGTTCATTCTATTTTAACAAATCGGAAAAATAAATTGAAAGTTGAGCTCCGAGAAGAATTAAAACTAAAGCAAACAAATTTTTTACCAAACATTCTTTATCTAGTCAAGCTTTATGAAGCACATCATTCACATTGATTTAGGCAAAAATTTGATTAGGCTAATATGAAATAAATGATTTAGAAACAGGTAATTCCCCCCTCTTTTACAGTAGGGGTGGATCAGAGAATTATAAAATTTTTAGGTGTAGATGATCAAAAAAGTTCAGGGATCCACCAGTTAAAATAAATATAGCAGAAAATATTTATAACAGAAAGAAATTATAGACAAAATTTTCAAAACTTTAAAAGTTTTTAAATTCAGCCATATCTATGTTCAGTTTCAATACCCAAAAGTAAAAAATGAACATAATTGCAGCTTTTTCGAATTTAATCTCTCATGTTAATAAAGCAAACATGTAGGTAAACACTGGCCATGACTTTGCTATTTTTAGAAATCTTGTTGCACACTGTAAATGTTTCAGCCTTTGGTTTAACCTTTTATCTACTATGGAACTTTAATTTCCTTCCTGAAAACAATTATTGAAATCACCATTCAGAGTTATCAATGACATCAAAAAACTATTTTTATTGGATCTGGTTTCTGTTCTGCTTAAGCAGATTCTCAATTTTTCAATGCATATTCCATCCGAACTTTCCTTTTTATAAAAAAAGCTGTTAAAAGCAAAGTGTTAGAAATTTTTTTTCATTACAATTAAAACTTATCAAAACATTTCCTTTAACAAAATCATTTTTTTAAGAATGGCAGTTGTTGTAACTGTTTTAATGATATGGAGTGTGCTCCATGTCTAGGAACTCAATCTATTTAACCAGACAAATTTTTTATATTTGCTACACTGCATAAGTTATAGAAAAATCATGAGCATCAAAAATAGCAAAATAAAGTTTTTTAAAATATACCTCTTTTGGAAGTAAAGATATAAAATCTCTTTGAAACTGAGGTTCAATGACATTCATCATATGCCTTACTTGAGCAGGATCACATACATCAATTAACCTATCTATAGCTGTAAGGCGATCACTTGTAGACCATTCCTATACAAATAAAGACATTTAAATTTTTTTTAGCATATCACATATACTTACATGATGGGAACAGAAATTAAAAAGTCTATAAATAATAATAGTGTCTTTTAAATTAGGATAATTGCAGTAAAAAATACCCTTCGCTAATTTATTTAATATAAGCTTCACAAAAAAAAAAAAAAAAAGATTCTCTATTATTTTAGTTCTGGTTAAATTGCCATTGCGTAAGTATTTTCATTCTCATACAAAAACTTAATGAAATACAAATTAAAACTTGTTAAGCTTTTCCTTAGCTTTGAACTACTTCACTTAGCCTTTTCAAAGTATAAGAATAAAGAAAGTATATATTTAAGGTTAGTACTCAAATAAAAAGTCTAAAAACACTTAACATTGATATTATCATTTTTGCAAAAGCAGATCATTCTTCAATAGAACTCCGAAAATAAGAACATTTATGGACCTAAATGACTGTAAGGATAAAAAAATTCAAAATAAAAAATATTTTTAAAAACCACGTTTTTGTAGTGGAGAATAATAATTAAAAAAAAATTGAAAAACGAAAAACGTGGGGCGCATGAAATACATAACAGTAATGTTATATTAGAGTGTGTATGTGTGCTCTTGAGAATATGTGTATGTATATCTGTAATTGTATCTGAATGTGAATGTGGAATATGTTTGTGATGTATGTGGATGTATATGTGGCTGTGCATGTGTATGAGTAAGAAAATGTGCATATGTATGTGTATATGTACTGTTATGTATTTCATGCGCCCCACGTTTTTCGTTTTTCAATTTTTTTTTAATTATTATTCTCCACTACAAAAACGTGGTTTTTAAAAATATTATTTTTTATTTTGAATTTTTTTATTTTAAATTATAATTTTTTTAATTTTTATTTTATATTTTTTAAAAATTATTACTTTTCAATTATTATTCTTCACTACAAAAAACGTGGTTTTTAAAAATATATATTTTTATTTAGATTATTTTTCTTAGTCAAGAGTAGTCAAGACTACTACAAGACCACTACTAAAATAATAGAACTTTCATTTTAAATTAGGGATACAAAAATCTTTATAGAAAATCAATACCTTTACGACTTTCATTAGTCTTATGCTGATGACAGCCAAAACAATCTGGAAATGAATGAGGAAAAACTGGATCCTACCACGTGATTTTTCAGCCAATAAAAATACTCCGACAATAAAAATATTTTCACCTGATATGTAATACTAATTTGAAATAATGGAATCGACAACAAAAGACAATCTCGAAAGTAATTTTTTTTAAAATTTTAATTTTATTTTACTTTGCATGTCTTTTTTCTCTTCATTTTCATGCATTGTCATCCGATTCTGAACTCTGTGCCAAATTTGAAGTTTGTAGCTAGTCGGGAAGTTAGTTTAAAATCGATTACAAAATTCCACCCGGACAGACATACACGAAGGCAAGTTTATATAAACGTGGTAAAAATTAAAAATTCTTAGGGGCACTAAAAAAGTTTGATGAATTAAAGAACTGTTTAAGGAGAATCCTGCAATACTAGTTTCAAAAATTTTTAGGTAGTATTGCAGAATAATTTTTTACCTCCAGAGTCATTTCAAAACATAAAATATCCATTGCGAGTAACTCCTTTAAACATAAAGTAAGGAAATAAAATAAAATTGTGATGTTTCAATAGTATGAATATTTATTACCTGGAATTTGCCAAGCCAAGTATCAAGGCCAGGAGGATCAGGTGCAGAAGAAATAGGTTTGATACTTTTATTTACAGATACTTGAGAATCTTCAGTTTCTGACACAAAAGCCTCCAGATCATGCTGACTATTTGAATCATCATTACTACTGAATTTAAAAATAAAAATAAATTAACAGCTGAAAATTTTGCATGACACTAAGAAAAGTATAGAGTAAGAATTAAATTTTAAGCTTGGTTGCTAAAAAATAATAATAAATGAAACAAACAAGTTCATTATTCTTAAATGAAGTTACAAGGTGGTCAAAGGATCAAATATGATTAATTTAACACTCTCAGTTGATTAACTTAACAATCTCAAATGTAAATCAAAATTTGTTAAATTTTATTTCCAAAGCTTCAGCTAAATTCAATTTTTTTCTAAAAATAATAAATAGTTAAGAGCATATCTTCGGATTTTAAAGTAGTTTTATTTAAAAATTTTATAATATTAATATTGATTTGCTCTAGATATAAATTGTCATGTTCAGAAGATAAGTTAAATGATATGGGAAATGGTTTATCTAACACAAAATTCTATTTAACACTAAGTCTCACTTTTCAAGGTTTGTGTCTAAAATGGTCCTTGGCTGTAACTCACTATTTAAAGAAAAATTTATTAAATAAAAGCAGATATTGCATGTATACAAGTCGTGACTTATACTTAATAGAGGAAATCGCTTCACAAAGAAATGATAATTAGTCAATTGTTGGAAAGATTGTTTTGACCTCTCAAAAATTAGAGATTGAAATGCATATTCTTAACCAATTTTTTTTATCCTCTAATATTGCTTTTATAATTGAATGTAATTTTAAATCATATTTCAATCCAAAATAAAAAAATTTATTTGATTTAGTTGAAATTATTTTAGTCATATTCACTTTATAAATTTTAAACACATTATTAATATTAAATTTAGGAAACTTGCACTTACTCGATATACTCTGATTTGCACATTTTCTTTTCTAAGCTGTTTTCATTAAATGCATCAGACTTCCTTTTCAACTGCAAATATATCAATTGTTAATTAAATAAATAAATTAACATTTTAGATAAACTAGTTATTACAACTAATTTACTGCTCCATAAAAAAAAAAAAAAAAAACTAACACCTAAGTGAAACTGCAATTTTGTTTCATTAAAAAAATAAAAAGACTCATTTTTTTAAAAATGAGAACATATTTCACACAATTAAACAAAAATATTTTAGCTGCTAAAGGAACAAATAGATTTTAACAATTTAGATGAACTAATTAGTTACAACTAAATTAGTTTTCTAAGAATTAAAAAGTTTTAGGCATTAAAATATATCAATTATCATGTAACATTTTCTTTTCTTTTGAATATAACTTCTGAAAGGTTTTTCATACTGGACAAAAAAAACAACAACAAAGGTTGAGAGAAAAAAAAGTGCAATGATGCAATGATTCTTCTCTAAGTATTCTCTAAGTGCAATGATTCTTCAATCTGGCATTTTCACATACAATACATATTTTTTTAAAAAAGGTTGAAGGTTATGTTGAAAATGTTGGTCGTAGGTAATGTTGAAAAAGAGAGATACAGTCAAACCCTGCTATAGTGAACACAGCTTATAGTGAAAGAAATGTTCGGTCCAGTGCCTTGCTATACACATGTAATGTTATTTTTTGTGGATATAGTGAACCAAAAAAGTGAGGAAGATTGATGCAATCAATTTTTTTCTGTCTTCGACTGATTTTTTTCTTCATTTTTTTGTAATAATTTTGAAATTTCTACTTCATAATAAATACATACACCGATTTTTAAAACCATCTATTGAGGGTAATGCAGCAATAAAATTTTTTTCTTGTTCGCTTCTTTTATTTCACTTTCCCATCCCTAGACAAACCAAGCAAGTGTTTCCTACCCAGGCAGATGTAAGTGCACCTGTAAGGTGTCAGTGGGATCAATATGTATTTTCTGTCAGAGCGAATGAGGCATTATTGGTCAACTAATATGTGTTGATAAGGCCCTCATTTCAACTCCTTTTTGCTCTCAGTTCAGTTTAAAAAAGCCTGCAAATAATTTTCTCAAATTTAACTATGGCGAGCAGTAAACGTAAAACGTTCTTCATTGATGATAAAATGGGCGTAATCAGAAAAATTGAAAATGGATGCAATCAAGCTGATATTTGCAGAGAATATAAACTATACAAATCTGCAGTTTGTAACCTATGAAAAAATAGGCAGTTAATAATTTCTGCTCATGAAAAAAATTTAGATGCTAGAAAAAAGTTGAGAAAAGCAATCACAAGGATGTTGAAGAAGCATTACTGAAGTGGTTCATTAATCGAAAAAGCCGCAATCTTCAGTATCTAAACAAATGTCGATGAATTTGCTAAGCGATTTTATGAGACTACTTTTATGTGCTAAAATGGCAGGTTAGACAGGTTTAAAAAGCGGAATAACAGAAATTCAGGAAAAATTATTTGAGGGTCGAGAAGTGTTTCCATATCTGATGTTGAGGATTGCTCATCACCTAGAGATTACTAATTTTTTTTTGTACGCAAGAAGAGTACTAAAAAAGCAACACATTTTTTGCTACTACATAATATTTTTCAGTCATTTATTTGAATAATGAGTAATAAAAGGGAGGAGTTTGGGAACCATTAGTTAAATTGCCTGCATAACAGATATAGTGAACTCCCGGTTCTAGTGAACCGAAATGTCGGTTCCTTGAAGGTTCACTATAGCGGGGTTTGACTGTATTTTATGTTAAGGAATAGAAACAGGTGTTAATACAATCTTTGTTTTATTGCCAATTTTATTACAGTAGACAATGGGATAGAAATAATTTCTTTTTTGTGACAAAAAATGAAATAGGTGAAAATTCACATTTTTGAATAATATTTTCAAAGTAAATCTTTTAGATTACTTTCATAGTTCATAGAGCTAATATTATTATTTTGAAATACATTTAATGTGCAATTAAAAGTAAAACAAAATGTGAAGGGCCCCAATGAAACTTAAGATCAAACAAGAAACAGGAATTTTAAACATGAGGTTAGAAAACTAAATGAAACTATTACTTAATGAAATAACAAATGACATCAATATTATTGCAATAAAATAGACAAGCAAAAAAATAATGTAAGAATTCAAACTGTGTGAAAAGTTACAGTTGACTTTTATCCTTGAAATAAATGTTACAGTAAAAAATATTTTTAAATGCAAAGCAGTTTCAGCTATAAGAAATAGTTTAAATACATAAATGATTATCTAGGCCCATAAATAAATATTTTTTAAAAATAAACTTAAAGGCTAAAATAAATTGGAATTTATAAAAATGAAAATTCAGATATAAAACTTATTGAATTGTGCAACATGCGTTACTAAAAATATTACTTACAACTCTATTTTCGAACACACAACTATCTTCGTAGGGATCGTAATCTTCGTTAAAAGTAGAGTCGTCAAATGCACCTGCATCTTCTGAGAAACTATCTTCCATATTTTCTTCCTCCTCTTCAAACTCTTGGATGCAGCTGGGTGACTCAACATCATGGTCACTGGCTACATCTTCATTAAAATCCAAAGATTTAATTGGAAGATCGCAAAATTGTGATTTCTTGAGCATATATGTTTCACCTAACAAAAGCAAAATTTTACATTAGTTTAAAAAAAAATAAAATAAAAAAAGGTATGGAAATTTATTCATTACAGCTTAAAAATCAAAGTAGCAATAATTAAAATATTAAATTTTTTGATGGATAAAAATAAAAAATACACTTTTATAAGAGCTATGGTGTCGTATTTCATATTTCAATGTCAATTTAATTCTCTCTCTATACATATGAGATTTTTTCAAAACAATTTCTGACTAAGATAATTAGGAAAAATTCATCTCATAATTTAATTAATGTTGATAATATATAAATTAAGAATATACATTTAGGTATATGAATCAATAAAAAACAATGAAAAAACTTAAAATTTATTGATAGTTTTAAATTGTTATTGCATGGAAAAATATAATTACCATACTCACTTAAATGCCTTAAAAGCAAAGAAAGAAAATAATTTATTTTTGTGCTATGAATTAATATATAAATATAAGGTAATATTTTAAATATTTAAAAAAATATATATCTAATTTTAAAAAAATATTCAGAATCTTTACTTTTTCATTGCAAAATATATAGTTTAATTTTACTTTAAATAAGATCACATATCGGTAACTAAAATTGTTAATTCCTAATATATATATAAAAAAAAATTTTTTTTTTTTTTTTTTTTTTCTTAAGTAACCAAGTTTTTATTTCTACTTGCAATTTTTTAAATAAAAACCGACAAAAAAAAAAAAACATCAAAATTCAGATGTTAACTGTTAAATTTATAACTTAAAGTAATTATGCAGATATTCAATTCTTTATAAGAGCAAAGGGGAAACACAAAATTGTCAAATGAAATTCAAATAAAAATCTAAAAATAAATAAAATACAGTTAAAATTTAAAAAAAAAAATTTCTCTCAGGTACTTAATTCTACTTCAAAAAGTTAATATTTCAATATTCAAAATCAAATCATAGTTAAAACACTAAAGAGGATGTTTAACTACCTAAATACTATTTTAAGTAGATTACGTTAAATTCATCGTAATAATATTAATTATAAATTTGCTTTAAAATTTTATATTCTATGTTCAATTAACAAGGTTCCTTTATTGTCTGAAATCTGACAACAAAAAAAATGTAATAACATAATGAATCAAAAAGTTTTTTAAATAGTAAATAAATTAGGTAATTACTGGTAGGTAATTCAGTTAGGGAGAGTAATGACAATACTTTTTGCCTCATAAAGTAGCACAGGAAGTATGAGTGTCTTAGAGAGTTATATAGAGAACTTTGTGTCTTATGTTATGTATGAGTATCTTATAGAGAACTTTGCTTTTCGGCTGAGAAGATTCGATCTCAGCTTTCTCCTCAGTCTAAAGAAACACTTGACTCTATTGTTGATTTGTGCTCTAAGTATGTTTTAATCGTTAACAACAGTGCCAAGGTAGGTATATGAATTCGTTAGCCCTTTCTAAGGTATAACCATTAATACATAAAGGGGTACTGTAATTTACAGTTGAAAAATTATTACATTTCTTTAATTAAACAATTTTACAAAAGTATGTAATTACATTCTGTAAAATTTTTTTTTTTTTTAACTTACTATTTCTTTGAGGAAAATTAGAGGGACAATTATTGTCCCTCTAATTTTCCTAAAAGAAATAATACTGCAATTAAATTTCACCATTCTGTAGAGAAGAGTGTTCTTCGTAACCAGGTTATATTTTAAACTAGAGTCATCTATAGCATTTTATTAGCACTTTTCCTACTTGTGACAGTAATTGCACAAAATTTGGGGACAGGTATAAAATGATATGTAAAACAAAATATACAAATTATAACTAAGAATATTGATTATACATATTCAAGTAGGCTACTAATGTTTTATTTTTAAAAAAATATAGTTAAAACACAAAATGCATCTGATGCATATTTTTTTAAATTACCTATGAGTATTTTAAACAAAACATACCATTAAATAATTCAAATAAATAGTTAAATTAGAAATAAGTATTCCTTAAGGACACAAAAATTGAGAAAATAACCCATACATATACAGTGAATCTTCCATATAAGACCTCTACATACTGACCTCTTTTTAAGATCACTTTTGGGTGGAACAAAATTTTTCCACAGACTTTGTGTCGAAGTAAACCGTCACGAGAGACCAAGAAAACCTTTCCCAGGGAAAACCTCTACACTAGGGACATAACTTATTTTTTTTAAAGTCATTAATATTGTTTTTTTTTTTAATAGAAATAAATCATTGAGAAATAATAAAAATTTAGTTGTATCATTGGCATGGGGTAAAGAGAAAAAACTTTCATTGAAATGTTTAGGATAATAAAGTTAATTAGATGTTAAGATACATAAAAACATTTGGTATAAAAGAAACTGACTAACAGCTACTTGATACAGCAGAATGCTCGTTTCCAATTTAATCTGAACTTTTGCGTCTAAGATCTGGCTTCACAGAAATGCGTTTGTTGCTTTGTTACAGCAAAAGTATATGCAATAAGATTACACTTAGGTTTAAGAGCATTGAAGGTTAGGCATATGATTTGTGAATAAAAGATTTAAAAAAAAGTACTAACAAATTTTTTGGTAACAAACTATTTTAATGTACTTAATTTTAAAAATAATTAAATTCACAAAGTTCAGGCTTAAATGCACATTAATATAAACTTATTCAGTAACTATTTTAAATTGTGTCTACTTTCTCCCTTTTTTTCATCATTTGAATAGTGCCTATCAAGAATTCTACAATGTGAAATCAACATATATAATTATATAATAATAGAGTAATTAAATAAATTCAAAGTGCATTTAGATGTAAGCAGCAATTTTATTTCCCTAAACTTAGTTTTGCTCTTCTTATGCTTATAATAATATGATTAAAAAACTAAATCTAGAAGGAATGCAAAAATATCAAACTATGACATTGCTTACAAATAATTAATGAAAAAATACTAACTAAAATTTAGATTAATAGCCGATATTTATTGTCAAAAATGTACAATTAATATTAAATGATAAGGTATAAATAAGATAATATAATTAAGATGCAAGAATTATGTATAACTAATTATATGAGTTAGAAAAATTTTTTCCCAGGCACTTAAAGAGATTTAAATGAGAGAAAAATGGTGTTCAACTCCAAAAATGTAACAGAAGAACACAATTATTTTGAAGAAGCTATTGCTAATGGGGAAAAAATTAAGAAAAGCTATTTTCATAAAGATAAACAATGCCTATTTAACTATTAGGCCTAGTTGTGTTTTACGATAATGAGCCAGTAGAAAGTTACAACTCTCAAAGGTTGTCAAAATCAGCTCGATAACATTTGGGAAATATAATAATTAACTTCATATAACATTTGTATACATTTTTTTAATTAAAAGAACAATATACGGCAAATAGCTCTTAAAAATACGTAAATGAAAGAATATATGGAAAATAAACATTTAAAACTAATTCATCCCATTTTGACAGAAACACAATTTTGAGGTAAAATACCTGAATATAGTAAACAATGCGATGTAAAGACAAAGTTGCTTCCCGTTAACACACAATAGCAATAGCATCATTTAAATTTTACATTCATTGTGACGTGACGGAATATAATTTTGGAATAAAGGCAATGTAAGTCGTAGTTGTCAAGTCCAGAAAACTTTTCCCAGGTGACAATAGCAGAATTTGTTACAAAAATCAAATCAAATTTAGGAAAATAATGAATGTAAACTTTATTTCCATGTACAAAGTTGTCAAATCTCTTCTTTCTTGATTAAACCTTCATTAATCATCGTATCGAATAGAATCATGAAGGGAAAATTTGGAATCGATAGTTAATCGATAAAAGGATTTTTTTTTTTATCTTTTACTTGATAATAAAAAGATAAAACTAAATATTTATAGGCATTAATTTTTTTAACGGAAAAAATTAGATTTTTTTCTTTTCTTAAAAAATTTATCCAATAAATATAATTTCAATTAATTAATGAAGTTGGCAACAATTATGTTGAAAAGTAAACAAAAGGCGAACATTTTGTTTAGCAAATTTTGACATATTACCGATGTGATATAAATATCTGGAACAAAACTAACTTGAATTTTTCTTCTTTTTAAATTATTACATTAAATACTCTAGATTTAGTTTTTTTTCGTTGAAGCAGAAATATTCGAAATGGATCAATCACCATTTACAGATGGCCTGACGAAAAAAATTCTTTATGCTGGAAAGTGTGATGTTCCAGATTTTAAAGATGGTTCTAAGGTATGTGATATTTTGAATTTTTTTATTATCCTTTTGATAAAGTTAAATAATTATTCCATTTTTAATTTGTATGTTTCAATCTGTGATATTCAATATTGAGATATTCATCTCAAACTTGGATTCTTGCCTCGGAAAGAAAGATCTTAAGAAGTATTTATCGAAGTATCCGGGGGGTATTTCCATATCGTGATTTTTCTTCCTATTTTTTCCCTTTTTAATTTAATTAAAGAAAAAATTCCACCTGTTTCAAAGAAATTTCAACTTTTTCAAACCGCTAAAATTGCAGTCACGCAATTGAAGGAAGGATTTCTGTATCGTGATCTTTCGCGACAACTACAATCTCTAAGGTGCCAAATAGATTTTAAACTTAAAATTTGAAGAAAAAACAAAACATGAAGATGTTTGCCCTGAAGTGGCTGCGAGTTATACCTTTTGAGTTAGCCCCTTACTATGATGGGATTTTTTAATTTCTTGCCGGCCGTGCTCAGATTCGGCGATTATTCTGCCACAGATCATGATACATAAATCTCCCCCAAATTAAAATCACACATCGCAGTTTGTATTTGCAAGATTTAAAGTACATTTATACATAATTTTAAATTGCACAGCTAGATTCATAGGATCTAAAAATCTCATTTTATTATTTGCATTCACTTAATAATTAAAATTAATCAAAATTATCTGTATTCACTATAGATTTTAAGTTATACATTACGGTTCATATTCGTATGATTTAAAAATCTCATATCATCATTTGTGTTCATGCGATTTTAAAATCACACATCAAGATTCATACAATTTGAAAAAATATTAGAAAAATATTCGAAAATATTTGAAATTGAAAAAATATTTCATATTCATATAATTTGAAAAAAAAATGTACATTAATATTCTTATATTTCCAGGGCGTATGCTTTTTACATACTGTTTTCTCTTGCTTAAATATCTGAAATTTTTTTAATTAATTAAAAAGTTTTTTGTTAATGTCTTTGTTTGTTTATATCTTTGTTGTTTATGTATTTTCACCTTTTTTACCAAACCCTGACTAAATAAAAAAAATTTACCATCTCCAAAAAATTATTATTTATTGTTTGACTTTTTTTATAGGTTATTTTTCACTTTCAAACCCAGACTATTGATAAAGATGGTGAATTGAAAGATATTATTGATGATAGCAAAAAAATTAATCGACCAATGGAAATAATCTTAGGAAAACAATTTAAAATGCCTATATGGGAAGAGTGCTTGAAATCTATGAGAACAGAAGAAGTTGCTGAATTCAGAGTAGAAAAGAATGTATGGTAGCTATTTTGGTACATTGTTTTGTCTTCCCAATGTTAATTATAAAATTTTACCTAAATATTAATCAAGAATTTTCTGATATATAACACTTGCAAATATTATCATTAAGCAGTGATTTCACTGGACTTTGGAAATTACAGGTCTTTAGGACTTCAGAATTTCTTGGTCCCTGGAATTCTGATTTTAAGAAATTCAATAATTTTTATAAACATGTTTTTCTTTTGTAATTTCTTTAAATATTAAAACAGTATGTTATCTGTATTTAAGGAAATGCCCAGGTTCGCAACATATAGTAATACAGTACAGAACCCGTTATCCGGAAATCAGAAAACCAAAAAACCGGAACGAAATTCTATACATTTTCCCGCTATTTTTTTAAAAAAAAAAATTTCCTCATAATATTTTAGGTCTTTTCTTTCTTTTTTGAAAGATGTTTACCTTACCATCATTTTGGAAATAATCATTAGTGTATTACTCCATCGGTTTTTCTTCTTTTTAAGATTATTTCCAAAAAAAAAAATTTTTTTTAGTTGGGTTTAACAATAAAAAAAACGGCTTTTTGTAGCGATTCAGAAAACCGGAAAAATCAGTTATCCGGAATAGCGATGGTCCCGATCGTTCCGGATAATCGGTTCCCTACTGTACAAATCAGATAGAATATTGTGAGCTATTTTAAATAATCACTTGATAAAAACTCCTAAAAGAATATATTCATTATATCAAATGCTAGCTTGCTCATTTAGATGGATTGTTATTAATAAAAAGTTCTTAAAACAGACTTTGAATGTATCTTTAAACAGGGATGTAATCGCTGTATGATAATAAATAAGAGTTATTCTTTGCAAAAAAAAAAAATTATTATTTTGAATAAAATACTCTTTTTTATTCTCATCAATGTAAAAAATATTTAAATTATTATACATATTTTTTTTTTTTTTTAAAATCCTGAAACTTAATTATTACATTTATTTACCCTTTTTCAAAAATATGATTTCTTTTTATAAATAATTGCAGATTGTAGACTTTAAGTTTTCTTGATTATGTTAGCAGGGATCTGTCCAGGCCGAATTTACTACCGCTTAGCGGTACCTTCACAAATTCAATTTTAGGTGAAACTGTAGTTTCACAAATTCAACTTTAGGAAAAACGGTAGTTTCACAAAATACTTTTTCGTAAAATTTTATTTTTTTATCCCTTAAGAAACGATAAATCTATATTTTTACCATGTTTTTGTATTGATTTTGTAATATAATTTTTAATTTTTCACAAATTATGTCTAAATTTTCACAAAATAGGTACCTTTCAGAAAAACCTAGACAGACCCCTGGTTATAGCTTTGGAGTAGTGTGGATTTTGCTTACTATATACAAAAAGCTGTAGTATTTTAAGCTGTAGTATATAAAAAGCCTCTACTGCCGGGTTAATAGAAATAGAAGATTGAAGTCTCATGCAAATATAAACATCAGGAATGAGTTTTTCTATTTTTTGACTAAGGTCCACTTTTTTTCAAACTTTAAAAAGAAGAAAAATTCCTCCTCTCAATTAAAGGTCCTTTTTTTTAATTTCTGAAAAAAAGATTCTTATTTAACTCCTTTTTTATCTATGCAAACACAATTTAAAATTACATCCACATGATTTAAAATCTCCCATGAGGATTTTTATTCACCCGTTCCAAAATTTCACATTATAATTTGCATTCACGCAACATACACATTGTGATTTGCAGGGGTCTGTCCAGGCCGAATTTACTACCGTTTAGCGGTACCTTCACAAATTCAATTTTAGGTAAAACGATAGTTTCACAAATTTAGCCTCAGGAAAAAAGGTAGTTTCACAAAATACTTTTTCTTAAAATTTTATTTTTGCATCCCTTAAGAAACGATAAATCTATATTTTCACCATGTTTTTGTATTGATTTTTTAATATAATTTTTAATTTTTCACAAATTATGTCAAAATTTTCACAAAATAGGTACCTTTCAGAAAAACCTAGACAGACCCCTGATTTGTATTCATGGGTTTATAAATTACTTCAGGATTCATATTCGTGTAATTTAAAATCACGCATTGTGATCTGTATTTATGGAGTTTTAAATTACACATCATGATTCATATTCACGTGATTTAGAAATCTCCTACAGAAATTCATTTTCGCAATTTAAAGCCATGCATCAAGATTTTAAATATATTACACATCAATATTTTTTATTAAAGCAATATTTATTATTAAATATTCAATCAATATATGCTTGTTATATGTACTTTTTCATGCTTAAATTTCAGGTAGTTTTTACAATTATCAATTTTTTTATTCGTTTTGCTACCTATGCAAACACAATTTAAAATTGCATGCACATGATTTGAAATCTCTCATCGTGATTCTTATTCACCTGATTCAAAATTACACATTGTCATCTGTATTCATGAGATTTTAAACGACACTTCACGATTCATATTCAAGTGATTTAAAAATCTTATGTGGGACTCATGTTTACACGATTTAAAAAAATAAAGCATCAATTATTTTTTATTAAAACATTGGTAATAATATTCTATAGATATATGATTCGAACTCTGTTCCCTATAAGGTAAACCAGGTTCGAATCACTGCGATGACTGGTTGATACGAATTCGGCACTCAGCTCGCACGAACCACAGTGCTGACGTAAAATATCCTTAGTAGTAGACGGATCATGGATTTGAGTTCCCTTACCGCCAGATTAACCGTGGGAGGTTCTGCTGGTTTCTCTCTCTGTTTATCGCAAATGTGAGTTAGTTCTATCAAAAACTCTTCCTCAAAGGCAAAATTTCTACCAATACATGATCTTGGGTTCCCTTGTCTTCTGGGTTGGGTTCAAAATTACAAGGTTATAGAGTTGAACATTTGTAGCTCTAATTTGGGTCAGCTGTTCAATGACGGTTATAGAATATTTTTTTTTTTTATCTATGAGTTTTATAAACTCATTGATTCGATTATTTTTCTTAATATTGGTAATTGCCTAAAAGTAAAGTTAGGAATTGCGGTAGCAACCAATTTAGTCCAGTGGGATTATAGTTCCACAATTTTGTGATCAACGGCGTGATTTTTGGTAGTGTGGTCAGCATTGCACATAGGTCTCAATATACTTGTTAAAAGCATGTAAAAAATACTTGTGATTTTTATTATTATTTCAAATAGGATTAGTAATTAAATAATAATATACATATTATCATCAATATTTCTTACCATTTTTGTCAAAAATTTGCGTTCATTTATTTTAGCTTGTGGATGCATATCCTTTAGTGTCAAAGAGCTTTCGAGAATTTGCAGGTATATCGCAGAATACGAAGAAAGGTCATTGTTGTGGAATGATGGCTTATGCTGAAGGTGTAGGACACAGTGATTTAGATAATCTCATTAGACTTCCTTCAGATTTGGCTTTTACTTTAGGTAAACATATGCTGTTAATTTTTTTAACTATGATGTTTATTTTATATAATTGTACTGTTTATTATAAACACAGTGAAACCTTCCTTTGACCGACAAACCCTTGAGACTTAGATAATTGCCCATTCAAAATGTTATGCTAATTGAGGAATATTATGCTGTAAACTGCTTTGACTATATTAATATGATAGATAAATGAAGACATAAGTTGATAGGAGTTATATTTTATTTAAATTTAATGAAATCATTATTAAAAATTTTTTTTTATAAAATTAAAATATATGTATGAAATACATATCACACATACTATTTTTTGCATTAATTCATCAGGGGGAAAAAAATCTTGTCCATGTTTGTTTTCTTTTGACCTTTTAACTCCAATTTGATAATTTTTTGAGAGATAAAAATGTTTTAGTTTATTAATACAAATCTAGCATCACATAGTGATTTTTATTTAAACTTAACTGAAAAACTTTCTCACAGAAGTTTAACGAAGAAGCAGCAAAATGAGAATCATATTTACCATTTAATCTAAATTTCATGTTAGTGACACAAGGATTAAAATATCAATCAAACACTCATAATTGAAGCATTGTTTAGAAGTTACTATGGAATGGTTCCAAATTCAATTCATAATATGAAATACTATCCTAAAGTTGGATTCATATTACAAAGACTGTGACAATACCTACTTGTAAGGCGTCTGGCTCTGTTAAGCTCTTGAAAAAAATAGTTGCTGCAGCGCACAATGTAATAAAAAATTCAATATGAGGCAGTCAATAGTCATGAAAAAATGTTAGTTTCGCAGTTTTAGTCTTCTCATCCATATGGAAATTTGCCTCCCTTCTTACTCTATTATTTTGTTTATATCTGAATGTAAAATTTGCATTTCTGAAAAACTACAAAACCAATTAATAAAAATGTCAATCTTGAAATGATTTATAAGACTGTTTTAAAAGCAAGCAATTTATTTTGATGCTAATTTAAAATATTGTATTATAAAATTTGATTAGTTTTTTTTAAAATTATTATTCCAAATGATTTTAAGCTTGTCTAAGCTGTTGACTGTATTATCTATTTTATCATTTTATGTGATGTGCTTTACAAAATTAAAAAAAAAAACAAAAAAACAATAGAGGAATTATTATTGGTAAATTAAATTTTGTATTCCTTTTATTTGTTAAATTATTTGAATTTGCAGTTTATTTGTTTTATAAAGTCGTATAATTTACATTCAACATTCATTTTATTGTCTTGTTATCCAGGGATGTGATTCTTCCGCGGATTTCCGCTTTTTTTTCCCCAGATTTTTTCTGCTAATTTCCGGGAAAATTTTTTTTGGAACAAGTTAAAATATTTTATGAAGAATTTAATTTTCCACGGAGCGAAAGTATTGAAGTCCTCATTCCTCCCTCTGAAGCTTCTCTAACAATCATTTCCTTGGAAAAAACCGGTTTGCCTTTATACAGGGATGATATTTTTTTGCTTTTGCCTTCGAATTTCAACCTTTTTTTATCAAAAATTCCGATTCTCTGAAAGTTTAGTTTTTTTTTATAAATATTCCGCTTTTTTTTTTTTTTTTTTTGAGAATTCAGACGTTGAAATAAAATAATAATATTTATTTACGATTTTCAAAGGTGAACAGAAAATTCAAACTACGTCCTAGCTGCTAACCCTTCCGTATTTTTACTTATTTTAACTATTTTCTCTGCTTTTACGCACAGAATATAAGATTTTTCGTATTTTTATTCGCCCGCGTGACAGCTCGTATTTTCGCAATTCAAACAGTTGACCCTGTTGTCTAGCGTGAAAGCAAACGATAGGAAAAAAAAAATAGAGGTGGATTTGCGGTGAAAATATTTGTTTGCTTATTCAATTAATCTTGTAAATGTTTATTTATTATGTCTAAACAAAAACAATACAAACAAGCCTTTTAGAAATCCCAAGTCTAGAATCTGCAAATATCTTGATTCTTATCCACGCAATTTTAATATCAATCGCATTTACCTGATTTAAAAGTTGTGCATTGCGAATCTTATTCACGCAACTTAAATATCGTACATTGCGATTCTTATTTACGAGATTTAAAAATCCAATATCGCGATTTGTATTTACGTGCTTTTAAAACCCTGTGTAGCGATTCGTATTCACGCCAGCTTAAAATCCAATGTCGTGATTCATTTGCGCGGTTGTAATATCAAACACTGATTTTCGTATTTATACGTGCTTTAAAAATTAGACATTGTGATTTGTATTCGCGCGATTTAAAAATATGCATCGTGATTCCTATTTACGTGATCTAAAAATTACGCTTCATGATTTGTATTTTCGCATTTTTTAAAATTAGATATAGAGTTTCATATTCATGTGATTTAAAAGCCTCATATCAAGATTCATATTCTTTCAATTTAAAATCATGCATGTGATTCATATTCATACAATTTTAAAATGAATCATCGGAATTTATAATCACATGGCTTACAAGTTTAAAAGTCACACCTTTTTTGTCAAATTTTTGTGTGTGTGTTATATATATTCATGGATTTCCTCTTTTTTACTTTCTGACTACTCTCATCCATGTGTTATCAAACATTTGCATATAATTGGTTCTTTTTCAAAACCATATATTTTGCTTTTTTTTAAACTTAAATAATGTAATACACTAAAAATGATAAAATATAGTATTTTTTTATCAGTGTTTTATTTAATTTTACCTTTTCTTTAATTTTGTGTGGGCACCATTTTATAATCATACTTAAAAATATTCACGTCTAAAAATTAAATGTGTTATTCTAAAATATTTGTGACCTATGTTTACCTAACAATCTTTCGTAGCATTGAGTTTGTGTCACATATTACTGTTAAAAGCTTGAGTTTCAATTCTAATCTCTTTAAAACTTAAAGCTCAAGTTTAAAGTAATGTTTAATTCATTATATCACAAAATTATTTTTGTAAATAAGAATATGTTTAAATAATATTTTTGTTTTGTTTATAAATTTGTATTGCTCTTATTTTTAAATTATTCATTTTAATGTTATAAGTTTTCTCTTTTTTTTTGTTGAAAAAATTAGACTTTCAACTCAAATTTCCAGAAAACATTAACACTGAAATAAGACTGACTCTTGTAAAATACAAGTTATATGTTGCAAAATTTTAAAATTAATTTTAAACTATATGTTATTGGGTCATACTAGGTGCCCAACAACTACTGGTACCTGGCTAGATATTTATCACCTGGGCCTTTAAAACTATATCTTTAATATATTTGTTTCATAGAAAATTATAAATTTTTTTTGTTTTCTTTTTTATAATACCAGGAACCCGCTAGGTAATAAATTGAAATTTCATTGGGTTGCCAATACCAGTTGGGATACTGATAAAACATTTTTGAGCTACCCACAGCAAACTGAGAATAATATTCCATTTTCTCTAGGTAGCTGAACTCAACAAAATTTTTTGACCTGGTACATCTCTAATCTTTTACAATGTTAAAATTTTAGTTACTTTTTTATAAACTGTAGATATGCAACCAGATCACTGCTACAAATTACAGAAAAAAAAGAGAGAACTTTTTGATATGGTAAGACTAAACAAATAGAAATTTGACTTACGTATTCATAAGTTTATTTACAGGAATAGTTAGTTACAATTAAAATTATTGCAGTTGCATATTTAAAGAATGTTAATTATCTTCAGAACTTTTAAAGGTGGAACTCCCTGGTGAATATGAGAAAGAATCCTGGTCAATGGAGCCTGAAGAAAAACTTAAATCTATTCCTGAATTGAAAAACATTGGTAATGAGCTTTATAAAAATAATCAGTATGAAGAAGCTGGCAAGAAGTATGCAGAAGCATTAGGCAGGTTGGAGCAACTTTTGCTCAGGTATTTTCATTCTTTTTATTACCCTGGTTTTTATTTTGTACCTATCTAATAATGTATAAATTTGAGAAGGCAAGCTTCTTTTGGCTTTTATGTAAACTTGCTCTAGAAGAGACTGATTATTCCCTGTCTAGGTCTAATGTTTATTGCTCGGTAAACAACCTCTCCGATCACAGAAAGATCCATCCCCCCACTTTCAAGAAACACCCTTTCTTTGCCAACTCATGGAAAAACTGCATAGTTTTGTAATAAGTTTGTATTTATCAGCAAAGAGTTCATTGTAAATTATTAGGGTAACTTGATTACCATTTTTTCTTGCTTCTTATTTAAATAACAGCAATTATTCACACTCCTTCAACTAATCAGTTTGAAAAACTGGTGTGAAAACTTGTTAGCCAACAACTTTGCATGAATAGACACTTGCAGTTTTCAGTTAAATTACAGTGACACATTAGTTGCCTGGTACATTACCTGTCTTACAGAATAACTTAGCTAATCTCTATGTGAGGCCCAATTACATAGCTTGACTTGTCACATTTATATGTTCTTTGTTTCTATCAGTGTTGATTGCTCTTTTAAACACAATTTATAAAATCTTAAAGGTGGCTTGATTGTTTATTTAAGTTGCATTATCAATTATTTGTAAAAATTATAGAACTTATTGTCATTAGTAGATAAATTGCCATGTGTGGTTTATTATTTAAAATAAATAAAATAGTTTACTTCTGAAGTGAATTAAATTTTTTATTTTTCACTTACTTAATAAAAATCAAAATGTGTATAAATAAGCTGTCAAAAATAATAAATTGTTTTTATTTTTTAGAGAAAAACCTGGTGATGAAGAATGGGTTGCTCTAGATAATTTGAAGATACCCATTCTTTTAAATTATGCACAGTGTAAACTTCATCAAAAAGATTATTATCCTGTCATAGAATATACGACACAAGTTTTAGATAAAGATAAAAGTAAGTGGGGTAATACGAGTTTTTAAGTTATAATTTATCAACTTAGTGCCTTTAATAAAATAAAAAATGCAATTTTTCTTCTTTCAGATTAATTGTAAGATCTGTATTTAAAATGTTTAATTTTCTTGATCTAAATAAAGACCTTTTTGATCACATCAATATCTTAAAATATTGATGGCATAATCAGTAACTCCAGGGATTTGCCTTGTTAGATGAATATTAATTTCAACACGGTCTTTTTTCTCTCCCCCTCCACATCAGATTAATATTATAATACTGTTTGATTTTTTACTCTGAGTTGGCAATGCAGTTTAAATTTGGAGCAGAAGAGGCAATTTTGGCTTTTGTGTCATTAAACTCCACATATCGTTTGCTTCGTCTCTTTTCATGCTGGTATATAAAAGTAATTTGTATAATTGTTATAGTTATTCATATTATAAAAATTTCTGTTAAATTAATAATTTAGCTGATATTTAAGGTTGCTACGAAAATGCTGTTAATTGTATTTTGAATTGTCGCAAGTCTTAAACAGTTGATTACCAATTGGTTAAACTTTGTCAAAGAGTATGAAATGTACCATTCATAGAAAACTTGTATGTTACTCTTACAGTCTTCTTCTACTTCAATTACGGCAGTCTTTCCTTTAAGATCACTGAGATACAAAACTACATTTTCTAGATAGTTTTATGCAAAAATGTATAGTATTTTTGCCAATATAAAAACCTCATGATATAATAATATTTGCCTTGGTTGGACGACTGGAATTAGTCTATCGATCATCCACTGTATGTGGTTTTGAAATTAAATGTCTCATTCATTGGGAAAGTTTTTTGAATAAATACTGAGGACTTCATTTTTGTTAGCCTGCTTTGTAAATAACTGCTAAAATTGAATAAGTTTTTGTATATTCTTAATACTGATTTTGTTTCATTTTCAGAATTACTTATTTATTTTCACATAATTTTTTTTATTTCAATAGGTAACGTGAAGGCATTATATAGGAGGGCTAAAGCTTATGTTGGTACTTGGGATCTGGAACCCGCACAAGAGGACTTTTCTAAAGTATCTGAGTTGGATCCATCTTTTGAAAAAATTGTACAAAAAGAGTTAAAAAATATTAAAGCATTGCAAAAACAAAAAGATGATGAAATGAAATCAAAACTTCTAGGAAAAGTATAAATTTTATTTCATTGACTGCATATTCTATTGTTGATGGTGATCTGTCAGTTTCCCACTATTTGTTCGTGTCAATTTAGAAATATTTTCATTTGATCACCTAATTTATTTTAAACTGGATTCGACTTCATTATATAAGTTGTTATTTAGGAATAAATATTTTTGTACAAGTCTTAAAAGAGTATACCATACATGGTGATTGTCGAGATTCGTAAAAAAATATTTATTGTTATAGACTTTATAGTTTAAATTTAAATTAAATTTACTGTCAAGTTTTAGTTTATGTGTGCATCTATTTAAATTATGTAGTTCAATATTTGTACTAGTCAAATACAAAAAAATATATATATATGTAGATCAATTTATTTATTTAGACATCTTGTTTCTTTCTGAAATTGCATTTAATTTATTGGGTGTTTACAAAGTAAAATCATTTTATACTCAGTTTTTTAGTTATTTAACTTTTTATTTACATTCATGTGATTTTATAATGAGACTGATAGGTTAATGATTTTCAACTGTATTTTGGACAAACTTAATTTAGAAGCATCGTAAAAACTAGCCCTGTGTATTTTTTTCTACTTAACTAATATGCTAAATCAAACACACATTAAACTTTACTCTTTTTATTTTTATAATTTTAGTGCTGCTATTCTAAAAAGAGAATTACGTAAAAATTTTTAAATAAGCATAAAAAGTCTTCTTTTAAAATAAATTTAAATTATTGAGATGAAATTCATGTTTATTATGAATTTTGCAATGAAAAATTTGATGTTTTAAGCTTTTTTTTATTTAAAATTTCAATAACATTCCATTGATATAAAATGGTTGTTTTAATTGTAGATTTTTTAAAATTTTGTTTATTACAATTTAGAGTTTTTATCTATTTTCAAATGCATTGAAAAATATGTATGATTTGTAACTGTTGCAGTAACAATTTGCCTAATTTTAAATGAGAAATTTTGTCACTTTTATTTTGTTTAAGAAAGTTTAAAGCTATGGTCATAAACAAATATATTCATCTAAATTTTATAAACTAAGTCATATTTTTTAAAAAATTTTGTCAAAAATAATTTCTGGAAGAGGTTGGAAATAAATTCGATATATCTGCATTTCATGTGTTATTTATTACATACATTACAGTTGAAAACAAAACTTTTTTATACTCTTTTGCCACAAAAAAAAAAAACCTAATATTGCATGCACCAATTTTTTTTAGTAATTTAACCTCTAATAATAAGAGGTTTATGTGGAAAAAGTGATAATAATGGTGACTGTTTATACCATTTTAATATTTCTTAATGCTACTACAACTTTAGCTTTAAAAAGTACTGTTCCTTGATTTAAAATCCAAATATAAGTATGTATATTATGGTTGACAGTACTATCTTGTTTTGAAAAATAAATCCTAATAATGAAACACTTGTGTTTCAATATGTTATGCACCACATTTTTCCATTTTAAGAAAAAGAACCATACTTTTAATGAGATACAAGGCATAAATGGGTTAATATGAATCTCTAAATGTCAACGGATAGACAGATGTTGACATATATTTTTGACGATTATTTTATATTTATAATAAGAATGAAGATAAAAATTTTAAAAGAATAAACTGCTTAATAATAAATTAATCATTCATATAACAAATAATAGTACCTTTTTAAACTTGCCAATTGAAATAAAAAAAATTCTTATAAGAATGAGTTAACAAAATGCAAAATATCTTTTATTAAATTTAAACGCTTCAAAGAAACATTTCGTCATAAAAATAAACTAGTAAAATCATTATAGGTCCAAATGAATTATTATTGTTTGAATTTTAATGCTAACTATTCGATTTTTGATAATTCATGTTATTAATTTCTTTTCGTTAAATTGAATTTAGCACATTTTACAATTTTGAACAAATGATTTGCAAAATATAAATAAACAGAAAAATAAGTATATTTTTCATTTTCTTGTTCCCTTAGCAATCTAGGAAACTTCCAAGACAATATTGCTAATTTTGTCATAAAAATTAAGATTTTTTATGAGGTGCAAAAGTTTGAATTATAATGACACAAATTATTACTGTGCAGTATGCCTTACTTAAAGAAATATAATTGATCCCATCCAACTGTTGTCAAACCAATTAGTTATTCTATATATTACATAGGAGATGCATTAGTCAGATCTCAAATATAATTCTACAAATAAATCTTAAAGCTTTATACATTATAACATTTTCTAAAAGTTTAAGTGAACTTGCATATTTTCTATTAAAATTTAATTGATCATTATATTTAGTGCTATTGATGGAACATCATAACTCTACTTAAAATTGAAATTAAGAAATAATACTAAAAAATATTCAAAAGTTATTTTATTTTTTACCAAACAAGGATTATTTTAACACACATTTACTTGCAAATTTCTCAGATTTTTTTTCTTCCTAGACAATAAAAATTGTTATAATATGCTAAACATTCAAAATGAGAATTAACTGTAACTAATGAGTGAACCCCTTAACCACAGCTCACTACTTGACATATATTTAGAGCAAAATGTGAAAGTTAAGACTCCTATTCAAATTATTAAATTTTTTTATTCAGACAGGAAACAAAAATTTCATTCAAGTTGGTGATAAAAATTTTTTTAAGAAGAGAGACTTATTTCAGTATTTCCTTTCTATGTTATTAAATAGTGGAGGACAATAAAATATAATTATTTCAGTGAAGAAATAAGGTGTTGTTTTATCCCTATAAGTTAATTATCTGTTTTGTTAATTAATGCCAACTGTATATTAAAACATTAAACTACAATACAAAAATCATGCACTTTTTTAATCAAAAAGATATTGCATAACAATATACAAAAGCTGCGTATTAACAATGTAAAAATTATATTAAATTGATGACATAAATTTGTAAGCACCACATCAAATGATTGATTGTATATGTTTATAATAACTTATTTCTTTTTCACTTTAAACATATTTGTACTTTGTATTGGCAAAATCAGAAAGCAGTACTTAATCCAAATATAAAGAACTCCAAGAGCACAGTAAGTAGATATTAGCATAAGAGGTAAAAATGGAAGTTTCGTTTCCAAATTGCTTAATTTTGAACCAAAACTGTAGAATAGTTGAAGCAAAACCAAACCACCTAGATATGATAGTTCTACCTTGGAAAGAAGAGAGTGTTGCTGTTTAAAGCTGAAATAGATTGAAAAAATATTGAGAACTTCAAATAGAATATAATTTGAAAGGCAAAACTCATTAATTTCTATTTGTAAAATGCATAAAGCTCCCAACTATCACGTCTAACATGGCTTATGGGTAGGAAGAATAAGACTAGTTCCACTATCTATCTCCTCTTCCATAATATTAAAACATGTGTTACACATTTTAAGATAAATGATAAATACAAAAATAATCAATGTAATAAACTACATAAATGTGAAAAATTATGAGTAAAAATAGGGTTTAATTAAAAATACATACCAGACAATTTTGAATAACGGCAATATAAAATATGCATATATTTTTAATTTCAAATGTTACAATTAGATTTTTTAAAAATTCAGACGTAATCAACTTTATATTTAAGCTAAATAATAACCCTGATGACATTAATTAAATAATATAAGATGAAAGAACAGTAACAATTAGACTTACATTCAAATTAGCATTAATCATCAATGATAAGCACAAGATAATAAGCAGCCTATACATTAATTGGAAAAATTGAAGTTTGATATAACTTCTGCCAAAATTGGTAAAAGAAAAAGTAAATTTTAAACTTAATGTGCATAAGACTTGTTGATATTCTTGCAGGGGGAGAACAAAATAATGGAAACACTTCTAGACTAATACATTTTTAAAACTTTTAGAGGTTTATGGGACTGACAATGAATAAGAAACTGAAAATAATGTTTTTGAGCACCCTATGCTAAAAAATGTAGTAATAGATTTGTAACTTGTGCCAGTTATTGTGTGGTTATTACAGTAGAGTCTCGAAAGTTCGAGTCTCAGAAGTCCGAGGTTCCGCTTAATTCGAGGTGCCAAATTTTCCCCCTAGCAACCAAAAGCGTAGCAAAGGTACTCCTATAAGTAGCCCTATTCTTCAGGAAAAAGCTGTGTCTTTCAGAAATCAGTTCAAAGAAAGAGAAGAAGATTTCGCAGCAAGCGTTGGTTGGTTAGACAGTTGGAAAAAACGATATGGTGTACGTCAACTAAATATTTGCGGTGAAATACTCTCGGCAGATACGTCAGCTGTGCAGGCATTTCAAAAACGGATTGAAGACATATTGACGGAAAAGCTCACACCTGACCAGTTATATAACTGTGACGAAACAGGTTTGAACTTTAAGATGTTGCCCTCAAAATCCCTTGCTTCAAAAGAGGAAAATTCAGCTCCAGGTCACAAAAAACGGAAGGAATGATTAACCATTTTAGCAAGCGCCAATGCATCTGGAAATCATAAAATGAAACCGACTGTGATTGGGAAATCTGCCAAACCTAGAGCCTTAAAAAACATCACTAAAGAAGCCTTACTAGTACATTACCCAAATCATAAAAATGCATGGATCAAACAATGGTTTTCAGAACATTTTGTTCCAGAAACACGGAAGGCATTGAGAAAAAAAAATTTGCCTTGCAAAGCAATTTTGTTTTTAGATAACGCTCCATCTCATCCCTTAAAACATGTAGAACAGCAAACTGAAGCCACCCCTGCAGATGTTTTGCTTTTGAAGCGTTGGCTGACTATCGCATCAACAAAGAGAAGTAATGTACTGAAGCAACAAAAAATTGACAATTTTTTTAAATTGTAAAGAATCTTTTACGTCATTATACTAAAGAATAAAGGATTTTAAGGTAATATGATCATTTTATTTAATTTCATTTGTAGTTATTAAAAATTTTCTACTTTTTCGGAAAATCCGAGTTTTCAGTAATCTGAGGTAGTGTCAGCCCCAATTACCTCGGATTTTCGAGACTCTACTGTATATGCAATAATTACACAAAATATCATTAGCCTAGCTTAAATATTTATGGAGATTTGGACATCTTTTAAAAAATACTAATTTTTTTGCTATAACTTTAAAAATATTCAATAAAATTTTTAAAAAAATTAGAGCAATTTAAAATTTATTATAAAATTTTGCTTTACAATTTAGAGGGAAAAAAATCTTTAAAGCTGTGTAAGATATGAGTAGTTAAAATAGTATGGTGCAGAAGAAATTAAATAAATTTCTTCTTAATTTTGTAGTGTTATATTTAGCAACTAATGAAAAATGTCCAATTTTCTAAGTACTTTTTGTGCTTTTTAAAAGCATGCTTAAAATAACGAAGGGTTTTCCACATATTTCATTTTGTACTGTTAAACAAGATTTATTAAAAATGACACCGGCAAGTGTTGTACTTTAAAAATACTTTTATGGGGATCATCCCCATAAAAAATTTTTTTCGCCTGTTTTCTTTCCTCAATAAATCACATTTCGGTGTAAGGACGTTTATTGTAAGATATTATCAGTTATTAAATTCTGTCTTATGATACAAAATAATAATTGTAGAAAATCTCTTATCATTTTGAGCTTTCTTTTAAAAAGTACAAAAACTTTGAAAATTGCTTAAAACTTTTCATGTGTAGTGATATTCAAATCGGACTTTTTCATTAGTCGCTAAATATGATTCACATCAAAAGTAAGAAAAAAATTTTCTTAAATTTTTTCTTGCACATGCGCAGTATATATAAAAAAAACCTTAATAACTCATATCTTGCGCAGTTTTTAACAAATTTTTCTCAAATTTTAAGGCACAAGTTTTGTAATTTATTTTAAATTGCTCTGAAAATTTTGTTTAATTTCATTGAATATTTTTAAAGTTATAGGCAAAAAAATAAGACAAAAAAAAATTGTTTTTATAAAATTGTCCACATCTCCATAAATACTTAAGCTAGGTTTACGAAATGTTTTGTAATTATTGCATATAGTAACCAAAATAACTGTCATAAGTTAGAAATCTATTGCTACATTTTTTGGCATAGGGTGTTCAAAAAACATTATTTTCCATTTGTAATTTATTGACGGTTCATCAAACCTCTAAAAGCTTTAAAATTCATTTATATGTATGATAAATCGCATGATCTAAACACTTCTGAAGTTATGAAATGCTCTTAGTATTGTGTGAGTTAGGCGCGCCTGTCTTGGCAAGTGGTGTTATTTGGTGATGAGATGAGAGTTGGATCCGAGAACTGGAAATGGAAACGCTGCTTTTGAACGTTCTCTCGCGCGAAATCAATTTTTATATTATTTTGTGTTTTGACTGTTTATTATATTTGTTTGTGTTGTGGAAATATGAGAAGATTTAATAAATAATGGTTATTTCCAACCTGGAATACTTATTTGCAACACATTACAGCAGTGTTCCTCAACCCTACGGTACCGGTCCGTAGATCAAATGATGCCGGGCCGCCCATTTCATTGAAATTGATTTTAAATTCCTAGGTTTACACCCCAAATTAAAAATATCTGTGTTCCTTTAAAATTTTAGCAATAACAGCAACCAAAACAAAGCAACGGAATTAACTGGACATAAGCAACACACTTCGGGTGTCATTGTCTCCAATTACCCCCAGATGGAGCGGTCTCAGTGCAAAGAAACAAGCTCAGGGTTCTCATTGATTTAACGTTCTAGTAAGTTAAAACGTTAAATCATTTTATATTTATTTTTTGGTGTAACTGTATTTTACTTTGAAGGCTTGTTTAAATACAATTAAATTAAAATTTATACATCAAAATAATCTAAAATATAAACAGTCAACGCCCCCCCCCCAGTGGGCCGTGCTAAAATTATAAAACGTGGACAGGTCCGTGGTGATAAAAAGGTTGGGGAACACTGCATTACAGTATTTCTGGAGAAATATGAAAAAATGTATTAGTATGGAAGTGTTTCCATTATTTTGTCCACATATGTTCGTATTGTAATTAAGCCTCAAATTAGCATGAAGAATTAGAAACAGGCTATAATTTATATAAAATTAATTAAAAAATAGTTTTTGTTAAATTTATAATAAACTTAGGTAAGTTCTTGATTTTGTAATTGTTCTCAACGTAATAGATTTTACATTAATGGAAAAAAAGAATACTAAAATACAGATCTTTTTTAATCACAAGATTACAGGGGAAAGAAATGACCATTCATTGGCTCCATAGCACATATTGATGAGTTCCCCTGCTTTATGTCTACTATGTAAAAATTAACTGGAAAAAGAAGTATGGGAAATTAGTATTTATGCAAATTAAGCCCTGACCAGTAGGAGTTAAAACATACAGAAGACCACTTTAACATTTCTTCCTCCTCCATATCCCACTTTAAGATTTACAAATGGAAGCATCTATTAAAACTCACTTTTTACAAGGCTGGATAGTTAGTAACCTACTTTATTAACATAAATTTTGTGAACTCTCGATAAATTAGCCCATTCATTTTTAATTTTAAAATTGATACTTACTTATGCAATTGGCCAAGACTTGAAAACATGTAAACAGCATGTAGCAAAAGAAGGAAGACTTTTAGAAGTGTTTCTGAAAAATAATAATCTCAGATTACAAAATTACAGACAACATTTGCTATGACAGTAGACTCCTCGCGATCTATGTATATGCGTGTATGTTACATGGCAGAGAAAAATTTTAACTTTTAATGCCTTTAGATTGATATTTTTTCAAAGATAATATAATAATTTTAAAAAAAAATATTTGCTACTTCAAAATTTAAAAAATGGTTGATAGTTTCAATCGAACACATTTCAATAAATCAAATGAAATAAAAACATCCCAAAATATTAATTGGTTACCTAATAGGTAAGGAAATTATGTTCAAATAAATATCCATAGGTTTTTTAAACTGTAGCGTGAACATACAAAATGTCACCTAAAATGCGGTGGTTTGAATTGTAGCCTCAGGACTGATGCTTTCAGGCAAAGTTAGAGAGAATATAGTTTCAATAGTAGTCACAAAAATAAATAATATTTGTAGCAATTAGCGACCAGTTACCAACACTTTCAGTTCTTTTATAAAAGAATTTAATTAAAGCAACACACAAAAATCACTACTTAACATTAATAGAAAAATATATGAAAGAATAAAATAAAAAAATACTAATCTCGGGCGGAAAAAGTTATCTTTATGCTTAAATTCTGAAAATCAAACTGATATTATGTTGAAAAGTTTTTTCATTAAAAACTAGGGTGGCGCTACTCCTTAAAGCTTAGCTTATAGTTGGCTTAAAGGCTGTTTAATTACAGATTAATTTTTAAGAATGATTTATTTTAATGCTGTAAATAGCATTTCTGTTCACAAATTACAGCAATTCAGATTCTCAATTAGAGTGCCATAATTTTCTCTGTCCTGAGGGAACACAATCATTTTCACTGGATCTAAAGTAAAATATTTTTTAAAGCTTAATAATTAAAATTTCAATTACATCAATTATATTCTATTTACGAAAACAAAGTTTCCTTTTGCATTTTATAAGAAAGATGGAATTTTAAGCATTCTTGTTCCTGAATTTAATAAAGTTAAAGGGGAAAAAAAATTAAAATAAGAATTTTTTAACATTTCTTTCTAATAAAAATATTTCATAAGAAAATAATATTTATAAATACACAAATATTATTTTTATTTACAGTATATCGTAAATTTACAAGTAAGGTATTATGCATAAAGATTAAAAAAAAAGAAATAAACATAAAAATCCTTAAACACACTACTTTTCTGTTAAATTTTTTCTCCACTTGTTTAAATATCATTTGCATAACCTGTCAGATTTATATTTAGTAGTTGAAATCACAAATTGTCATTGATTTTATTAAACTATATGAACAGGTATAGTTAGATCTTTATGGTTTTTGTTAAACATTACTTACATTATCTTCTAACAACATTAATGGATTTAAAATTTAAAGTAATTTTTTTTAAAGGAATTGTTTTTTTTAGTTTTATACAAAGTTTACTTAAAATTTAGTTAATCCCAAACAAAAGGGGTAAAACTACAACAATAAACTGAAAATAAACTTAGTCACACTAATATCATAGCATCATTTTTCATAGCTAAATATGCACAACACCTTATCATATCATGCATAACAACTAATAATATTATAGAATTAATAGAATATATATAGAATTAATTGAATAGCTTGTATTATTCTAATTACACTATAATAGAATAGCTCGTTGAATTATTCTAAATATACTATAATAGAGCAAGCTATTTTATTTCAGAAAAAAAAAAGTTTTTAACAATTTTATGCCATAAATGAGACATATGGAGAAAAAAAATTTACCTCCTTCTTCATGAAGCAATGGAAAAAGGGAGAAATGACCAAGTATTGACAGGAAGGCATAAATTCCAACTTCTTCTTTGTGCAAAACAGCACTAATTCTGAAATTATATTTTTAAAAAAATCCTAAGAACATTTGATATTTTAAATCAGGACTATAGAACTTTTAAGTGTTTGCGGGTCAAATGTGACAAAAAAAAATTGCAAATCACAAATGAACTAAGAAACATTATTTTTTCCTATTTACAGAGATTTGATCTAAGTTTTAAAAGCTTCTAGAGATTTTTTGAAAATTTAGTCAAAAATTTATAAAATATTTTTCTTAACTATGCTAATATTTTAAAATAAAAATGATTATTTCCAAAAATCAGTTTTAGCTGTTAAAAGCACCATTTCATTTATTATCTTGGAATTTTATTAAAAAAAAATACAAAATATAAAACTTAAGTGCAACAGATTACTACAATGATATACAAACTGTTCAAATTTAAAGTATGAATAAAGTGTTAATTGAAATATTTACAAAATTAAATGTGCTTGGCATTATAAGTATTTTACAAACATTTTATTAAAAGAAACTTTGCAATATACACTACACTATAACAGTTGAAGAGACACTTATAGTTTTTGACATTCTTTTTCAATTTCTCAAAAAATAGTTAGAAGAATATTTGATAACTTTTGTTAAGAAATTGCACAAGACATATAGCATTTAAAGAAGTTTTTTCATACCATGCATACGTAAAAAAATATGTAAATTTTTTTTCTTCATAATTTTGTTGTGAATCATATTTGGAAACTAGAGAAAAAAGTCCAATTTAGATATCTTGAAAATTTAAAAAACTTCAAATAGTTTTTGTAAATTTTGAAAGAAAGCTCTCAAAGGTAAAGAGTTATCCACAAATCTTATTCTGTATCACAAAACAAAATTTAATAACAAATAATACCTTACAATAGAATCCAGTACAATAAAATGTGCTGATATAACGAAAAAGAAACATGTGAAAGAAAATAAACTTTCATAGGGGATGATCTCTCATTATGCTGGTGTTATTTTTTAATAAATTTTGTTTAACAGAATAGAAAACCATTTACAATCAGAAATTTCTTTCACAATTTAAAAATACTACTTAGAATATTGCTGGAAACTTTTAAAGTGTTCAAGATGTTAAAATTGGACTCTTTTTATAAATTACCAAATACGATTCACAAAAAAATAATGAAAGTCTTTTTTTTAAAATTTTTTGCTCATGAGTAATTTTTAAAATTTTTTTTCCAAATTTCAAAATTATATTTCTGTTATCAATTAAAAATTGCTCCAAAAATTTTGTCTAATTTTATTGAATATTTTTTAACGTTATAGCAAAAAAGGAGTAAGACAAAAATTTAGTTTTTTACAAAAATGACTGTATGTTCATATGTGTTTAAGCTAGGCTTTCAAAATATTATGTAATTGTTACATTGTATATAATAATCAAAGTAATAGATACAAGTTACAAATTTATTGCTATATTTTCAGACATAGAGTGTTCAGAAATACATTTTTAATTTGCAATTTAATATCAGTCACAACTGAAAGTGTCTCTTCATTGTAGGGCACAATATAGTATTCTAATGTAGTTAGCTAATTTTAATTTTAATATTTATAAGATAAAGTTAAAAGAATAGTTTTTATTTAACTTACGTTAATGGCAAAATTATTAAGAGAATTGCTTTTTCATGTACATGATATCCAAACAAAAAAGTGCCAAATGAACACAAAATAATACTGTTTAGGAAGACCTTAGGAGTTCCGGGTTTCTTCCAAACCAACCAAATCATGGGCTAAGTAAATTAAAAGCATATATAGTTTATCGATTTTACTAAATAAAAAATTCATTTAATTTAAAATATTAAAAACTTAAACTAATATAATAGTAGCTTGAAAACATTTTTATTATTTATTAACATTTAAATTATTTAATGTGAAAAAAAATCATATTTTAAAGTCAAATAATTTGCAAATTCAGCAATTAAATAAAGCACTGCAACAGACAGGTGCATGTCTCATTATCAGTCTATAACAAGTACTTTAATTAGATATAAGACATAGATGTCATTCTGTATCTTTGCATGGATGAAGGTATTCTTTATAGTACTAGCAAATATGGTCTATCTGCATTAAATATACATTTAATTCTTTAATTTATCCTTATTTCTTAACATGTTGTTCTTAACATATATTAACTATATATTTATCTCTATTAACTTATATGCTGTTCTGAATGTGTACCTTATTTAACATCTCAGTTCTATTTGTTTTTCAGAAATTTAATAGGCTTTTAATATAAATGTATAGAAGGAAAAACTTACAAGTAGATTAATTATGGCAAAAATCTGTAAAATTTTAAATTAATTAGACATTTGATATCAAATGTTATGATTTTATAAGATTTTATTGGCTGAGAAAAACTATAATATTTTAACAGATATTAAAAGAAATCATTTTTTAATATTTTTCAGAAAATTAATGCATTTGTGAAGCTGGATGAAAAAAGAATTTACTTTAGGTGCTTGATGGTAAAAACATTAAAATAAATCTTATTTTAAGGGCATAGTTGCCAATTTATACTATACTGTTGCTACAAAGGCAAGTTTTTGTCATTGACTCTACAAGTGACAAAAACTTGTGATAATGTGACAACCTTATGATCAACAATGTGAGATTATCAAAATTGATAATTTCAAATGACAAATTGAGTAATTCACAGAAGAGAAAGCTATAAGGCATGGCTAATTTTTTGCAACCTGTTTAATAATCTATTTCAATTTAAGAACTAAAATCTTGAATATATAGCCTTTAAATTTTTTAATTTATTTTTCCACATAAAAAGCATTGTCAGAAGTGAAAGAATAATTGAAAAACAGACTTACAAGTAAAGAAATGAGTGTAAAAACCAAAGAAATGTTTGAGGATATGGTCGGAAGAATTGCGTGTTCACATTCTTGTACTAATCCTTTTGTAGAACAAGTTTGAAGCTCTTTAGGAGAATATATCTTTAAACGGTATGCTTAAAAATAGTAAATATACAACAACAATTAAACATTGTTAGTAAAAAAAATATAAACATTACATTTAAAAAAAATATGTGTGCTATTCAGTCTTAGCGAATAAAATCTCATACTTATAAGATCAAAAATTAAATAAAGTAAAACACATAAATTAAATGCGATATTTAAGCTTGTGAAGATCTTTTTGCACAACTAGCCACATTTTTTGTGAATTTTAATATTTTAATCCGTGATGAAGTTTTTAGGTTTGAAGAAAGACAAAATTTATTTTAAACGAAATACTAGTGTGTATAGATTAATTTTTTCTTCAATAAAACATCAAAGTAAACTTATAACATAGTAGATGTTCTGTATGCAACAGCATGTAATACACAACACATAAAAATTAATTAAAGTAAAATATGTAGATTAACTGTGGCAAAAAATGTAAATTTTTGAGAAGCAATTTTAAAACTATTATAATTTTACTAGCAAAAATTGTTTTTAAGTTAAAACAACTTTCCAATCAGTTCACAAGAACAATTTGAAATATTTTTAAGGTTTCTTATTTCTAAATATTAAAAAATACAAAATATGACTTAAATGGGTACATGGGGGTTCAAAATCTGTTAAGTTTTGATAAGCCATAATACATGAAATAAATAATATAAATTCTGCTGCTTGTACGATGTCTCATCAATAAATTAATATTTAAAAAAATATATAATGAGGCTATAAATCAATTCTACACAAGGGTTTTACAACATGCCTGAGTAATTGCAGTCTGCTTAACTTTGAACTTTTTCCTCACTGAATGGTGAATATCAACATATAGAGAACATAGGTTTGCAAACCAAACTAACTGGAGAACCCTGCTTAAAAGCAAAAACAATTGACAATTTTTTGCCCTTCACATAAAACTTTACTTGTTGCTAAGACATGCTCATCTTTAATTTTCTTAAGGCATGTAAACAGTCGACCCTACTTAAGCTGGTTACAACATATGTATAATTCAATTAGTTACTTAAGGTAACTGTAATAATCAAGCTACACCTTTAATAATTCCGTTGAAACCGAATTAATAAAAAACTAATTCTTATATTCTTCATATCCTTATATAATCTAAAATTAATCTTATTATCTTCTTATTATAATTATAATTCTTACAATAAACTTATAATATTTTCTCCGAATATTCCTCCAGCTGCGACATTAGCAGTTTGGAGCTGTCGCAACTTGGATTTTTATACCTTATATTTTTTCTTAAATTTTATTATATATATATATATATATATATATATACAGTCAGTTCGCTATAACTCGAAGTACAATAACTCGAATATTACTATAACTCGATTTTTTTATGAGGTTCCGACCCTTTTATCTTCAATTTCATGTTAATTATTCTCGATTACTCGAATTTTACTCCCTTTAACTCGATTTTTTTGGGATTTTTTGAAGCAAGAAAAAAAACCTAGGAGCTGATATCTTGTCCCTTCCTTTGCAACACACACACAATGCCGCACTCTTCATGGAGAAGCTAAAGCTGTCCCTCTTGAAGTATGTGAATGAAACGTTACCAAATTTACTTCAAGGATACAGTTAAAATGATGTTTTCAATATTGATGAAATGGGTTTATTTTTTAAATGTCTTCCAAATAAGACTATGATGTTTAAGGATGAAAACTGCTCAGGGGGTAAAATGAGCCAGGAACGTTTGACTGTCCTAGTTGGAGGAAATGCGTCTGGGACAGAGAAATTGCCCTTACTTGCTATCGGAAAATACCGAAATCCCCTGATGTTTCAAGAATATAAAAACGTATCCTTTGGTTTACAAGTCTAACAAAAAGTTTTGGATGACATCAGTATTATATGAAGACTATGTAAGAAAATTGGATCAGAAATTCTTCGCTAAGAAAAGAAAACTGACACTCTTTATGGATAAATGCACAGCGCATAATGATCTACCAAATTTGAAAGCAGTAAACTTGCAGTTTCTCCCGCCAAACACAACAGCAAAGTTGCAGCCGATGGACCAGGGTATCATAAAGTGCTTCAAACAGTCTTATCGTAAATG